TTCAGATACATTCGCCTGTGGCTTAGGCTTATAGACGTGGCTACCTGTCCGAATAGGTAAAAGGAGCTCAGAACGCTGAAACGTTATAGTATATAGATTACCTTCATATATTTTCAATTTTCTAGATGGCGATCAAACATTTTCTATTACAGGCCGCTTCGTGTTGCCGTAGGTCAAGTTACTCTTCATCTGACAAATATACAGTTTTTCTTGAAATACTTACAACACTCTAGCGAAATGTACCCAAATTTAAACGAAACATTTAAAATGAAGCTGATTCCCATCCTAGAAGATTTTCTCTATGAGTTATACCAAAATGATCAGCTCTGTAGAAGGTCTCATAACATTAGTTGACCATAGAGGTAAATTATAGATTGATATAAAACTCTATGGTATTGACCTACTTTCGAAATATATATTTTTGTTAACAGAGTTACTTCCCTTGAAGTGTATTAAAATACTTATTAGAATTGCCTATCCAAAATAAACAAATTCAGCTCTGGGCACTCGGTATAGGGTTATATAATTAAATATATCCCTGGTTAAAAAAAATTCAATAACTGATTTACTAATTAACAAGACAACTCTTGACCGCCTAAGTGTCGACGAGGAGGAAATAGAACCCCGAATAAATGTAATAAAATACACCTCTATAGGATCAGCCCATAGTTTGCCCTGTTATTAACCCCGTATTTTGTTAGTGTCCCTTATACTTTTCTTATGGTCATAAAAATGGTTAAAAATTATTAGACCAAAAACAACTTTTAGAGATTTTGGGGGATGTCACACCTATCAACACGAGGTTTGCAGCCAATGATATAAATATACTTCGATAGGTTAGATGAGATCTGTGTTTACTTGGAAACTGGCGGTATTTTACCAGTTCCTATTTTTCACTTGACTTGTGCCAACCTTATATATCTCGATCATCTTTAATTTTCACGTGAACGAAACTACAATACACAATGTGAAATATATCTTATTATTTAACTATATATATATAATAAATTGTTATCCATCGAAAGAACTTTAAATCTTTTGGACGATCACAACTTTAAAAAGCCCGTTTTGTTATAGAAACGACAATTATTGGAGGATAAACAAATACTTGGCATATTTTTAATTTGTGAATACCATGGAAGTCCATAATACCAATATAAACAATCAAGCCATGTTAAATCATTATTATTACTCTATTTTCATTCATGAATTGTTTCATGTTTAATTGCGTATTGTAATCAGTTTTATCCCAGAGAGTCGACATGTGTGGAGATCTATTTGGAATTTAAAATTTCCTTTTCATTTTCATGACCATCTACATGGAGAGGGGTGTACCAAATTCAAGATCCTGAACTGTGCTGAAAATCCTACCACATGTTTTTCCACTTTCAAGACAAATTAGCCCTGATACTGAACTAGATAGTTGCAGTCGTGCAGATGAACCCAGGGATCCCATCACAATTCGAGTCGATTTCCTCGTTTTTAATACTCAATATGTAAAAATTGGTGTTTGCTAAAGTCTCACCATTAGCTTCCTTGAGGTTCATAGCGTTCTTCTCAGTAGGCGTATGAAATCCTCTATTTTGTTCCTTTGATTTATTAATTGTTCGTTATTATTGCTGTGCAAATATAAAGTTATATGGAATATATTTTGCCGAATTTTGCCTTTATTAAATGTGGGAAATTCGTCATTGGATCGACGCAGATCATAACTACATAAAAAAGCTTTGTGAAATGGTGTTTTCAAAATGAATTGTATGTCGTAGCTAAATACTTCTTCTTAAAATGTTCATTTTACCACTATAAAGAAGTATTGTGATGTATTTCACCACTATTTTATATTACTTTACCACTATAAAGAAGTATTGTGATGTATTTCACCACTATTTTATATTTTTTTACCACTATTATATATTATTTCACCACTATTTTATATTATTTTACCACTATAAAGAAGTATTGTGATGTATTTCACCACTATTTTATATTTTTTTACCACTATTATATATTATTTCACCACTATTTTATATTATTTTACCACTATAAAGAAGTATTGTGATGTATTTCACCACTATTTTATATTTTTTTACCACTATTATATATTATTTCACCACTATTTTATATTATTTCACCACTATTTTACATTATTTTACCTCTGTTGTGATATATATAATCACTATTGTGAAGTTCCTCAATATACCACTATTGTACAATATTTTACCACTATTGTGAAGTTTCTGAATAAACCACTGTTGTTTAGTATTTACCACCATTGTGAAGTTTCTCAGTATATCACTCTTGTATAGTATTATATCCGGCCTGAAATGTTTGTTTACATCCCTGCGTTTAGTTGTTCCCTTCAATCAAACAGTTTTAGTTTAAGTCGCGTCTTTTTACCTAGTAATGTAACAAGACTGGTTCGACAATACATATGAAAGAAAGCGCTGCACTAACTGAAAGTAGGACTGATATGATGACCGCCTAAACTGTAGATGACTTTATGAGGTGATCCGTTTATTTTCTGAGTTTTCTCCCTTGAAAGAGAAATAAATTTTTCGACTTACAAACACTTTTACCTTCAGGGCATTATGGACTGATGCTGTGAAATAAATTAACTCCGGTGTGGGTTATTACATAAGATTCCAACGAAACAATTTATTTCGGATGGAGAGGGTACAAATAGGTAATATTTTCTATTAGGATATAGCGGACTTCAACCTACTTGAAAATATTTGAGAAATAACGCAAATATTTTCGAAACAAATTAAAGGTAACCAGATATCTTCTTGGTTAATTATTTATTGTTATATTTATTACTGCCCCGACTACAGAGTATATCGATATAGTCCATACTTGCATCTTTTTCAACTTCTGAAACTCGGTTTTAGAAAAAATAGACACCGTGGACCCCAGTGAAGAAATGATGAAAGTCGCTAGAGAGAGGAAAATTACCAAAATCATTTCACAGAATACTTTGACGGTATACGATTAGCATGCATTGAAACTGGTTCGTACAGTACCAATTCTGCGCTCCATTTCCTTAAGCATTTTAATGTATGTGATGTAAAATTTTTCCCCCTGTTCAAGTTAATGTCGTTTCTTTTATAGTGGGATGCAATTTTCTGTCGAAATTTTTCTATTATTTTAACGGCATTAATTTTTTTTTTGCATTTACGAACCTACACCATATTATTTTGATAACAGATACCCATGCCGCAGTGATTGTTGTAGGAGGTTTCTCTGAAGGTTACATGCCTACAAATGCTTTGTTCAGAATAGCCAAAATTGGTTTTTCCCCCCAATGTTTCAGAGAGTAGTCTTCCCCTGTTAATTGAGAACTACAGTGGTCCTGAAAACAGTGAACCACATTCGCTGTAATTGCAGTCGTTTGAAATCTACATGACCTATGTGTTATAATGCTAGATCCGTATATCACCTTTCGGTGTAATTTCTGTTTTCCTGAAATTGTCAACATTTTTAAGTATATGTTTGCCTACTACAACTGAAATGAAATACATTTTCACCAAGATATCATGAAAATTTACCTAACCGATCGTTATAGCTATAGACGCTGCTAGTTGCTAAATCATTGAAAATCCAGTTGCTTCTATATTCTGCCAGTCACAAGGTTGATCTGGATGAAATGTATTTCACCGTTGTGGGTCAGTGCATTTTTGTACCGAACCATCCCAGTTCCTTAATAGGCTTCGCCCCCGCTGATGTTATCAACTAAATATCAAGTACATCACTAAAAAGTAGTTTAAACTGCTTACTCAGCTATTAGTAAATCCGGTTTCTTACCCCCTTTTTTAAAAACAAAATCAGATTGATCAAATAGATACATAATAGTAAATTGTGTATTTTATTTATATTATCACGTTTAATTTAGTTATAATAATGAACATTTTTCATTACTGTCCCACTAAACAACATGTTCGGTACAGAACACCGAAATCAACCAACCTTAACATTAAATAAAAAACAAAACAATTATCACGAAAGGAAAATCGTGATAGAAAATACAAAATCTATACAATGTTCTTTCCAAATGTCCCATCGTCATTGTCGATGTGGGCGTTGCAATGCTGATTTTACTAACCGAGATTCAGAGTGCCACATTGTGTTTCGGGTCAGTAACTATCCTTAACCTTCAGCTTTAACCATTAATAAATGTACCGGTTCAAACATTTTTCACTTAAAGAGATTCTTTGGCATATTACATCTCACCAAATATATTTCCGACGTGAAAATTTAGGTGTTCTTGACGAAAACATAGCTATGCAGCAATATTAATTATTCAAAACTGTAAATTTGTATTGTCATCTTTTCTCATTATTCCAGTCGATAGATGGATACATATAATCCCGGAAAGAACATTGCAAAGTGGTTTGGCCACAGATCAGTTGGTAGACAAGATCATGGAGAACGTTAATTGTTGTCCTGGTTAAATCATTTCATTTTGTCCTACGACCAGCTTATGGACAGGATCCACGGGTGGATGGCAGAAGTAACTTTTTTTTTACGATATTTCAATCTAAATTGCTGTTATACCAAACCAACAAAAACTATTGTATTGGTGTTTTACCGATTTCAGATACCCCTTTGCTTCATTATTAAGATCATGAAAATGATTTTCACATTTCGAGCATAACTATAAAGGGCTTTGTGTGCTATCAGCCCAATTGAATTTCTCATAAAAGCATGTGGACAATTGTTTTGTAAACAAAACCTGATAACCAACAAGATTATGCCAATCAATAATTAACCTAATCAGGGATCCTTGTCAGGGATCCAAGATAATTATTAATCAATGGTTTCTATTAGAAACCCTCAATCTACTTCAATAATTATAATCTTTATATATGTATAACTGACCATGTTTATTGTGTAGTATATATCCCTTTAAATATGTATAAGGTTTCTAATAGTAACAGTTGAACAATAAAAGTATCACAATAAATAAAGGTTTTCTGACGATTGAAGAACACAATATCTGTTATACGACTACTGACCACATATCAAAATGGAAAACACCAAGGCCTTCGATATTTATAAAGATTTTGAAAAAAGAAAAGCAATGACCAAAGAAGAAATGTTGAGCAAATTAAACGAATGGGCAAAATCTGGCAAATATGAAAAGGTTGGTAGTAAACATTTAGAATATTTGTATTGAAGGGAAGGCTCAGGTCGATGGGAGAATCAGAGCATATCATCAGAACTGTTGCAGTCGACGTGAACGAAGAGCACACGAACGGATCATATAATCTGGTATAGTCGACGCGAACGAAGAGCATACGAACGGATCATATAATCTGGTATAGTCGACGTGAACGAAGTGAATGAACGGAGAAATTTACTTCTTTATTCGAATTTTCCATTCGGCACCCTTTTCTAGTGCTCGCATGGTGCATTTTTTTTATGTCGTGTTGACTAGACCAGTCGCAGAGTGGTATCAGGTGTCCAATGTTCACATGTTCACATTAAATCACTTGAATTATTCATTTTACTGCTGGCGTGAATTTTTAGCGTGGCTAACTTAAAGAGAAATCCGTCATTCATATTGGCTGGTATTAATTCTCATCTAGCCCCCAAAAGGAAGTGAAAATACCAATTCCCAATCATAGTAGCCTTATTCACTGATCACTTAATCTATATTTAAGGATATGTTGGTAGCGAATTGGAAACCACAGAAAACAGCCTGCGAAGTTATTACAAATTACTATAACCCTGATCGAGATGAAATCAGAATTATTGACGTAGCTTCCGGTACAGGACTTGTGGGAATGGAGGTAGGCTTATGTTTTCTTTCAAATATAACGTCTTGTTTCAAGATCAATTTCACCCAAACCCGGAGATAACATTTAAGAGTAGTTCAAGATAATTTCAATGTATAGTTAGCTATTTAAATCCATACTTTAATGATCCCCGTTTCATCAACTCCTGAAGCAATTGCATAGGTTATTTGTTGTAAATCTCGCCAGAAGTATTAATTCCACGAGTGTTTTTTTTTTTCAAATCAATTTACTTTTATACAGTTTCTACTTTTAATCTAGGCCAGTGCTTCTATAGGAGAGTATCCTCTAAAACACCTAATGTAATAATCTTACCACTTTTTATTTCAGCTTCTGAAACTTGGATTTAGAAATGTGGACGCCTTGGACCCCAGTGAAGAAATGATGAAAGTTGCCAAGGAGAGGAAAATTTATCAAAATCATTTCACAGAGTACTTTGACGGTACACGATTAGCATGCATTGAAACTGGTTTGTACACTATTATGATCTCTCAATTGTTCTAGCCGTGAAAGGGATTTGTTGTCGATGACGAAGGGGCAAGTGATTGGAACAATATATTTGCAGATAACTTCTACAGAACATTTTGGTAGAACCAAGGAACGAAGGAAATTCAACAGTCATCCGCCTTCCGAAAATCAATCAATTTATTGCGTCTATGTTTGTCACGATGCTTATAAAAGGTTGCGATGATGTTCCTGCGAAGGGAAAAATACCAGGAACAATATCGCACAAACTTCTCTCGTTAAAAGATTCCTCGAAAGTTGAAATATCTTAAACGAATAGTAGGCTATTTAGATGGAAATTTCCCGCTTATCACACACCAAAGCATAAATCAGAAACTAGAGCTCAAAACCTCATTTCATTTCATCATATTATTCCATTACATTCTGTTTATTTTAATTTCAGATACCTATGACGCAGCATTTGTAGTAGGAGGTTTCTCTGTAGGTTATATGCCTACAAATGCTTTGTTTGAATTGATAAGAATAGCCAAAATTGGTAAGTTGGAAAAATATCATATATTTATTCTCTCTCTCTCTCTTTAGAAATTCTTTGCTTGACGTAAAAAATTGAAATAACCAAAGCAAAGGCTCGGTATATCAGAGACTTTTCACATAATCAGTTTTCATGTGAGGTAGTTTGGAAACTTTATCTAAAACACAAGGTGATTTAATTTATCGATGTGAGTCTATAATATAATAGACTGCAAGATTTGTTGTTAAATTTTATCGACCGTTTATGCTCTGTATATTTTTGTTGACAGGTGGGTTGTTGATTTTATCAGTATGGGAAGGATTTGATGAAATGATAGACGAATACCGAGATCGATTTTTTCCTCTCACTCAAAAGATGGAGAAGAATGGCGAGTTAACTCTCCTCCGAGAGGATGTGATCCCGAAACCAGACAAGGAGCCAAATGGACTAAGATTGGTGTACCGTGTACATGTTTCAGAGAGTAGTTTTTCCCATTTAAAAGCTCTCCAGAATTGCAACGAATTTTAATACATTATGGAGCAATGGAGTTTTACATCCTAATTTTCTTATCCTTACAACATGAATATTATCAACTTGAGGCTAACTAGAATATCATGCACATTTTCGCCTATGGATTTTACAGGAATATGTACTAGTTTCGCATGTATTGATTTAATCTGTGATTATTGGTGTTCTCTGATTCTGTGAAATTGAGAAAACTTTCAGTGTTAAAACCACTACAAACCAACGGGGGCTCTGGTCGAAGCAACACAGTTACTTCCCCCGAGTAGGAGAACGTCAAGGAACAAAATAATAGCCGTGTCTCCTCAAAATTTTAGTTGAACCAATTACCCACTGGAAAAATTGCAGGAGAGCATATGTTCAAAAAATATCCCAGGTGAGGGGCCCCAAACCACTTCAGTCCATGGACCCCCACTCATAGGCTATAGTTGAGCCACTGAAAATGTAACGTAACAATAGTTACTAACAATAGTACTTTGAATCCGTTGAATAATAAATTTTGTTATTTTTGTTAAACACTTATTTTCATTTTCGATATCTGTACATCTCACCCGGTGAAATAGTAACGTTTTCATTTATGCAAAATTTTAACCTATATGTAGGCTCTATAATAGGATTGTAGAGTTTACAAACCGAAATACCACATAAACGTTAAGAGCTCTGGGAAATCTCTGAAAGGGATGTCAAGTTGACAAACCCAACAAATAGACTATAACAAAAAACATACCTAAAGAGCTTTGAGGAATCTCTGAAATTAGGCCAAGTTTATAAACCAAATAGCTTACCACATAACTATTTTTTACTATGTGGACTCTATAAAACGGATACGCCAAATTACACACATTGAGTGGTCCCTGTGTAGAAGCATACTATGTCTCTCTAGTACGGTATTATTATAGTATATAGACACAGCTTTATGGAACAACAATCACTGGTTAAAGTTTTATGCAACGTTTCGACGTGTTTCCACACAGCTTTATGGAAAAACAATCACTGGTTAAAGTTTTATGCAACGTTTCGACGTGTTTCCCCCGTCGTCCTCGGCTACCAGTGATTGTTGTTCCATAAAGCTGTGTCTATATATCGTACTCACAATTGCTAAATGCCATTCAAAGACATTATTATAGTAGTTCAATTAAAAGCCTTGGTTAATTTTAGTAACATGTCAAAAGGTTATTATTAGCCAGTGTTTTCATTGGATGATATAAATTGTCGCAACTTTTGATTGGTTTGCTAAAAATAGATTCAAGCAGTTCATCTATATACAACAGAGCAACATGGCTGAATTTGTAGCAGACGATTTTTATAATCAGACATTGATTTGGAGAAGTTTGCTGATTTCTATTCTCGATTCAAGATGGCTTCAGCATGCATTGACGTGTATGTCAAACTACCTTCCGGAAAAAATGCTCAGTACGATTTGTTTTCAACCGATACGATCGCAATTCTGTGCGGTGAAATTGCAAAACGGGAGAATCTGGATAGAAACCGTTTGAAAATCAAATATCAAGGAAAAGTTCTGAAGAAATCGTCAGCCCTTGGTTATTTGGGGGTCGTCGCTGAAACGATTTTAAAGGTAGAGATCGTTCAACCTCAGGATTTAACTATAAAAGTACTGTATTCGGAGGAAACAAAAGTTATAACCATTTCAAATCTTAAAACTGTAATAGACTTGATAACCGAAATTGAAAAATCGATAGACTTGAACAATAAAATGATAACTACGGTGAGTACCCATTTACTACTTTTACTTTTGAAAGTAATAACTTCACTGAATTGGACTTTTACGTTTTTCTTACTGTTCTACATCTATGCTTATGTTTTTATCAACCAGGAAAGGTAAATGCAAATAGCTCGAATGACATTGTAAATGTTTTCATTTTGATGACCAAGGGAAAAGCTATAGTAGTCATTACCGTAGATCCCATTAGCCACCCTTGATCATCCAAGATGACAATATAATTGGATATACGTGGAATAAGACCAATAGGAATCCTGGATCAATCTAGATGACAAAATGAATCATTTTAGAAGGAAATGTACGGAGACAAACAAAACAGTAGCTTCTCCTCACCATATCTTAAAACCCTGTCACCTTCCGTATCTTTTCAGAAATGTGGTATGAGAATTTCCAGAAATGGTACAGTTCTAGATGAGCTAGGACTGGTCAGTGGAGAGGAGTTAATTGTCAGTGAGATTAGCACTGCCACAAATGCGACTACTTCGGACCCAAGCCTCAGTGAAAGCGACCTAGACGAAATCAAGACCAGCTTCAATGCACAGGGAAAGAAAGTTGAGGTGGCTTTCTCCTTCGATACCACTGGAAGCATGTATGCTTATTTGGACACGGTTCGGCAAAATTTGAAACAGGCGTGTTCACGATTGATCGCAGACATACCAAATATTCGAATTAGCCTCATTGCACATGGCGATTATTGCGACCAGTCAACATACGTCATCAGAATGGTAGATCTGACGTCGGATGTGCAAGAATTGGTAACATTTGCAAAAGACGTACCTTCAACAAGCGGCGGTGATACACCCGAATGTTACGAATGGGTTTTACGTAAATCTCAGTCTTTAGATTGGGCTGAAGATTCAGCGAAAGCTTTAGTGGTTATTGGAGACAGTCCTCCTCATGAAATGGACCATACAGATCAGAGAATCGACTGGCATGATGATCTGGATGTTTTAACTGGAATGGGAGTAAAGGTGTACGGCGTACATGCAGGTGGAAGTGTAGAAAGCAAATTTTTTTATCAAGAATTGGCAGATCGTTCAGGCGGCTCGTATCTTCCCCTTAAAAACTTTGATGTCATCACCGACATGTTTTTAGCCGTCTGCTACAACGAATCTGATGAGAACCATCTAGAGGAGTTCGTTCAGGAAATCGAAAATACTGGAGAAATGACGGAAGCAAAGAGAGAAATTTTCACAAGTCTTAAATCTGAGAAAAAGACTGATAAACCGCAAGAGATAGATAACAGACAAATGTACACTTGGTGGAACAAGCCCAGAAAATCAAATAGAATGGTGCCGCCTAGTTATTATTATGATCAGCAAAAGGATAACTGGAGTAGTAGGTCATTGTCCAATGACGTCACGTCATCTGTGGCGACCCGAATTCTTAGTTCAGTTTCTCCTGGAGTCAACACCAAAAGTCCAAAACGTTCCATAAGAGTGAAACTTTGTAAAAAAACGTGCGTAGTTATGTAAGCCGAATCTGTCGGGATTGGTTCAAGGTCGGCCAACTTGTACCAAAATATAAAAATATCTTTAAAAGCACCGGCCATGTTCTTCGCGGCATCCCACGTGATCCACACAAATCGACTTTGACTAATATCTAAATGTACATGTACACGGGAAAATGATTTTAACAGCCTGGAAACTTGTCATCTAACCAGAAGTTGGTTATTCATTCTGAAGAGTCAGACACTTATCTCCTTTCAACCGACAAGGTATATTTGTAGACGATTGTATCCCTTTAATACATTTCGCGACTGATGTGTTTTATTGTCGAGTAGCTCGAAAAATTAATGATCTTTGAAGCAAACCAACGACCGATGTTAGATAAAAGGTACATTCAGGTCTCTTGAACGATATTCTATTATTATTCTATACAATTCTTAATTTGAATATGAAATATTTGCGCACCTTGTAGCATATTTTAGTGTCTTGTTAGCAGTAAGAAGACTTAGGCAGTTTTTATTATATTATAAGGTATTATTGAATACTATCTTTTGCTCAAATTTAATTGTACATACATGAAACATTTTGCTCCTGTTGCTTTCTCTTGTTTTTATTCAACTGCAATTTCCTGCTTGAAACTTTGCAATGGGGGAAAAGGAAAAATATTTCATTACAGCTGTCGTCATTCGCGTCATCCCATCTGATGTCCAACTGTCGAGATATCTGTTGGGTATTGCAATGGGTAAGCGCCTTCCAAACGACATGACACTTTTTTCGATGGGGCAAAGGGTTGAGAAAATGCATGGATCCTTTAACGTAAAGTGTGCTTATTCGCTACAAATTTCAACCCGGAAGAGGTTCTATTCATATCCTACACAAAAGACCCATCGATATGTACAGTATATTTATTAATTGTACAAATCAAACATTTGAGCATACCCAATTGCAGATTGGCACTTGAAGTTGAGCATGAACTGTCAATTTAGCAACACACCCTTCACGTTTTGAAACAGATCTGTACAACCTTCATCTTTGATCACAGTCAAAAAGATTCACTACCTGATGTTGTACAACAGATGGTCAAAAATAAATGTACTTTCACAGTAATAATAGTTATATCAGTCGTAACGTACGCTTAAATTTACTTGAATTGAAAATGATCAAGATCATTATAGAAAATGCTGCTGATATAGCTGAAATTAAGCTTTTTCCACCGGGGAAGTATATTTAGACGACTTATCACTTCAAGTACTATTTTTATATCGTATATCAAGACACATTTATTGTAATCTCTTTGTTTTTATCGTCCGTATCAGATCTACTGTAGTCTTCTTTCATAAATAATAAACACAGAAAACACACACCAAATATAGCAATTAGTAGCCAATTCATCCAAACTGTACCTAGAATATAGAACAAATAAAGTTTTACGCCCTTTTCTGCACATTTTGGCTAAGTAAGATATCTGTCTCGCTTTCTTTATTGCTTTGCAATTGTCGATGGTTCTATAGCTCGATTAACAGAAGGAACACGTATTTGTATATCGACTGTGCCACCTCACAGATGCACTACAACTATATGAGGCATTAGTTTGAAGCCAGCCTATGTGACCTCAACACTTTAAATCCCGAATTGCGTACATTCAGTCCAGCTATGCCTAGCATAAGAGATTAAAGTGCAATTATAAGATGATCCATAAGTTGCGAATTGATGATGCTTACGTCCTCGCCTATTCTACAGATAAAATTCCTAGAAATAGTTTTATTAGCCCAGTGGATATAAACATACACAAAGTGCAATTACAAGCTATATTGCTCCAGATGCACTTGGAAAAGTTCCTATCTCTGAAAAATAAGCAGTTGTCGATGCGTTTGACCCGTTTAGTCGAAACGAATCTTGGTACATACCTATATTTGGTATTGAAAGAATACCTAAAAATATCAATGATGCTATATTAGCCTGCATGGTCAGAGCTAAATTAGCTATTCCTTCTGAGATAGGGTAAGCTATTTCACACGCTGCTTCATAAAATAGGGGACTGGTTGAACACAATATTATAGTTGATGTTATTATAGACACGTACAGAGAGGCTGAAATACAAAAATATGAATTTAAAAAAGTTTCTTCATTTTTGTAAGCTGAAAAACGTTGCATCTTGTCTTATATTACGTATAGGTTGACTCTGCCATGCTTTGCTCTAAACTCTTGGACACGCACCCCAATGGAACTAAGACTCAACGGAATATATGCGGAATATATCCTCAACAGTTACAAGCAAAAACAAGGCCCATGGCCCCCGTTACAGCTAAAAGAAGATTAAACCACCTTTAGAAGCAGGCAATATTCCAACCAAGGAGAAAGTTAACCAGATATACAATACGGTACTGAGAAAATATAACACTATTAGAAATATCTTCAACCTCCGTTTTAACAGATCAGCAAACCTAGAAAAAAATCAACATAATCCTATACTCATTGTATCCCTTCGATATCCAGACTTCTTTGATCAATTGTACCTTTAGCCTATTGTGTCTACTGTCTTGGAATGATCGGCGATGAATTACGTACCACAGGCGATTGTCAAGTAAAACATTTAACCCATTTTGAGTCACCCAGTCGTCGACTCTTATGAAATTTACTGCTATTCTCCTCTTGTTCTGATAATATTAAGGAATTCATACCTGGCTATCACTATACCAACTAACCAACCTGCAACTGACGAGTAGAATCCGATCCAGCCGGCATCATTCTGAAAACATTATCTCTTTTTTAAACGGGGCAAAATGCTGGAAATGTTTTCTACAAAGATACAAATATGACCAAGACGGGAATTGTGGTGGGAGGCGCCCAATAAAATTCTCAGAAAAAATATGCGTTCACAGTTTAGTAAGACATAAATCCGAGTTGCCATATCTAACCATAAATAATTGTCATTGTACTAATGTAATAGCTATTAGGACGCGACATTTTGTTATGTTCTGATCCATAGAATCGGCCACTGCATTAGGTAACTAGTTGGACAGTTTCGTCAGGTCTAGCATTATTTTTATCGTAAACACCAGAAACATTTATCGCAATCATCGAATCCAGCACTCAATCTGTCCCTTCTAGAAAGGGGCAAGTCAGTCTTCATACCTGTGATATTCCATGTGCTTTCAAGTTGACATTTAACATAGAGCCCCAGGCTTCTCTGATTCCTGTAGACGACCCATATAACACCGCAATAAACCAGAAAGTTGGTTTATGTCTGAAATTAAAAAGATCATTGAGACAATCGAAAACTACTGTATAAGATGAAACAATAAAGATCATTACCAAATCCAAATTTAATAATAAGCCTATATCAATTGTTTTTTTTTGTCATTTAAAGTTGATCGTGAACTAGAAATTGTTTATTTCACAAAAGATTTTATGTGAGATTACATCCATCCATTTCAAATATTACCAAGTTTTTATAAACTTGCAAAAATCACATGTACCTTATAAGTCTGATGAGACCACTTTTATAGTCCAGTCTTTGGATGGAGGCAGAAGGACTGGGGGGTAGAGGGGGTTCACCCGGAAAATAAACAATAACAACTATAAATATAGCTGTACACAATCCAGCCACTGAAATAAACACAATATCAAAGTTAGGATTTAATCTAATATTCCAAATATTTAAGATGGCATAGCCGTTCAATTATTCGTTTGTCAGATGAAAAAGCTCTATTGGAGCTACCCTAACACTTTTCAAAATTAAAAAACTGGTTATAGATTCATCTGTCATAAAAACAAATGTATTTCTATCTTCTCTAGAATTTCAATTGAAAGAAATGAAATGGAGTTATATGTTTTAATATCTCCGACAGATTGGCTAAATGGTAATAACGCTATGCAGTGTGAAACGAGGAAAAGTTTGTCAAAATGGTGGCCTAAACCTTCTCCCTAGCGACGTCCATTGATCCATGTATAATGTACAGAACTTACTTCCATACAAATAATTGTTGATATTTTGCCTTTCTGTTTCTATAACAGCTTCTGAAATAGACATATAACTTTTCTGAAACTATTACTCCTTACTGTAGTTAAGCACTTGATGGGTTATTGAAATATAATTCCTCTGAAATACTTTGTTTTGTGTACGTTTGGAACATATGGAATGAAAACTGAAAGAGGTTTTATGTCTTACTTTTTTGTACTGTACCGAGTTTATGGAGGAGATTTAGATCTTATGATCCACCCCTTATTGGATTAATGAAACTAGGTTCTCTGGAGTAATTTTGCTCTATGATTTAAAGTTTGACATAATTACCTAGTAATTGAGATGAATTGGAGTGCATGCTGAAAAGAAATTAAAAAAATTATAAAAAAACACATAAAACATTATTTTATTCCAACCATTTCTGCTCCAGCTATTTATTTATTTTGCATTGACAACCAGCATGATTTTTAACAAACTTTTCGGTAATAATGTACTTGACTGTCAGAGTGAAATGGCTTACGAATCTGTCACAAAGCCGTATACCATGAAAGTCCCGCATTTACGACATAATTAAAATTCATTTCCAAAATATAACCCAAAGGTTCCAGAGCTATGGACTGTCACAATATTACTTGGAATTGACTCGCCCTAGAATACACAACGAATCGAACCATTCATTAATATTCGAGGTCTTTCAGCTGTACGGAAACTTCGAAGTATTACCGATTGTTGTCAGGAGGATTTACTTGTGGGTTTTCCCCTTTTCTATTTTGGAAAAACCCTTCTTAAAATAAACTATAAGCCTGAACATGAATTAGACCGTTTACAACAGCAGAGATACAGGATTTACTACCATAACTCTGATATCGTGATTCAGCACAGGTAACGTTTGAATAAATATTATTGTAATAAAAATAGACGGATTGGTCATCCGTAGCGCGAATGTCTGGTGACGCTTGCATATTTTTTAGAAAGTACTTTTTATCCCTGGTTTCTGCCAGTGTGAAAAGAAAGTAAAAAAATGGATCAAAATAACAATTCCGTGTACAATGGACATTAATTTGAATTTAAAGGAATCAAAACCATCGTAAGGAGGGAAGAATAATGTTTCGTTACATTCTGAAAACCTTGGATTCCAGAGTGCCGTGTCAGTGGTATGAAATCTATGGTCCAAATTATCAGCATTATCAAATTCATCAGTAGAACCAGGGTCAGAAAAGTGGGGCGTAAAACTTCATTTCATTTCAGAAAGAAAACTTTCCAATCAATATGTCGAGAGAATCTTACCAGAGTAGAATCGAAGTAGCTTACGAGGAAGACCTAGTTGGTTTTGTTCCACCGGAGCAGAGAAACAAAGAGGACAAAACATTACGAGAAACAGACGAATGGTCGGCTACAGACAAGAGGGGGACATCAATCTCGACCAACGAGAAGAAAAGCGACACCAGTCAATCTAAGGATGGTGCCAAAAAATAGCAACTTGCCCCGTTCTTTTTTTAGATTGGCTTTTGCTTTTTTCGATATTCAACACATCTATGTAGAAATTGTTATGTTTTGTAAATAAATATACTGCATTATAGATATTGTCTAAACTATTATATTTATTTTTAACATTTTTGCAGAAATGTCTCTACCACATCATAATGTGCTTCTGAACACATCTTGACCAGGAGTCACTCTGCATTGGTTGTCAGTAAATGTTAAATATTATTTTAGACCACATACCACACATTTCAATCTTTTCTTAGTGTCTACAAACTTTTATTTTTTAAAAACAATAATAAAATATTAAAAATGTCATTTTGCTCTAGAGGCATGCATACGATTACCTAAATGAATGAAGAGCAAACCCCTTGATAAATTATTAGGAAATGGATAATCCAAGAAGGGAACAACATCAATGAATTGAAATTCGAAATCCTTTATAGAATAGCACAATGAAATTATACTCTGAAAGGCCATCAAAACGGCAAGCTGTAATCAACACTGCAAAAAACAAGACTAACCACGTGACCACGAGCGCTGAGGATAAAAGTATTACGCTGTATAATATTATCAACCGCTCCTATATAGGGTTCAATGTATTTCTGTTTAGTTACCTCTTTCAATATACATTGTGTTATAACATGTTCATTATGTTTGTTAATATATATTTATTAAGGCTAGATAGGATATTCATCTTAATTTTCCGTTCAAAACGGAGACAGACTTACATACAAGACATGTCCACACTTACATACAAGAAATCCCAACACTTACATACAAGAAATCCCAACATTTACAACAAGACATGTCCACACTTACATACAAGAACTGTCCACACTTACATACAAGAAATCACTACACTTACATACAAGAAATCCCAACACTTACAACAAGACATGTCCACACTTACATACAAGAACTGTTCACACTTACATACAAGAAATCACTACACATACATACAAGAAATCACTACACTAACATACAAGAAATGCCCTTACTTACATACAAGAAATTCCCTTACTTACATACAAGAAACGTCCACACTTACATACGAGAAATGCCCACACTTACATACAAGAAATTACCACACTTACATACAAGAAATGCCCACACTTACATACAAGAAATGCCCTTACTTACATACAAGAAATTTCCACACTTACATACAAGAAATGCCCTTACTTACATACAACAAATGTCCACACTTACATACGAGAAATGCCCTTACTTACTTACATACAAGAAATCTCCATACTTACATACAAGAAATGCCCTTACTTACATACAAGAAATGCCCACACTTACATACGAGAAATGCCCTTACTTACATACAAGAAATCCCCTTACTTACATACAAGAAATGCCCTTAGTTACATACAAGAAATATCCACACTTACATACAAGAAATGTCCACACTTACATACAAGAAATGCCCACACTTACATACAAGAAATGCCCACACTTACATACAAGAAATGTCCACACTAACATACAAGAAATGTCCACACTTACATACAAGAAATGCCCACACTTACATACAAGAAATGCCCTTAGTTACATACAAGAAATGTCCACACTTACATACAAGAAATGCCCTTACTTACTTACATACAAGAAATCTCCACACTTACATACAAGAAATGCCCTTACTTACATACAACAAATGTCCACACTTACATACGAGAAATGCCCTTACTTACTTACATACAAGAAATCTCCATACTTACATACAAGAAATGCCCTTACTTACATACAAGAAATGCCCACACTTACATACGAGAAATGCCCTTACTTACATACAAGAAATCCCCTTACTTACATACAAGAAATGCCCTTAGTTACATACAAGAAATATCCACACTTACATACAAGAAATGCCCTTACTTACATACAAGAAATGCCCTTAGTTACATACAAGAAATGTCCACACTTACATACAAGAAATGCCCTTACTTACTTACATACAAGAAATCTCCATACTTACATACAAGAAATGCCCTTACTTACATACAAGAAATGCCCACACTTACATACGAGAAATGCCCTTACTTACATACAAGAAATCCCCTTACTTACATACAAGAAATGCCCTTAGTTACATACAAGAAATATCCACACTTACATACAAGAAATGTCCACACTAACATACAAGAAATGTCCACACTTACATACAAGAAATGCCCTTACTTACATACAAGAAATGCCCTTAGTTACATACAAGAAATCTCCACACTTACATACAAGAAATGCCCTTACTTACTTACATACAAGAAATCTCCACACTTACATACAAGAAATGCCCTTACTTACATACAAGAAATCCCCACACTTACATAAAAGAAATGCCCTTACTTACATACAAGAAATGCCCTTAGTTACATACAAGAAATATCCACACTTACATACAAGAAATGTCCACACTAACATACAAGAAATGTCCACACTAACATACAAAAATTGTCCACACTTACATACAAGAAATGTTTCTGGAACTGACAATGGCCCTGAAATATAAATTTTAGACTTATTGTCACATTCGGCGACAAAACATCCAACACCTCTAATGATGCATTATACCATAGCTTATCATATATATACGTGTTCACTATTTCGGATCTTCTGATGTGACACCACTATAAGTATGGTTGTGAGTGTTACTTGTGAGGAATGCTCCGCCCTCTGGACTGACCCCAAATCATCTTGTCATTTTGGCACCTATTTGAGGAAGTTCATATAGCTAATGTTGATTATTATATATATATATATTTTTTCATCATGAATAGTCTATTCGTGCTAAAAAGCAGCATGGGACGATTCAAGTGAAATAACTCAGAAACCATTCATCAAAACATCCAGATGTTCCAAAAATACATGCAAGAAAAGGTTGGAAAGAGATTGTTCGCCTGAATCTCTGGAATAATTTTAGCCTATATAAACGAACACCATTGGCTTGAATGGCATAATTTTAATTCCTGGAATTTCAAAGGAACCACAGACATCGCGCAGAACATTAAATTAGAATAGGGAAATTGCACGGTAAAGGAGCTTTCGATACACAAACCCAAAAACTTTTGAGTTGATCAAGGGACGTAATCCAAGATGTAATATTATTATATTTACCCGCAATACACGATATACCGACAGCAAACCACTGAAAACCAGACATGATCGCCGTAGCTGTTGTCCGTTGACTCGGTGGAAACCAAGTAGCAGATACTACAGGACCCATTCCTTTACCGATAGGACCAGCTACACCATTTAACAGTTGTCCTGAATGAACAACCCTGTAATACCAAGAAACTTTAGTGATTCTTCGTGTTCGTATGTTGGAATGACTTTTATCTGCCATATTACTCTAGCCTGACAAATCTGGCCCTTCTCGTTCCTCGAGCGTGATATACGGATGAGATATCGTCTTAAACGTGCCCATATCCCACTCGCCCACAAGGGTCCGAGAAACGGGTTGGGCCAGATTTGTCGGGCTGAAGTTACACATGATCTCTTGGTTGTATAGTGCACTGTGCAGAAAACAAAAAACTTTTTCTGAGGTCATCTGACATTGCCATTATCCTCATCTGAAATTGTCCATGTTACTCATGACTACCTCACTGATTTGTTGGATGTCGACTTTGACATATGAATTGTTTTCATTGTTTTCATTGTTTTCCCTACGCGATTGTAGACGGTTTAACGAGACGTCAGAAATGTAGAGAGTATGGTTTTCTGATGCTCACCATGTAGAGAAAATACATATATTTACCATTTGTTATAAGGAGGTTCAGTAATGGTGCATCGTACAGCTGACCCAGCAGCAACTAAACCACTGGCTACTAATAGGGACACTCGCAATCCTGAAAAATAAAATATAAAAAGGCGCATGAGGTTTTTGCTTCAGTGCATTGTTAAAAGAATAAAAGAGCAATAAGATAAGCCAACATTATCTAAAGAATGTTTAAGTTAAAAAAAAATTTATTGATCGAAGTAATTTGTATTTTAATGAGACCATTGTCTTGTGAAGTCTACGGCAACAACGTCTGATACCTTACCTAAAAGGCAAACATTAACAATAGAGCGACATTGTATGCTACTCTCAACAGAATATTACAAACCTTTGGTTGAAATCAGCCATGAAAATGGAATAACCATAGGTATATAACAGATTGGCCCCCAGTTGGCATAAAAGGCAATATCTGCATCCGTCCAACCGTAGGCATGTTCACTAGTAGCCGCTATAGGTCCCCAAAAGTTCCACACATAAGCTTGGGTACCAGCTAGAAGGGAGTATATAGTTAAGATGTACCATCTTCTTTTGTATACCTGAAAAAAGAGTAGGTAGATATACCCAATGAATCAAAGAAAATTCGGCATATTATTAGGCCCCAAGGGCTCAGAAGAATATCAACTTAGACCTAAGTTCTTGAGAACCCTGTCTATCAGAGGTTCTTCGAAAATAAAACTCTTGGTATTTTCTTTTTCGGATCATCTGTGCCCATATACAGTTGGGAAGACTGGAATAATGAGGAAAGATGATTAATTCATGGTCACCAAACTTTTGCACGCTGCTCAATATTGGAGCCCATCGTCGTTGACATTGACGTTACCTTTAGACGTTACCAAGCAAATGACGTCATGAATCCAACCTTCTAACCGGTTGCACTGCAGAGCTAGGAGGTACGTTATCAGAAACACCGATTAGTAGGCCTAAATGTTATTACAGTTATGATACTAACCAGGTTTCTAGTTTGATGTCAGAGCCATCATGAGGCTTGTAACTTAAAAATAATCGTAGTCCTAGGCCTACAATTTTAAAAACAATAGGCTAAGCTTTCTCATTTGTCCCAATCAATAGGCCTATAATTTTAGGCATAGGCCTAAGGATTAGGCTACATCGGGCCAGCCCAAACGTACCTGAAGCCCACTGTTACCCTTGCCCTCATCTCTGCTAACTGATGGAGGTCGAACCTTCCTGAGCTCTTTATACAGCTGGTTCACCAGATCGTCACTAGCTGCTGGGGTGAAATCGGCCATGCTAGAGGATCTAGGCAATGGTATATCGATCTGTAAATTGAAATTGAAATAGCTTTACCAAACCAGTGTGAGCAGTCTGAAAGGTGTGTCAAAATGACAATACAAAAGCGTCTTAAGCATTGTTACATTGTGAGACAGTCCTAGTTTAAAACAAGGACGACATTGGCTGCTCTCAAGGTAGGCCTATTAGATTGACATTGTTAAGATGGTGGATCAGTGAGTTGATGCCTAATTCGTTGTATGAATGGTTATTATTACATAAAGCATTGCAGTCAAACCTTTGGTACGGGTTTCTCTCTTTTCTTCTCACCAATAGATTCTAGGTTTCCAAAATCAACCATGCTCTTTGATCTGAGCAGTCGATCCTTACTGGCTGAAAACTTTCGTAATCCTGAACTTTGTGGATTCTGAAAAAGACATGAAAAGATCTCAAGGTAGCCATCAATCCAAAAATGCATAATGATTTATATAGGTAACTTTTCTCCTTCTAATTTGGATTTTGACTTATGGTTGGGGACAGATACATGTCAGTTTTCTTCTTGTGATTCACAGCTAAAATTGTTTTTTTTATCAAAGCTGTTAACCATACCTTAACATAACGACTTTTGCTGAGGCCCTGCAACTTCTTGTCTTTTTCAGTCTGGGATTGTAGCTCGAACGATGAGAATTCTACCATACTTATGGATTTAGGCAGACCCATTCGATTTTTACCTCTCTTACTGTCTGACTCCATGTTTGTTTTCTGAAAAATGGAGCTTTATGCCTTACTTGCATAAATTTGAAACTCTTTTTATGATAATACTGAGAACGAGCAACGCCATACAGTGTTCAATGGAACATTTTTGGATTTTGAACTGTCGAGTGCTATTCAATGATTGCTGCTTATTATAATATGAAATGCAATGAATAATATATGAAACTAAGAAACACGAAAAAAAAAACTTACCTTTATGCTATTTGTGCTTCACGGTGATTCTGCTCAAACCATATTCACTGTGTTTCTGTAACCTGCATTAATTTAAAAAAAACCTAATTTACCCCGCTTCATTACAACAATCATAAATTGAAATGGATTGGAGATTTACGTCCTATGAAGTTCTGTTCAATTTTGCTTGGAACAACCATAAGTAAAACACGAACTAACGACTGGTCACAAACACACAATGCGACAGGCAATGTACAAAGTAATGTCGTATAATGCAACATCTTTATTGAAAGTGATACACGAAATATCAAAATCAATATCAATATCAACGAAATAAGACACTAATCCCATACATTTTGAGACACCAATGTAACACTAAATGAGACACCGATGTAACACTAAATGAGACATCAATTCAACAAGAAATGAGACACCAATGTAACACTAAATGAGACATCAATTCAACAAGAAATGAGACATCAATTCAACAAGAAATGAGACACCTATGTAACACTAAATGAGACATCAATTCAACAAGAAATGAGACACCAATGTAACACTAAATGAGACAACAATGTAACACGATACGAGACACCAATTTAATGCGATATGAGACACCAATGTAACGTGAAATTAGACACCAATGTAACGTGAAATTAGATAGCGAAACTATTGTAGCATGGAATAAGGAGACACCAATGTAACGCGAAATTAGACACCGATGTAAAGCGAAATTAGACACCAATGTAACGCGAATCTAACACTAATGCAATAATGTAACACGATAATTATGAGAACGCAAAACGAGACACCAATGTAAAGCGAAATTTAGCTCACCAAACAAGACACCAATGTAACGCAAAATTTAGCTCACCAAATGAGACACTAATGTAACGCGAAATTAGCTCAATGTTGTATGAATGAGACACCGATGCCACATAAATTTTAACATGAGACGCAGTTGAAACAAGAATTGAGACACTAATATACACCTTTGATGCACACAGTTTGACACTTAATGTACCAAGCAATGTACACACTAATGACCTATAGTACAGAGTAATGGTACTACGATATCATAAATTAGATTAACTATATTATCAGAACAATGAAATAAACAAAACTTATTACTGCATAATGTTGTATTCAGAGATGATCTTATCGTCAAGACAATGCCAAATCTACTAACGATGCCAACCTGATTATGTTTTTCGGGAAGAAAGTCATATATTTTCTTTGATTGTGGTGTCGTTCAGGTTTTTGGGTCATGGATTGAATGTGTTATTTGTGGTATTGGTTGTCGTCCAAAGATTTCAGGTCATGAATTGAAAGTCTTTTCTCTTATTGTGAAGTGTCTTCCAAGATTTTGGGATCATGTATTGATAGCGTTTCCTGTTATTGTGGCGTCGTACAGGGCTTTTAGATCATGTATTGATAGCGTTTTCTGTTATTGTGACGTCGTACAAGGGCTTTTAGATCATGTATTGATAGCGTTTTCTGTTATTGTGACGTCGTACAGGGCTTTTAGATCATTGTATTGATAGCGTTTTCTGTTATTGTGGCGTGGTCCAGGGTTTTTAAATCATGGATTGAAAGGGTTTTCTGTTATTCTGGCGTCGTTTTTTAGATCATGAATTGAAAGTGTTTTCTGTTAGCCTATTCTGGCGTCGTCCAGGGTTTTTAGATCATGAATTGAAAGTGTTTTCTGTTAGCCTATTCTGGCGTCGTCCAGGGTTTTAAGATCATGGATTGAAAGTGTTTTCTGTTATTGTTGTGTCGTTTGTAGATCTACATTTTCCTCAAGGCTATTTACTACTTTCTTTAGTCCAAATTAGAAGAGAAAAATAGGACGTTAACTCCAATTCATTTCATGACAACAATACACAAAACAATCAAGAAGACATTTATGCATGGATAATAAAAAAAAGCGTAATTATTCGCTCAAAACTGTGCCGAGCATTTAGACGTAAAACTCCAATTCATTAGTGCAGACGACCTGGACATATACATAATATAATACAACATGTTTTGAATTATAAACACAATATCATATCTTACCTTCAATAAAATGTCTCTATATTTATACATGAAGCTTGTTATCACCGAAATGTTCACTATCAGAGACTTGTGTTAGTCAAATATTACTGGTCGCCATTCCAATATCGTTAAGACTAGTTGTTGTTTTTTAAATGAATATATTTTGGGACAAGGTTATGTATAACCAAGATAACCCGACCCTTGATTCGTGAACATGACTGAGATTTGAAGTGCAGTACTAACGTCATTTTCAAAGTGTCAATTTATTACGAAGTTCGTAATAGCTTGATATTCTGAAGATGTATTTTAGCCTATACCCTATACAGAGTTTTTTTTTAAATAGATTTAGATATAGACCGGCGCCTCTAATTTTCCCATTTCTTGGAATTTTGTTTGAGCTATTTTGACAATGTGCGATTGGTATTTTAGTTTAACAACTGCCCTGGCTCCATGCAAGACTTGATTGTTCGGAGCAGCTAGAAATCTTTCCGGAGAGGGATGGTGGTGTTTAGTTGCAGTAATGAAATTGGTTGGCCAGATTTTTTTCATGATGACAATCCACTGTACTTCATGGGAGTTTTTGATCGCTAGTGACCATATTCCGATGTAGGATGAACGGATATAGATTTGTCGAGCTACGCAGTTTCAAATCCATATGGACTGACGACAGAAGGACTTCATGTTAAGTTCCCATGTCATTATCAGACGGGTCTGTGCTAATATATAAATGTTAGTTAGTGTTTATTGCTGTTTATTTCCATGCTATATTAAATCGATACAGTACCTCTGTTTACTTAGATCTGGAATCATTTACTAATTAAAGCCCAGTACTTTGTGAATCGATCATCCAACGTTTTATTTCAACCATATATCGGTAGTTAGACTTTATTTTCCCAGTAAGAAAGTGCTTGAGATGAAGTGTGAGAAGGGTGGTGGTCAGAATCAGTCCTCACCCACTTATTAAGTTGAGGAAGAGATTCAAAATAGTTGTGAACTACGTTCGTTTGTGTTATTTCCATGTAAGAACCAAATAAATGCAGTTTCTTAGGGGGTAAATTCAAATATAACCGTAATTGTTCACAGTTTGAAAAAAGAATTGCACTTGAAATATAAGGAAGATATTTATATGTTAAAAATAAAAAAAAAACACAACAATTAACATTAACTCAATAATAAAGATCGACAACCTGAGAAAACATAGGTTGTCAAAGGAAATGCTGACAGCTAATTCTATATTTCAAAGCTAATAATATGAATTGTCTTCAGATTTCAGGAACTACATTTTTCAAGATTCAAGTTTCAATTCTGTAATTTCATAGTTAGAGAACTCAAAGCAGTATATGCAGTTCATGTTGACCAAATGAAAAAATAATTATATAATAAATGAAATAATTAATAAGTAAATTATGCGTGATCATGTCGTTTTGACCTGTTCTCTATACAAATTACACTAATACATGTACATATTAAATAGGGGATTCCACTATGGTAGTATAGACCCTAAAACATATCTTGTAGAAAGAGCTATAAACACGCCTATCCTCTGTATAACACTTATAGCACTTATAATCGATATAAAAACTACTTAAAAATAGAAAACAAAATAATTGACAGTTTATAATAAATAAATAAATATTATACAATAAATAAGGCAAATTGCTTTCAAGTCAAAATTAGTACAAAGTAGATAAGATACCCGCTAATGAAATTCAGTAAATATTGAAATTAGAATGAAGTTGGATTGTTTATATAAGAACAAGTGTCAAATATAGAAACAGTTGTTACAACCAACCCATATTGTTAAGAAACCATTTAAAAGTGCGAATAGGTACAGTGTCTGATGTTTGATGCGATGTACGGTATGCGTTTATCATTTACTGTATTTTGTGTCGCAAAATGTGGAACTCGTGTATTCTCTGCTTCAATTTTCCACCATAGCCTGTTGATAATCCTACACCGTCATGGGCATTTATCTGAATCATTATATGAGAGGACAGAATAGGGGCCACATAATTGTCAAGGGGGGTTCACAGGCAATTCTTCCCCATGTCATGTTAATGGAAAAGAAATTTGAATGTAGGGTGGTAAGGGGCATCGAATAGAAACGTCATCGTACACTACACACTCTAAGTACAGTATAGTCAAATCACACGTTAAACCTGTTACATGTATATGACAGACCTATATACCTATTAGTCCGAAACATCTACCTCTGTTCCAGGAAGGGATACAGTTTCAATTTGAATTTTGAAATATATTGTTGAGTATCTTAATCATAGTACTTCCATTTCCAACAAATCTTCACATTAGAAAATCTGCATCTATATATCGTCACTATATTCACTAACAAGTACGGTACGAGATCTTTAATGATGTCTCCAACCATTCGTATACCAAATGTGTGTTCTATTCGAGCTGGATTCCACTCAATCAAAATCCATCTGGCGAAGAGAGGTCATGATTTATTTCTTTACTCAAATCAATATCGCTGAATGTTATGGGAGAGTCAAGAGTACTTGGTGAATCCGGAGAGAATAGAGGACCATCTTCCTCATCGGGGGGCCATTTCACAATTTGTGGACAAGTAGTTCTAAGAGACGCCAGAGGATCCGGATATACCAAATAAAATGTTTCCTTCTCAATGGGGCTATGGACACCACTGTCCGGATCTTGGTCTATGTCGGGCGGGACGGTGAGATGCATGGTTTTCTCTAAGTTCGAGGGTCTGGGCTCCTCCAACCTGGTAGGGAACAGCTCTGTCTCGATGTTTAAACATTCTAGCGGATCTGGAATTCGTAGAAATTGACCTGAGTCTGTATTTCTATTAAATAAGTTTGAATGTTCTTCGAGATTGTCTGAATTTTTATTCTTAATGATTTCTTCCGGGTGCTTAGACATGGAACTAAAGGTTCGCGAAAACTCCATTTTCTTGGACAACAACAATTTTATTTCTCTAGAGGTAATATCCGACAGTTTGTCGTCGTACACCACAGCTTCTCGATAACCATTCAACAAATAAAACACAAGATCTGAGGAACAAACAGATGCTTTGGAATCTTTGTAACTTCCGGTTAAAACGGAAGTAGCCGAGTCCGAACGTTTAAACCTGTCCCTTTTAAGTCGCAATGAACTGGCACCTACTGACGGTGATAAGCTCCGTCCACCGCCTCTCCAGCCCCCGTCTATATTTATTGCATGTTTGATGAAAGTGTCTGGCAAGGGGCTGGATAATTTAAAGTTTTTATTTCGTACGAAAACAGTAGGAATGTCCAGCGACCAGGCACTGACCAGACTTTCACAACAATAGTCATCTGATAAAGTATAGTCACCGAGTAAAAATATTAACGAATCCGCCTCATAAAGCACATCATTAGATCTGTTTATTGGTGAAATGTAAAACACAAAACTAAACGATGTTAACTCTTCCACAATCTGAGGAGTATAATCGATTTCATGTTTATCTTGAAGTTTCCCCGATACACATACCCTCGACACTTTATGGTTATCTGTCACAGTCTCTATGCCAATTTCACTTTCGTTTTCCGGGTCGGAATCGTGTGTCACGGAAATCAATGGAATTTTTGTATTTATTTTCGGTAGTATCACTGCGGTTTGTTTTGTCGGTCGTTTGGGGTTTCCCGTCGTTTTTCGATGTAGTGTCAGTTTCTCCGATTTGTCCGGGTACAAAAAGGGTTTTATAAAATCCCAAAAAGAATCTAAAGAATAATCACTGATAATATTTGGATATATTTCTAGTAGTCCAATAGCTGTGTCCAGAATTTTCTGATGTTGTCGCAACCAACTTACTGCACCTCGATATGTCGGCCAAAACACATTAGGTTTGTATTTGGTCTGACGGGGCACGTGCGGTAATTTCCTTCCTCGACGTCTGATCACCTGTTTGTTACCGTTCAAGCAGCTGTTTGAAAGACAGTTGGAATGAAAATGGTTATTCATTATGTGGACAAATTGGCTTCGTTCTCTCTATATCTTGTTTATCATATGATCTACATTTGTAAGACAGTTAATTAATTGAACAATGTGTCGACCATTGACTTGTATTTGAAATCTGGCCAAGCGGATTAGACATTGTTAAACCAGACGTCACTATAGGTAAGATTATTCAACTCGGTGAACTCGGACATAATTCTGTCGGTGACGGAGAAACAAAGATCTTGTAGAGAGCTTGACCTCAATTTAGAATCACTTACGCAGGCTTTGAACATCTACGAAAATATCCCAACGGTATTTGAAATCAGTTGCCACCTTCTATCGCATTGGGTATCCAAACGACGATTATAGTATATCCCCAAATAAAGTCAAGGGAGTTTCTGATCACAATTATCACGACCGGTCCCAGGCTAGAGTAAAAGTGAGTCCTAATCACAATTTATCACGGCGGAAATTTCAGTATATCCCCGAGCTATAGAGTCAAGTTAGTTGGAGATATAGACGGAAATTACCGCAATCCAGAGTTACATTGAAGTGATTTTCTAATCAAAATTTATCACGACAGAGATTTCCATAAATAGTAAACTGCAGTCAAATGATCAAAATTTATCACAACGGAAATGTCAGTAAAACTCCGAATGGTTCTCAAGAGGACAAAAGTCTTGTTAGCAGATTAGTAAAAGAGAACTAAAGTTATATCACATGTAGAGTTTCTCTTCATGTGTTTGGGTCGCTTTCTTATTAGTCCAATGGTTCCTTCCTCATTAGTCTGATCGGAAGCAGAAAATACTGTATAAGGCTGTATAACTCAATTTAATTGGTCGAGGTTTATCCTGGGCAGCTGTTTTCTGGACTCATTAACTTCTTGTTACATATTATTATGTTCTTCCTAGAAAACAATTAACACATCATTAGCCGTAAAAACCAAATAAGATCAAATTAAGAAGAATATTATTATTTAAATCTCAAATGCATTTTCTTGAATGATAATACTATATGCGCCAAAATTACAATTGACTATAAATCTGTCCAGTATATGAAACGTTATTTTCATTCGAACCACAGATTACAAGAAATATATTATGACATAAAGGCCTGGCCTGGTTACTAAGGCCGACTTCGTATTTTACATTTTCACCACACCTTCAGAATGAAAAGGGAGTCGCGGTGGCTCAGTGAGTTAGACGCTTGCTCGCTAACCTGAAGGTCCAGGGTTCAATCCCGGCATAGGTCGAGATGATACCTTCGGTTTTTTCAACCCGGTTTCCCTCTGTCAGTGATGTAGGTAAGAGGGGCTGACATGGAAAAAGCGTCTAGTCGTTCGGACTGGACAATAAACTTAGGCCCCTTGTGCAACAGGTTGTGCACGTTAAAGATCCCTCGAAATCGAAAAAGAGCAGGCAAATGCCGCTGTCCTGCCAAAATTTCCCTTATTGCCCGTCTTCATTAGCCCAAATGGTGCAGAAAAGTAGGACGTAAAACTCCATTCATTTCATTTTATTTCAGAATGTATAATCAAAAACATCTGCCTTATAGCTAATTTGACAGTTGTCGGTTGGGGTCGAGTCAGAGAAACTAAGCCGCATTTTATAGAGATTTTATAGAGAAAATGGAGAAGTTAGAATTTTGTAAAACATATATTAATTTGCCTTTACGATGCCTGTGAATTAAAAGAATAGAGGCAGGTGTTTCGTTTACACAATGTCTAAGATTCTACCTATTAGCTTGACATTGTGGAGATGTTTTCTTCACTGCTGTAGTACGGATTTGTTCAGTCCGAAACTCGCCTGGCGTTTAATAGATATATACAGTTTTCTTCTAGAGTAAAATAATCTAAAATAACCTTAAAAATGCACGAGATTAAAAATTGGAATAGTGCTTATCGATGCTAATAATATTCCCAATACACATATCAAGTTTGGAAAACGTCTTTACAATCTCTTTTATATCTAAAGAGTCTAAATGAATTTCTATTGATTGGTGTTTTTAAATTACTGATTTACAAATAGTCTTAAAAATTAAAGTCTGAAGTTACCTTAAATTTAGGATCGAATTAGCCAAATACATTTACGAAAACTATATATGTGATGCGTTCAAACTACAAAATAAAATTCAAAAATGAAGTTATTCGGGCGGAATGGATTTTAATTAGTATATAGTGGCCATTGTATATCTATATACAACAACTGTTAATGAACGCTAACTATCATCGTTAGTGACCGCTATTAGTTTTGTAATAATATATGGTTAATAATAAATTATAGGCTGTCGAATAGTTGTCGTACTATCAAAACAATCTCTTACGACGATTTTAAGGTGTGCTACACAGTACGCATCTGACCTGCGTTCAGCTAAAGGAAAACGTTTTGTTACTTTCTTCTGAACTAGTCGTGTAGACAACACGTTTTTTGAAAAAAAATATATTAAATTTTAATTGCCCCGCCCGCTAGTGCTAAACCAGACATCATATGCTTTTAAATCGTTCCTGTACGATAGTGATACTAAAAAAGAATGCAACCAGAGTCACAGTAGTGGAAAATTTTGAGGGACGGAGGCGGTGTCGGAGGGTATATCTCAATGTGGTGACCTAAATCTTGCTGTCCGTTAGCCCATTATCACATGATCCGACCCCTCCCTGTGAAAACAGTAAAAAGATTCCATGTTGTTAGAATAATAATACTACTAATATTACGTCTATAGTCGTACTGTATTTTTTGTAATTCAAATAATGATCAGAAACAATTCGTTTGTCATTTAAAAAGTATTAAAATATGGTATAAACAGTGGAAATAAGTAAAATACGAGAGCTAAAAATCACATACCTGTTAGGTCAATATGGAATATACATCTGCAGAGAATATCTCTAATTGTTTCTACATCGACCATTCCATTATTGATAAGTACTGGCAATTGTCTTCTGGTCGTGTATTCATTTCCATGGTAACTATATCAATATCCATTTGTTAATGGACGGTTATTAAAAAGTCACGCTCGATTGGCGTTACATTAAAGGATGCATCATTATCGAGTAAGAATCATAATATTCATCGATTTATTGTTTCTGAAAACTGTAATTCTTGCTCGGCGTTCAGGTGTCTGCTTTTATGAAACATTTTTCTTCTATAATAATCGATTGATATGACACAACGCGTTCAGTAAATACTTGCATTCTTTTGGTAATTCTTGGAGAGAATAGAGTTACTAGAACAGACTGTTTGATTCTATAGTGTTGGTTTTAGTTGTGTTAAAGTTATATTAGAAGTTAGACGACATAAATTTTAGAGTATATATTTAATAATTCTGAGGTATCCAACTTGAAATGTAAATGACAAACATTGTGTGTATAACTAATGGATGTACGAGGTTATATTTACTGTTCCACAAATTATATATCATTAGAGTTCGCTTAACCAGCAGAAAAATTCGATTTCTATAAATGTCTTTCATTTCATTGGGTCATGGTTGAGAACAGTAAGACATAAAACCCCATTTCATTTCATTAGCTCCTAAGTTGAGAACAGTAAGAACTGAAACTCTATTTTATTTCATTAGCTCCTAAGTTGACATAAAACTCTAACTGTTCCTGAACGGGAGATGGACGTAAAACTCAAGTCAATTGGTGTATGATAGGTGGAAACAAGAAAATAAATCCAGGAAGTCCCATGGGATTTTTTTTCAATAAAGAAATAAGTTGATTAATATAATGTTATCCTATATTTATAGACAATAATTGGATATAGAAAATTAACGAAATTCCCATTTGGTCAATAATTCCTACTTTCATTTTATCACTTCATTATTTGTTATAGTGGATTTTCATCTTCAATCAATTCCAAATTTAATGACCCTTATATTTATTGGTATAATTTGATGGATTTTTATTGGCTAGAAACAGAAAAACTAAGCCCTGATTTTTCATAATCTTCAAATATCTAAAACTTCTGAAAACGCCAATGTTTAAGACGATGAATACAAAATTATTGTGTCTAACTAACTACGGACTTTTTTGTGGGAAATCAGAAGAATGACAGCTCTAGAGCTAGAATTTGAAAAAAAATTGACATTAACAGAAAATAGTAAGGTTGATTAGGCTACAGGGTGACAGGATTACCATTCCTAAAAGCAGTGATGGAGCCAGGTTAACGTCCGAGGGGGGTCGAAATAGCTGAGATTGCCCGAATTTCTAACCTAGTTACCTGCCTGCCACCCCTTTGGCTCCGCCACTGCCTGAAAGATTACAGCAGTTGAAACAGAATAGGATAATGTTCAATATATGTTGATGATCCTTGATAAATATATATCTCTTATTACACATTGCGTCAACCTATTCTCCTTATTTGTCTAGTCGGGGGCAGAGAAGTGTAGGACGTATATTCCATTTCATTGGGCATTACGTTTGTTTTATTTGCACTTTAGAAATGTTATTTATGAGACGATACTGTTAACACTTATATTACACTCAAGGGGATAAAAAGCTTTCGACAACAATATGCGAGATTGACATCCATTTTTTTATAGCCTACCAGCCTAATTCTTTTAATCGCCAGCTTCCATTAGGATGTTTCTGTTTATTTAAATCAAGGTCGGTTCAAAAAATTGTAGCCTAATCAGGGGCCGTAAGGTTTACTTCTTCAATGGTCTGTAAGCCTAATTGAAGTAGGGCGTAAAATTGCATTCATGTCGTATCATTTTTAAGCCTAACTGTTATCTAAGTAAAGAATTTATTATTAGTAAAGGGTCTATGCGTGAAATTCTTATATTATAGACATGATAAAGAGTTCGAAAATGAAGAGTTAAAATTAAGAGAGTAAGAAGAATTAAGCTAATGATAGTATTTTTGGGGAGATGACGGGGGCCTAATAAATATTGATAAATCTGTATACAAAAGATAATATAAAAGGTTCGATGCTGGTTAATGGAAAGACCCCCTACTTTAACTTTTTCATGGTGATGTAATGTAAACATCCTAATCCTAGTAACATACGGCTCTGTAACATACAATAAAAATTTACTGTAGTACGAATCGTACGGGAGACTACTCTCTTTAATGACGTCATCTATTTTGTGGCATTTCCAAAGTGATGACGTAGAGCACATCACATGTACGAGAAGAAATTTCACCATATTTTTCAATCAAAAAATAAGCTTTATTCGAATGAAACTGCATTAAAATGAGTCGCTTTCGCAGTGACAATGAATTCACTGTAACTACTGGCAGAGATGGACACAGATCGTTTGGAGGTAATCGCGTCAGTGTCCTCCTTCGTCGCAAATGTCTGTACCAAACAAAGTGAAAGTGAATAATTTTGAAATAGGACTTAAAAATTATGAGATTTCCATACATCATATTCATGTAGATATATCAGCATTATCTGGATTATGCCTTCTGGTTTATAGCTGAACTGATGAACATTTACTTAGAAATATCAAAACAGAACCTGAACATTGACTTATTATTATGAGATCTATTTTTAATGCTGGTGTCAGTGCCACTGACAGTGGCAGTGGTGATTTGTGAAGACATGTCCATGTGACTGTGCCAAGGTCATTAGCTGTCTTACTAGCTGTCTAACTCTGTCTTACCAAAAAGCCTTATTGCACATATAACATTGTTTTTGACATCTTCACTAGCCTAATTGAGTGCTAGAGAGGGACTGATTTCACATGGTTCAATTCATTATCTTGTAAAAAAACAGTGTTGAACAAATATATTATTTGATCTTTTATAGAACATGATGACAGATGGGCTCCCAGATCACAGAGAGGACGTGGTGGGGGTGGAAAATACAGGGGTCGAGATAATTATGGTGGACGTAACAAATCAGGTAGGTTTTGAAGGATGTTGTGTCCACTCTCTATTTACAATATAACAAAATCCACAAAATTTAGTAGGTCTAAAATTGTATGTAAATTTTTATTAAATTGTCAGGTCGTGGTGAAGGGTCAGATAGAGAAAGTCATAGAGGTGGCCGAGATTATTTAAACCGGGGGCCTAGAGGAATATCTAAACGAGGAAAATCAGTACATTTTAACCCACGAGGAGCCAGATTAGATGATGATGGAGATGAAATGATGGGAGGAGATGATAGTTCTTCTTCTAGAGGTAGATCTAGATTGTAAGTATCATCTTATTTTCTTCAACCACTTGATTCTGAATGGAATTTTTTCTGTCATTTCACAAATACCTGTCGTTTATCATAGAATGTATTTTAACTATATAAATTTTCACACGATAACTTCTGACGGTTATCAAGCCCAAAACAATCTATTTATTTGAGTTGATATTTATTACAGCATTCCATATTCAGCTCGACCTAAATCAAGACGTGGAGGACGTGATAGAGGAGACAGAGGTCAGTTTTCTTTCATTAAGACTATGTTGGTTGCTTGGGAATTTAGTTATGTCTCCAATTCTGTTAGTAATGGATAATCAATAAAGTTATTTAAAGCGTTAGAAACTTTACATGATAGCCTTGGTTGGTTGTGGGTTTTAATGGAGATCAGGGTGTGAAAGTTTGGAGACTTAGACCAGTCAACCCAGATTTTAATTTGATGCCTAAATTCTGGTTGTTATCCTTGAAAATATACTTTTTTCTACATCTTTATTGAGGTATTGATATATAAATTGTTAATGTCAATGCTTATATTTGAAGAATTTTTTATTGTTATTTACACTATTGTAGGAAATACTGTTCGTTTTGAGCCTGTTAGTGACTGGTATAAAGTGATTGTAAGTAGCAAATTTTACCAAATCATTATTCCTATAACTTATAAATCCCTTGTATTGCACTCCAAAGATTCTTGGGATATTTATATTGTAAAAGTTCTTCATTGCAAGCATAGTAAATTCGAGAATAAGAGGATTTAAATCTTAGTGAAAAAGTTCTATACTTTCGTGCAAAGAAGTAAATCTTAAAACATCCACTTTTTGAAATGTGTTAGTTAATATAACTGTAGATTTGCTGTATTTCAAATTGTTTATTTTTTAAAGATTCCATATGGAAAGAAACATGAGAAGTCATTATTATTAAAGACTCTTCTATCCTTAATTGATGGGTCGTTTGAACCAATACAGGTAAGCCTTGTGTCATGTATATTTAATAACATCAATCTTTGTCTTTTGTTTTTTGCAATTAAGATTTTTTGACTGTAGTAAATCCTTTGTGTAACACCTTTTTCATGTCCAACAGAGGTTTGTCATTCACAGAGCTGCCCTATCAGACTAATACTTCATCAGCTCTATTTCATAAACATTCAAAATATGGCTTAGTCCTTCATTCATTTCTTAATGGAGATTTATGGCCCTTCATGGAGTTAATTTCAACCCTGTTTAGGTTTTTATATTTTATTTTGAGGGATTATCATTATTTTTTTCAGTTTCACTATGACTATAAAAATGCTGTGTTTCATGTCAATGATTCTGCTGCTGCGAAACAAATCAAGATGGCTTCCAAGAAAGCCACGTTACCAGACGGCTTTAAGGTAGGTTAAGGATACTTTTCATTTCTTTCAAGGGTTTATTGAGATGCATTTGTCATTGAAAAATTTCTGGTAGCCTTGATGTGTGTGTATTTGCAATAATGATATGTGTGATATGTATACTTGTATACTAAGAATACTTCTGAAATCAATATTTAAAAAGATTTTGTCTATTTCAGTTATTAACGGTAGTAACAGCTTCCCGTTCACCGATTCCATCCAGTCTTAAGGAAGATGTTAAAGAAAAGTTGAAAGTAGTTATGAGTTCTAGATATGACCCAGCAACAAAACTTCTTGATCTCACCTCTCTACATACAGATGAAAGTAAGTTGGTCTTCAGAATTTATTAAAGCCAAGCCTCTTATTCTATTTTGAATTTTCCCCTTAATGTTAACTTACTATTATCTTTCTAATAGGTTTAGAGTTGACAAACACAGTTGCTTGAAAGCAGAGTGGCATCAGATGTTCTTAAGAGTGAGGGAGCCGTGATGGAGAGATAATACTTTCGGATTTGGCATTTCCCTTCTTCATTAGATCAATTAGGTGTAGAAGAGTAGAACATAAGACTTTCATTTCATTTTTTCTAAAGAATGAGCATATCGTACCTCACGAAAGCCTGAATTGTTGAGCTGGAATTAACAGAAAAAGCTCTTACATGATGTGTTGTGTTATAGGCGCCTGTTTTGATTTGGTTTGATTGAACAGGTGTATATACGAGTTAAATGTAACATATTTTAAACAGGTTTAACTAAAGATGAGTTGTACATGTCTTTGAGTAGACCTAATGTCTTAATGACTATAACAGATATAATAAAACAACATATTCCAGAGGTAAGTATGGTGTAAAACTTCATTTCATTATTCTTATGCATCATGCTTAAAGAAATAATCCAGCCAATGATTGTTGGGAAATACCTTTTTGGGAAATACTTGACATTGTTCTTGCTATTTTAAAGTTCTTATAGCATCTGTGAGAGCAAAAAAATCGCTCAATTTTTTGATCAGTCTGTGGTACATGGAGGTTCTAGCGTACACGCAATAAGGATTGTTGATAAATGGAGTTCTTTTAACTAAAAATACGAGAGCGATTATTTCTACTGGTCAGATACGTACTACGCTTGCGCAATTACAGACAAATGGAGTCTGGACATCACGCATACAAAACTGTAGATCATAAAAACTTTTTAATTTTCAGATGATTGGTTTAATATTACGAACAAATAAACTCCATTCTTTAAGTGGGTTGAAAGATTTGGTTGAATCTACTCCCAATTTGACTAATTTAGATCTTTCTGACAATAAGGTAAGAGAACTGACATGAACAACATGGCTGACGTAATCACTGAAACAAACAACAACAACAGGCCAGATAATCTTCTGTTTGTAAAAGTTCAGCTAGAGATGTATTTGTATTGTTCATATCAAAGATGGCTCTTTGTTTTTTGTGATGCAATATTCTTACCAGGTGGCTGCATAAGGAAGACACTTACTTGATAACCTCAGGTCAAGGATTCAATCCCAATATGGAATTGAAATTGAGTAGGTTCATGCTGCTGTCTTGGTAAAATTCCTCTTTTTGCCTTGCCAAACAGTGTCAGAAAGAAGGATTATTATTAATTATCATTTGGTTTGCCTAAATAATTTGATTTTATTCCTTTTCTAGCTGAGTTCCATCTTAGAATTAGACCACATTAAAGACTGGCCACTTGAAATTTTAAACCTAAATCTAAACAGACTGTGTGATACTTTTAAAGATCGTTCTTCGTACATTAGGTAAAAAATAATCAATACCACTGTGGAACGTGGTGGAGTTGGTGGTTGTGTGGTATTGTAGTTCTTTTTTTCTATTCTTGCGTCAATGGTAACAGAATTATATTTTTAATTCTATCAACAAGCAATGGCGTTTGTCACAAAATAATATGACTTGATTCAAGACGTAATTCTCAAAAACTTGTTTTTGGCTGGTTATATTTGATGACAAGCTAAAATTTATTTGGTTTGTTTTTAAAAACTCCTTAGAAATACTGAAAGCATATCTAAAACATGGATGATAAAATTCAATATGGATGACCTTTACCTAATTTCTCACATAGCAATTCACGTTTCATGTCAACATTTTAAAGAAACCATTGGATTTATCTAAGATTAATTCTCTTTATGATTTCTCAAATAAATTGAAAATTTTATGGAATTTTATTTTAAGATAGATTTAATCAAATAAAATGCATATATACCTGAATGTATATATCATTGGATAAGGATGGCTTCTTTTTGTTACAAGAATGACCTGCCATTTTAAAACTTTTGTTGATAATAAATGATAGACCACTTATTTGAAGCTGATTTTAGAATCCAGTCAAGACAGATAACTCTTATATGTTATATAAATCAGACAACAGCTATGATAATTGATATACAGCGTCATCAAGTAACGCGACAGTTAACCAATGACGGGTAAGATCCTCCAGAAGGGAGGACAACCTAAGACAGGTGCTGTCGGGCTTGATAGGGGGCGGGGTTTAGATGCTGCAAATTAGCTGTTGTCAAAGAATAATATATCAAATGGAAAAGTGGAGTATGGAATCAAATGAAGAAACAATGGAGATGGAGATGGAGATTGTGAATATTACAACAAGAACTGTTTGGGTCAACATTCTTGAGAAAAGAGAGTCATCCTATTTTACCCTTACAAAATCTTCTCAAGAACATTTTGGACAGGGTGTTTTATTGAAATCCTTCAAATGATGAAGTAAATATTATTCAGAACAGATATCACTTTTATTTTTGGCTTTTGAGAAAAATAATTCAAAATCTTATTTCAGAAATATTGTCATTGGTTGGTTAACTAGAAAGCTAAAACTAAATTTTAACCCCATGTGTTTTGTCAGAAAAATCTGAAATAAACTATATGATATTTGGCCTATTGGAAAATGGTAACAAAATGAAATCATAGAAGTAATTGGTTATTGATAAATTCGGTTCAAGATTAAATAGTAATTAAAAGGTTGTGACTGCTAACGAAGAAACAGATATAAAGGTCATCTATAATTGATTTAATCACAAAAACAATCTATTTTTTGGACTTTTCTTGGATTTGTTGGTGGAGTATGATGTATGTTGGACAGCTTTGGATTTCTGTTTCAGTTTTATCTTTGTTCTCAATTTTCTCACGTTGCTAAAAATATATGGTTTGTTTCAGTGCTGTAAGGAAGAGATTCAGTAAAATTGTGAGCTTGGTAAGTTTGAGGTTCATATTAGTTAATCTAATTAATTAATAGTCTGCAAAGCTAATATTGTTGATTTCGTACTTGAGTTTATCAAACGGCATCCCTTTTAGAGAGTCCACAAGGTCTATTATGTTAAATTGTCAATTTGACATCCCTTTATGAGAGTCCACTGGCAAATAAAGTTTATTTGTTATATTTTTAGGATGGAAATGTGTTACCACCAACTATTAAGTTTGATTTAGATGCTGTGACTACCCTACCTCCTACCAAGGTAACTTTAAATTTCATATTCAGAATGAGTAGTTTTGGAGGTGGGTGACAAAAACAAGTATTCAGTCTATCTGATGGAATAATAAATCTTGGCCTAGTCTGATATAGGCAATACATGTTAAAAATCCTTTTACATTGCTCACTGCACGCTCTTACTATTTCAGTAGGTAGTTTCATTTCTGATCAAGTTAGCTTCATTTCTGATCAAGTTAGCTTCATTTCTGATCAAGTTAGCTTCATTTCTGATCAAGTTAGTTTCATTTCTGGTCAAGTTAGCTTTATTTCTGGTCAAGTTAGTTTCATTTCTGGTCAAGTTAGTTTCATTTCTGGTCAAGTTAGTTTCATTTCTGGTCAAGTTAGCTTCATTTCTGATCAAGTTAGTTTCATTTCTGATCAAGTTAGCTTCATTTCTGGTCAAGTTAGCTTCATTTCTGGTCAAGTTAGCTTGACATTTCTGGTCAAGTCAGCTTCATTTCTGGTCAAGTTAGCTTGACATTTCTGGTCAAGTCAGCTTCATTTCTGATCAAGTTAGCTTCATTTCTGATCAAGTTTACAACTCTTACTTACATTTACATTGATCTTCAAAGTATACATATATTATGATATTCCTTACAAAATCATTTCAATATTTATATTTTAGGGAAGTTATTTTAGTGATGAGAATATTAAAGGTCTAATTGTCAAGTTTTTACGAGAATTTTACTCCTTATACGACAGCGACAATAGACATCCTTTGATTAATGCCTACCATGACCAGGTAATCTTGTAATGTTTATTATTATTATTTATGTAGATTTTGACTAAATTTGATATGCTTGTTGCCAATAGCTTGACGTCAAAAATTAGAAATATCCATGCCTTGATTTAAATATAAATATCTGTAATGGACTAAGGTTGTCTTTGCCAGATTAATCATTTCAGATAATGGTATAACAAATATCTTTTCCATACCCATTATTTCCTTATCTGAAGTAGATCTTGAGATTTTATACAAATATTACCAATTCACTGAAGCTAGCGGTAGCATCTTAAATGTATAGATATTGTATATTGTTTTTAAGGATTTTCTAATCAGAATATATTATAATTACAGGCAGTGTTTTCATTATCAGCCAGTATAAATGGAGCTATTGAATATAAGTAAGTTGTTTATGTTGCTATTCAAGTTACACTGCATTAAATGTTTTATCAGAAAATGACAAACTCCAGTTAGCCTACTATTTGACTAGCGCTCATCTCTATATGTCAGCACATGTTTTGAATCCAAAGTTTATTTTGGAAATTGAGAATCTTCAACATAATTAGGAATTATACCTCTAGGAATGAACATAAAATCCCCAAATTTGGTCAATAAGGGTTTATATTTATCTGGCTTTACCTGGTGTCAATCCCTCTAATCTGATTACTTCATAAAGATAAGTCATTATTCAAACACGCGTTAAATTTTGGGAGCTGCATAGTGCTATAGTGTTCAGAAAGGACAAAGAATATAATATTTTGTATTTTACAGACAATCCAGTTTACATGATTATATCCCAGAGAGTAGAAATATTATTAAAGGCACTAGAAATCTTGGTATGTTTTATTTTTTTCTTCAAAATCTAAGAATAATACTAATGAAATATTTTTTTTCATATTTTGACAATAATTAACCTCAGTTTCAGCTATTTGTATTACTTTTCAGAATTAAGGTTTGAATCATAGTTGTCGTGCAATTCATTAAAAACTGCATGTGAGAATGCTAATAACCAAACTCTCTGAACACCGAGGCTGGCTTACAGACTATTTCAGAAATTTTCATGTTTTATTTTCCAGATAAAAATTATCGTCAGTTAAAACAAGGAAAGTTAGTTATTGTATCTCAACTCTGTCTGCTACCTAAAACTAACCACGATCCTAATTCTTTTATTGTTGATGTTGGACTAGTCTCGGTGAGTTTCCTTTATCAAACTGTTAAACCTAGAACCATATGGTACAATTCATTCATTATATTCTTAATGAAGTAATAAATATTCTAGAAGTATCCATCCATAATTATTGTCTTATTGATCTATAACTTGTGTTTCTTATATGCAGTCTGAAGTTTTAATAATTTATAATTGAAATGTAGAAACCTTTAATTTAAAAGGTGCATATTAAGGAGATGACATAATTAGTACAGTATGTTTTGAATTGATTTCTTTTTTTTTTCAGCCCAATGTCATGTCCTTTTCTGTTACTGGTGTTTTTAAAGAATGTAAGTTTATTATGGCACAAAATTAAAGAAAATTGTAATATCTCACAATCTGCCCCCTTGGCAACCCGTAATCACCCTGACTCTATCTCACCTGCTACATTAAAAGTTTAGCAGGGTGACACCAGGTGTTTCAGAATAGTGGGTGTCATCATAGAGAAACTCAAATTCAAAAAGCTTTTGGACTTTTTATTTTGACCAAATGATCAAACATCAAATAATGAGTCTGTAAATTTGTTTTTTTCAGCTGACAGCAAAGTAGATAAACCACCAATTAGAGCATTTTCTCGACAGTTTGTAGCTGTACCTAGTGGAGAAGGGTATGTCAAATTAACTATCTGCAGTAGAAAATAAGATTTCATGATCCTAGAGTGTTAGAAGGAAGAGTTCTGAGCATCTATCTCCCAAGTCATGTGGTCATGAAAATACCAGTGTTTTGCACAGGATGTTGCCTACAACTTTCCAAATATTATTAATATGGGACCTGACTGCATGTCTTAAATGATCCTTCAAAATTATTGGATTCACTATTTGTGAATTCTAATATCTGGATAGTTAATTTGATGATGAACTTGTTTCTTTCTCCATGTTATTTATTTATCAGTGTCTTTATATCCTTGCATGACAATGTCTATATTATATTTGATATTTATATTTCAGTATTTTAATCACCAATGACATGTTAACAATAACTAATGCTTTACCAGAACAACAACAGGTACGATTCAAACTAATTCTATCTAATTAAAATTTAACCAAACTGAAGTGGCTATATTGAAAGTAAAAGCTTATAAAAAACAGAAAGAAAGTTTATCTTATCTTAGCCTCGATGAGGAATATATGCGGAAGTGAGAAACCAAAATTTTACGAGACATCATAGGTTTCATGAGCTGCTTGCCATAGTAGTGACAAACTGATTTCAACCAATCATATCATTATGTTCTTTTGACAACTTTGATGTATCTCATTAAAAATTGTTTATTTGAAGATTATATTTCATTATATTTTCAGAATGCCTTCAAGACAACAGGGCCCACACCATCATCTAGTCCAGTTCTAGCCAACCCTCCTTCCTTACCTGGTAAAATGTCACTCACAGCCACACCCTCTTTACCTACTGACATGTCAACAAGCAGTGTCTCCTCCCTTCAGACTAACATGTCTTTAACTGCACCAGCAGCGAGTTCTATTTACACTCCCCAACAACAGCACATGTTACAACAATTTATGCTGGACTCTAAAATGAACCTACAGTTTTCAGCAAAGTGAGTACATAATTTAAATCAAAGTTTGTCACTTTCAACACAAGCAACTGCTCTCCCAGCTGCATAATTATGTGTTATATACCAATGTCAGTGTCATGTGCTTTAGGCTAAATATCTAAGAATGCAGGGTGTGAGAAGTTTTAATTCATTTCACTATGTGTTCAAAGGGTCAATAAATTAAGTTGAAATATAATGGATACATGTGTTTTGTGTGTGATGATATCTTGTTCAGTTCTACACAGCAGTCTGAATTAGAGTGGTACTAATATTGGTTTCCTTGATCTGTATATTAACCACATTGTTTATTTATTGTAGATGTCTTGAAGAAAATATGTGGAATTATGAGAAAGCTGGTCAGATCTTTATAGAATTAAATGTAAGTATTTGATGGAATTCTTATATCTCTCCTGTTTAAGAAGTTCTCAAGGCTCTCTTGTTAATGCTTTTTCAGTCAGCTCAGTCAGTTGATAAGACAAAGCTAAGTTAATTATGACTTTAATGGATAGATATATTAAAGTTTGCCTGTTTGTGAAATATTTTGATGTCGTCTGATAGTAATGTAGGAAAGGGGAAGAGAATGAGAGTTTATTGCATTTGAATATTGTAATAAATATTACAATATGTCAAAATATAATGGAAATAACATTAATATTAGTTTTGTCCTGTTATTTGACGTTTCGGCTTACAGCCTTCTTCAGAAACACCCAAAATAGATCTCAAAAATAGAAACCGAAACGTCAAATAACAGGACAATAATATAGTTTTAATTGGTTTCCCCTTTTTGTGAATTTGTGATATAATTTAAAATTAGTATTATTTGATTCTTTTCAGAAATCTGGAAAAATACCTCCAGAAGCTTTCATCACTTAAAGAATCAAGTTTTGTTCAGTGAAAATATGACAATTTCATGCCCTATTAAGTGTTTTTATTTACTCAAGTCTGAAGTATCTGAAAAGTGATATAAATTAAATGTGAAATGTGAATATCAAAAAGTGCGATAAATAACTTTTATTTTGTGTGAATATGAGGATATTTGAGGTGTAGTTAGACTTGCTTGGCAGATACATCCCAATCAAAAGCCTAGAACTCTATTTGGACTTGACTGGTAAAAACAGTCAAATCAACAATCTGTAGCTCTAGTCAGTTGTGACTGGTAAAAACAACTGAATCAAGAACCTGTCAACACTATCAAAGCTAAAGTAAAAAGCCAAGTTATTCACATCAATTGTCAGACATAATGTACAGCCAATAATGAAAGTGGATTTTTTTGGATAATGCCAGATAGTTATATTACTAGTATAGTAAAATATGTATTATTATTGGTAGAGGCTAAATATTCTAAGAATTCTATGTTAGAAAACATTGGAGAAATGAGAATCCACTTTTTTACATCTCATCTTTTTGGGCTAATTGATGATATTTGGTTCCCGCAAAAATAATTAAGTTTATAATAACTGTTATCCATAAAGTATGAATTTTCTTTTGTACAACTTTCAAAAGTTGAACATATTAATTGTTTCATAATTCTATATCTAAATTAATTCCTAAATTGAAATAAATTCATTAAATTTGTATTTATTGAAATCAAATGAAAATTAAATCCAATAATTTGAATGTAACTACAATTGTTACAAAGTTTTGTTACCTTGTTATATTTTGTGTAAATGTATATATTATATTTGTGGGAAGACAAAATTTTAATTTTCAACTTTTGTAAGAAAATACTTACAAGGTGAAAATATATTACTGGGCCTTCCCCAGACAGCTTTAAGTCAAATATTGAACTCTCCTCAGTCCTGTGGTCTGAAAAAGCCTGCTAAACCAAGGTCCCATGTGCTACAAGCTGTACACTGAAAGATATCTTGACAGTTGATAATTGAAATAAAGTAGGCTAATGGGGCTCTCTTGGCAAAATTTTCCTCATTATACACTTTATAGCATCAAAAGTTAACGGTGATATAAAAGCAGATTTATTTGGGAAACTCTTGACCTTAGATTATTTTGTTATTAAAATCTAGATGTGTATAAATGAACATTTTAATTGTATATTATATTATGTAAATCAATCTGATTAAAATACTGTTCTATATTGAATTTAGTGTTTTGATATTGGAGATACTTCTTTGCCATTTATGATCTGATAGAATTATTCTTTAAATTGTGTTCAGTTGTTTTAAATGTTCACCAATCAAAAACACTGTTTCTATCAAAGTTTCACAATGATTATTCCTGAATTTCGTTAATGAAAGACAGTAGTGGGATAAAATATGACTTAGAACATGTTGCATAAAATAGGGTAAGATCATGGATGGCAAGTGGATTTATCCACATTAAAAAAATATGAAACACTGTGAATTTTTTTCATAACGAATGTTAAGTGATAAAGAATCACTGGTTATATTGTACAAAACAGTATTATATTTCATTCTTCAGTTGTTCTATGGTTTTCAATAATATTAAAATATTTTATTTCTTCTGCTTCGTTTTCATTTAATTCTCTTTCCTACAATTTAATGACTGCATTTACATGTATATTCCTTTAATGTCATATGATTGAGGTTCTACTATGGGGCAGAATCAAATAGAGCTGCTCCAGCAAAAAATTCTTTTATTGCTTTCTGTTTGGTTTAGCCCAATCAGGTCCATTGGTCCTGGTATTGGTTGTAAAAATGTTTAAAACTATATTTGAGTGTAATGTCATAGAAAAAGAAAAATTCCCTCAATGCAAACTTTAAATGTCTGGTTGTTTTCAATAGCTAAATCCAATCACAGAAAAGTAAAGATAATTATGTAATGTTATAGAAAAATCCCTTAGTGTACATTACAAGTTATTTTTCAACGTCATTAGCTCAATGGGGCCCATAGATGTAAGACATAAAAAATTGCCTGTCTTCATAAGAACATAACACATTTCATTTATTTTAACATAAAATATATTTCATTTCATTTTCACCAGCAATCTGTTTAAAGTCAGGACTCTAGCAATTCAAAATGAAATAAACTAGAAGACACAGCAGTATAAGATGTACTATAAACAGGATCAATGGCCGTTTTCACCAAACATTCTATTAAATCTGGCAACAGTTTTCTGAAACACCAAATCAAACAATAATGTAAACTTTGACAGTTGAGGGGATTTATTGCCTGCTAAGCTTGCATTTGTACATAATCAAAAATAATGTGGAGTTTTAGGCTGGAACACAATTGTACATCGGGTCTTAGTTTTTTTTTAAATTAACTAAAATAAATTCAATATGTCGATAAATACAAAAATCTGATTGGCTTATTCCATCTAATTTCAAAATAAATTTAAGTGAATGACCAATCAGATGACAGGAATACCAAGATTATGTTTTAACTTTTCAGAAACCTTGGGCAAGGTGTAATAGTAAGCATGTCTACAAAAACTAGATTATCCAGTGTCAACAACCTTAAAGATCTTGCTTGATGAATTAATTCTTTAAAATAAATAAAATTCAACTCACTGTGCACAGGCTGGGGCTCCATTTATTTCAAGTAACCAAACTTTCAGAGTATCATCAAGTAAAAAATCAAAACCAAACAACTGAAAGCTTTTATAATCTAACCCTCTAGTATCTAGATTCTGAAACAATTTATGAAATAATAATAATCAATATTTGTTTTGAACTGCAGATGGAAAAATTTGTGTAAGGCCATGCTTCAATTAGTAGGTCAACCTTGTGTAAGGGACATACATATATGTCATATGCTCTTCAAACTGACCAATGAAAATGCTTCTACATTTGGTTTGATTTTGTAAATATGAAACTCTTAAAAAATACATTATTTTTTGTAAAAAATGACTTATTCCTTACCTGTAATATAATACTGAAGGCTGATTTAATGATGTCTTTAATTTGTGGTATAATTCTGGCCTCCATTGTTTCACCTCTTGTTTTCAGGAGGTATCTAAAAATAAACAAAATGATTTTTAAAGTACTATATTTGAGTGCATTTTTACCCTTAAATTTAACCCTTAGAAGTACTTGCCAATCTTAAAGTGTACTTTATAGACATTTACAAGGTACTGTGGTTCTAACCTTGTGAAGCAACTGATGGACTGTTGAGTAAAATGTACTAATAACAAACCAAACGTTAAATAACCACTGAAAATTAGCGGTTTAAATTCTTTCATTTTTCAACATACTCATTGAATTCATCATAAAACATTTCATTCCCCTCTTCATAAACACCAAAATTCTTCGACTTCTCTTGCTGTAGACTGTGATTGGTTAAATGTGAGGTTATGTTTGTTAAGTCTGAGACATTGTAACTTTCTGAGGCTGTTCGTAAAACACCTTGGTTAAACAAATAGACTTGTTGATTGCTGTTCAGTAATACCCAACATCTGTACAGAGATTCAAACACAAATTCATTATTTATACATTTATATTGTAGTTAAGCGGTTATACCAAACTTTAGGCAACACATGCCTGATCTTGTTCCCTTGGACTTTTTGTTAGCGGGACATTTTAACCACTTCTTCCATTTTCTACTGTTTTAAATCTCACACCATACACAGCACTGGAAACTGTACCTGGTCTAGGCATGTCTCTGGTCAGTGAGGCCTACATGACCTTCACAAGGGAAGTAACTGTTATTTACCTAATGTCAAATTTTCTCCTATGATTGAGTAAAAAAGGATTGTGTAGATATTTCTGTATAATATAAGATTGATGTTGGTGATCAATATGATCCAGTAAATCTTGTATATTATTTGATATCTTTATACCATCTCCTATAGAAACAATCAAATGATGCTATTTCTTACAAATCAAAGCATGTCGATGACATGATTGTTATCCCACAATTTGTCTTTGTTGTTAAGAAACAGATTCGACAAGAAGCGCTTTGATAGGTTAAAATTAACATCATTAGAACGAGATTGCAGTAGAATATGTTTGATTACAATTGAGATAAAATTTCAGAAAGATAGAAACAAAATTGTAATCTAAATTCATGAAGATTGCTTTTTATAGTACTCCAGTGATCTGATGATTGGATTTAATACTGGATATTAATTTCTTTTAGGCAAGGTTGACTGCTTCATATAAAAAAACAAAAAGAAAATCTTGCAAAAATACAATAGACACTAACCTTTAGCACCAGAAGAACTTTTAGCAATCCAAATCTGACTCTCAGAATTAGATGAGCCATATTTTAACAGCTCTTCTCTGCCATCCTTGTTTTGAATGTTATTTTCATTTGTGTCAGGGGCTGTTTTCATGTTCTGTTCAACAGAGGTTGTTTTCATATCCTGTTCAACAAGATCTATTTTTGAATCTGGTTCAAGAGTTTGTGATACTGTACCCGATAAAGACAAAGGTCTTTTTGGAATGACTATAAAAGATTCTGGAAACCATTGAAACTGATCTATGTTTTTGCAACGGCAGTGTCTCTTCATTTCTCTGAAACAAATTACATGATGATCTTATTTGTCTGTTTTTCTTTAGTGACACATTTAAAGAGTTTTGAAAAGGGATGAAGCATGCAAACAATATTAGCAATGTACAAGGGATGCTGAGTTGACAAACCAAGGTGCAAAGTGGTATCAAGTGTGATCTGGAAAAGTAAGTGTGCACGGCCCCCCGAGACACATGCCAATGTATATCTTCTTACATATCTAAGTGTAGACCTTGTCTGGGAGTACAGACCCTGTTTTCTATTGCATTTATGCATATAAACTGTGGCACTCGTACTGGATGCTGGTACATTGAATATTCCAGCTACTCTTTTGCAACAGTCCACAGATTTTTAAAGTTTAATGTGCACAATCTGCTGCTTGAAACATCGTGGATGATTACTCTTTTTCCATGTCAACCTTAACGAATTCGACAGCGGTAATAGACCTAGACAATATGCTTACCTAGTCGTGTATAAGGGAGTTTATTCCGGTCTCCTAACATGAGATTAAATCTGAGACTATCAGGCTTCACTTTCTTCCAATCACCTTTCCGTGTGTTTAGTAAATATTTTCCTAGAGCCCTGTAAACACTACTATTAGAATCTCTAGATATAAATATATATCTGTTATCACACATAATAATTTTGAGTACAATTGATAATTTTTGTCTCAACCTTTGAGTCTGTGACTTTTCATTACATTACCATGCTTATTAGGCCTTATATTGACCATTTATTTGAAATAGAGAGTAATTGACTAGCTTTTTCCAGCAGTCCCTGTCCAAATTGACCAAACACCCTTTGGAAGCTTAAAGTAAAATCTTATAAACAAAATGTGTAGATCTATACTGTAGGTAGAATGCTCTGCAGGATTGCAATAAAATCAGCTTAAATTGCTAGCTTCATAGTAATGTGGACTCTCTAGAAGAGATACCAAGTTGACAAACGAGGAGTACGGTAATGTCAAATGTTCCGGAAGGGTGAGAGAGTCTGCAAGTTCTTTTCCGTAACTTTATCGTTTTGGAATGTCATTTGTTATTGATTGAACTAAGGGAAATAACTTTGTGATGTTTACATTGGAAACATCTAAGGGACGTAGCAACTTTATAACTCAGCCCACATCAAACTTACATACTCTCCAGCCAGAGGAGATTGTTTATTCCATTCCAAGAGGTTTGGATATAAAATTGTAGGGTTATGAAACATTGACATCATCCAACTGTATGCACAAAATAAAGCTGTAGACAAGATGCTAAAATAACTGTTGGTTGACTAAAGACACAAGACAGACAGGGATAAGGCATAAACTCAAGTTCATTCTTTATTCATTTTTTAAGGATGTTCATATACAAAATGAAATCTTGTTGAAATGAAATGTACATCATAGAATATACAGTAATGTCAAACTAAACACGATGAATAAATGAATGAATGAATGACAGGATGAATGAATGACAATCTGATTAAAAATACTGATACAAACATTGTTTTGGAGATCTGTTTAAATACAAAGCTAGAATGTCAGTCTTCTGACCACACGAAATGAAATATATTCTCAGCACCCCCACAGAATACTTGGTTACTAGTCACCATAGTCTAGACCTGTATTTTAATCAGATTGAAAATGATTACACACATGAATGATAAATGAATGAATGAAATGATTACATCAAATGAATGAATGAATATAAAAGTTAAGCTACTAATTAAAAGCTACAACCAGATATCTTAAAGCACTATGAATCCTCTAATACTACTATCTCCATTACAGTTTATCCAGTAGGCACGAGGTGATGACTACTACTTCTAAATTTTCAGTTTAAAACCTCTCAACAGCTCCGAAGGGTAACAAGCCATGTAATGCAGAAGATGGCACAAAAAACGCCTCATAACCCTTCAGCTATGGTTTTAAATACGTTTTAAATAATATATATTACAACTTAAGAGACAATAGTGAAATATTTTGTAGATTTCTGTTTTTTGTGATCCAAAAACAAAAAAATTCTGAATTTGGTGATCTAATTGTACAACAAAAATTAAAATTTCATTTAATGTAAAGAATCTGATCAAAACTAAAATAAGAATGTCTAAAATGCTCGATAAATGGATAGTTTTTGACAACTGACTAAGATACACATGAGGTACAGATCTATTTATTTACAGGCGAAAAACTAAATAACAATTGCACAAAAATAACGAAATAGTGGATAAAAATATCCATCTATACACAAAACTTAAAATAGGCTAAAATTTAGACAAGCACATAAAATCAATGTCAAAATTATTCCATTTATGATTATAAATATAAATATTTTCCCCATTTTTGACAAATCTGAAGAAAAATGCCAATCTGAATGTCTTCTATCTAAAAATTTATGTTAGTTTTCTTGTACATGATGAAATGATATAAATTTATCCATAATTTATGCACATAAATAATGAGTATATGAATATGTAATAGAAGGTATAACGCAGTTTGACCAACATCTCTATGAAGGGTATAAAATGATTTGAGCAGAATTTTGGGTTTTTGATTTTTTTTTAAATACATGATAAAATTTTTTAAAATGATAAAAAATGGAACTAGATTTTCAAACATAACAATTTATATTATCAAGGCACCACAAACAGTTTTGGCAGTATATTTTAAATATACAAAGGCTTTTATTATAACACAATGAAAGCATTGTGATAGTTCTTTTGGCTAAACAGATTAAATATTTTTAGCTGGGTATCTCATTTTGAATGTCGCATATTTATGATTGGCACTTTTTGGAGCCCTTTTTAACTAAGAAAGGGCTGTTTTCTACTATGACTATTTAAAAGTTGTATGTGAATTGAAGTAAAAGTGTTCCAATAGTGTATGATCTTTAAGTGCTTAAAACTAGTCAATTGGAGAATTATCTCTCATGTTCATATCTCTGCACTTTGTGCTAATAAAAACAAGAAATTTAAAGAATAAGAGCCAAGTCAAGTATGTCTAATAGATATAAGGTATAATTTTATAAGGTACTCGTTGACAATATCTGGTCCAGACAGCACCATATTTCTTACGACAGATAACATCATCACGTTGACAACGATGTACCAGTAATATCAAGAAATATATTGGGTAGAAATACGGTAGAACATGATGTAAACCTGAAACAGAAGTTAATAAATCAAATTATTAGTTCAAAGGACCCTTATTGGAAATTCATTTCTTTTGTAATCTAATTTAGCATAATGAAAACCAGCAATGAGGGATACAGAATAACAGCATTAGCTCTATTCTACTAATTCTTCTCTTTTTTTTAGGGAATCTTAAATGAGTAAATGGGATTATTGTCCCATCTGAACTACTTGCTTTTCTTATGTAAGCCCCTCCAACCTGCATCACTGGAGAGAAAGTGTGAGGTATCATAATTCATGTTCAACCCCAGAACTCAGTTGGTCAAGTGAATAATTGGACAACAGCATTCCTTTAATAGAAAATAAACTTACCACAACAAAGTGACCAGGCAGTAGCCATCAGTAAATCACCCAGGTAGTTTGGTTTACGACAAATACCCCACCATCCAGATACTAGTAATTTTCTACCAGTGGATGTAGGTAGTGTTTCTAGATCTAAATATACAAAATACATAATGAAATAAATGATTTTGTAGTCTTTTTGTAAAAACTGGAAATTTAACATAAAATTTTAAATTTCTAAATACAGAAAAGTATAATTGATAGTCTCTGAAAATATAATTAATTTAAAAATTTTATCCCCAAACATAACTTTGTTGCCCAAGAAAATATAATGATTTTACAGGCTTTAAGTTAGTAAGTTTTGTTCTAAAACAGGAAGAATATTTCAACACTTACGAGCTAGAGCAGGATTGTGAGGATTTCTTCTATAGGCATCTTTCTGAGAGTTGGCACCACGGAATATATAATATCCAACCACTGTAATAAAATATTATTTAGATTCACTAGTTAATGCTCCTTACGAAGTCCACTAGGGTATATACTGCTGTTAACACAAAATTTCCCTCAAAGTCATTGCCTAACCTTAGGTCATGACTTTATCAAGTGAGTCTCAGAACTCCTTTGGTATATTTGACACATCATGCTGATCCTTTCAGGACGCCTGATGCTGCTCTGCATGCTTCAAGATGTTAACTTTACAACGCTAAAATCGACTCATTACTGGACATGTTTGGGGTATATACAACACACAGTACTTACAATTGATAACAGCAATAAAAGCCAGACAATACCAGTACATATCATTCTGGGGGTTCTCTAGTAAAAATCTAGTCTGGAGACAATAGATGAACGGTACCCACACTAAATCACCAAAAATCAACATAAACCCAAACCCATCATGTACTATATCCATTGTGGTTAGAATAGCTTCCTATAAATAGATAAATCATAACTATTAGAAAGTATACAAAAGCATAACAACTTAAATGCTGTAAGATTCTATCCACCCGCTTGTATTTTGCAAAACCTCTTGGTAGTTATTAACAAGGAACATCAATTTAAGTTTCAATTCAACAAAAGTTAAGCTGAAATTTAAATTTGGTGTAGTGATTATGTCAAATTATTGAATTCTTTTTATATTGAAGTCATAATAATCATGACAATTGAGCCACTGCCCTGATGCTAGTCTGGAAAAAAAAATAGAAAAAAATGAGCTCTTACCTCAGCAAAAAGTGCATCAGCAACATAGAAGATCTGGAAAGCAGCACACATAGTCAGGGCAGGTGGAAATACATTGTTATTATCAAGATAAGCTTTATAAACAAACGCCATGTTTAATATCACCCATCCAATTAAACCTGGTCGTAGTTCACAGAAAAACTTCAGATCAAACATACCAATTCTAGGGTTTAATTCATGTCCCATGAAGAAATCATACACATGATTACCTACAATTATAATATTTCCTTGAATAAATAATAAGTGGATGGAGGTTGAGATTACTAGAAAAATTCTTATCCAACACAATACTGAAGATAGACTACAAAGCTTACAGGAAATATAGTCAGGGATGATCCCTACATGTTCTATAGATCCAAGTATAAGAATACAATTGTCTCAATCTGCTGGTACAATCATTTCAGTTATAAAATCCTCATCAGAACAGCCAATTTTCAAAAATAACTGAAGAAGAAAGTATTTGTTACCTGTATTGCCTCCAGGAGCTAGTTTATCTTGAGGTATTAATAATGATTTGATATAGAGAAATAAGCTAAGTGATACACTGAAAATAGTGGCTGCTGTCATAATCTGGAAGAATTTGGTATGTATGATTGTTACTGGTAGTTTATAGTAAACTGCTATACCAAATGCTACCATACTGATGATTAGAGATATAAACCCTGAAATAGACAATAATAGTAAAGTTAATCTTAAAATTATGCAGATTTAGGGTGAAATAGGGAAGGTACTATTTGTAGAGGAAATATTGAAATTTAACAAGACCCCCAAGCAGATAATAATACATATGGTTACCAAGTAAGTCATTGTCACCCTAATAAATCAATTATATCTATCAGAGAAAAAACTTTAAAAATCCCAGGTACTATAAACTAACTGAACTGCAAAACGAAATCCAAATTTCAAAATAAGTTTGCGTAATACATTGGTATCAGCTAATAAAATTATAAGAGGACAGATAAAGATGAATGTTGTTTATGGACCTTTTTTTTTAACACATGAGAAATTTGACACAAACAATTGACCTTACCATTACATCTGTATTTCAGTTTCTGTCCAGATCTTAAAGGTTGCCCCTCAGCTAACTTGCCGAAAGGTATAATGGCTAATATTGCTTGAAAGAAAAACCATCCCAGAAATATGTAGGTTGCTTGTAAATCGATGAAGAATGATAGTCTTGAAGGTAACTTGGGTATTTCCATAATGGTGCATCGTTTCTGAAAAATCAAAGGTTTATTTTTTCAAACATTAATCAATCAACAGAGTTGTTGAAGCATGTTTTTATGCAATACTAGCACCTGAAGTCTAATTTTTATTCTGATAAGTAAATAATTTCAACTCACCTTATTACAAGCAAAATTGAGTAAATACACAGTGGCTGGCAGTAAAAATATCAGGAAAAACGTTCCAATCAAACCACCAAATTCCCTTTCCTTAGTTTTAGGTACAACTTTCACTTTATCATCAATCATTTTAGACTGAACTTCAGTTTTCAATTTAACTGCAAAATTACTAACAGCTTGTCTCTGTAACAGAACAAATACATTATGATAACATGATGATGGCATTAAATTTTCTTTTCTTGAAGGTCACTTTAGGCTAGCCAATGTTCCTGGATCCCATTGTCGACAATTATACAATCCTTTATATGGTTGCTAAGCTTGGTATAGGTTTTCCTATTTTCATGTGTCAGCCATAGCCAAAAAGGAATCAAGTATTAACCAGCTCATTTCATGTTCAATTTCACTTTGACTTGATAGGTTTTTGGAAGCGTACATTGTGATTTGGACAGATTAAATTATTGTAATTTCGATAGGTTTATGTTTCTTTTTATGACCATGTGATCTGGTTGTAAACATTTCACTTGTGGATAGGAAAAAGTTGCAAATTATTATAACATAACATTACTTCTCACCTCTTTTTCTACAAGAGCACTAATTCTAGCTGACTGTCTAACTGGAGTAACATCTACTGGAGTTCTGGTTCGTGATCTAGATCTAGTCCTAGCTCTCACTTCTACTTTATCTACTGTATCTTCAACCACTGTCTTTCTTGGTGTTCGACTTCTTGGTGTTCTGCTAGCTGGGGCTGGTGATTTACTACCTTTAGGTCTACCAACGGCTTTCTTTGCACGACTTTTGCTCTTGCTTCTACTGCGTGACCTTCCAACAGACTTTAACGCTCTTCCTGGTGACTTTGATGCCTTCCGCTAAAAAATAAGAAAAAATCTTGATTTTGATTATTATATTCACCTTAATGCCAGCATTTCTAGCAGTTTTGTAAATGAATGGAAAATATTACAGTGGCATCAGGTGCTTTTAAAGGGTAAACATTCAGAGATCATTCTAGTGGAGGTCAAATTAAAGAAGTCACAGATATTAAGATTAAGGTAAAGAAAAAATTATACAGTAATGGTACAAATCTGTACTGTCGGAAAGAAGACTTTTAGAGTTAAAAAAAATTCAGAATTAAGCAATGTTCACAAATTTAAGTGGATTCCTTATTATCTTAAAGGTAATTACTTATTACTAAAGGTAGATCCATTGTTCAAGTTAGTTTGTCTACCTTGGAAATGTAACCATTGTCCTTAACAAGCTGTCAAAATGTGAATTTTTAAAAAAAATGCACATTGATAACAAGTTTATGTCAATTAATGTGGATCTTTCAGTGTCATTTCATTAATGAGATGGGATTTTTTTTAAAGAAAAATCACCTTAATGTACTAATTATATAGCTAAATAGAATCAGGTAAAGGTGTTCTATTCAATTCAATAAGGTGTTAATACACAGACTGGTTCACTCAACAAACAAACCCTTGAATTATACAAATCCTATTAACATACATGTCACACTTACATGAGAATATGACCATGAAATTACTTTCAGAAATCTAAATAGAAATGGCCTGATCAGCTGATATTCATCACCATACAATCTGACCCTAAACAATTCTCACCCCCACATGAACTTTGACCTTTAACTCATTTATAGTCTGTTTCATTTAAGTAGGTGAAACGTCCAGTTTCATGCTAGTTTACTATGGAATGTTCAACCTGTAGTAATTTCAACCTTTCATGTATAAAATAACAATTTTCAGCAAATAAAAGGTGTAATTAGATGACACCCATGTCTAAAATGGCTGTTAAGAAAAGAAAACTAACATTGAAGAAATTGGTCAGCAAAGTGTCAACCACCTCTTGAGATGAATTTAAAACAATTGAGATCAGCTTATTTTAAAGAAATATTTTAAACCAAATTTACCCAGAATTGAAGTTACTAAAATCATCATTTACAAGATCAAACTTATTTAGGGATAAAATGTGAGTAGATTGAATGAAATGATTGAAATGAAACTTGAGGAAATGAAACTTTGAGATCCCAAACATTGAATTACATTTACAAACAACTTTGATTGAACTTATAGAAATTTTGAATACAAACCAAGGAAATATTTTATGAAATATTCTTTCAAGGAGATATAGCTGTTTTTCAAATGAATGATTTATTTGCTTTCTTACAAGAGGAATGTCCAGTAAGAAGGTACAAAGTATAAAAAGAAATCCACAAACTTAGTAAATTAGTTTGTGATTTTTAAAAAAAAAATATCAAAAAATGAAATTCATGCAAACTGAATACCAGTAATTCATAAAGTATGGAAAAAATTTAGGAAAACCTTAATTGACAAAAATATGTATTGAACAATTAAGGAAATTAACTTGACATCCTATATCAAAAGGGTGTAAGTGCAATTTAACCTAGAAGCTAACTAGCTAAGTAGTAACAATAATTATAGTCTCTAATTTCAAGATAAAGTAAATATTTTAATGGATAATGACCCTGCTATAGAAAAACATGAATAGACAAAGTCTAACCCCCAAACTAACCTGGGGTGTTTGTCCACTCGTCAAAAAGATATGATCTTTACTCATAAGAGAAGTTTCAAATAACAATGTGTAAAAATATATGAACCTGTAATAGATTTTAACTCGTGAAACTTTTTTTTAATTCTAAAGGAGTAGGAAATAGAATAGAGTTTCTCTTCGGAATAGTTTTATGTTCCTATAGTTATAGATCTAGGTCTATGCAAGACTTGACATGCAAACTTACCGAACGGGATGCTCTTGTAGGGGTGGGCATCTTGAATATTCAACCTTCACCTAACAAAATAAAATAATTTCAATTATTGATAAGACAAAATCAGCTTACAAATTCTGATTTCATTGTGGCTCAGGACAGTGCTAGTGCATCATGGTTTTATCATAATATAATGTAGATCATACATTAACCATCACAAGCTAAGGAGGTTAATAAGCCTTAAGCATTTGCAATAGGTTATTATATAATCGTTTGCATTGGCCTAGACAAATTTCCACATTAATTTAAACACTAAAAAGTATTTCCTATGATCAATGGTCCAATTAAAAATTGGGGAGTAAAACTGAAGCTCCTCTTTCATTAGATATCATGAATTTCTTCAATTTAGTTTCTAAATATAATTTTCTTCAAGAATAATCATTGAAATCAATTAGAAAAAAAAATCTGATGCCTGGGTGTAGATCAGAGAAGATCAATGTCAACAATATTCAACTATGTTATATTATAATATTTAACGATCTCAACATGATAAAATATTTGATCAAGTAAGAAATTAAGAAGCGAAATTGATGATGGACAAAGCCGTTGTTTGTTTTCATTTCGCGGTGGTCCGATCAAAACAGTCATGGTTATTTCCCTTTCGATTGCTTTATAAGTAGGTCTCTAAAAAGCTCCGAGATACCACCGATTGCATGATATGAACGTAAAAATTCATGCGGCACGTGAATAAATAATTAAAATTGCAAAACTTACGAGATATTACGGAACAAATTTCTTGTCAAACGGTAAAATTTCCTTCAAACGGGAACCTGTCGTTTCTTATTTTTAGAAGGGACGCTGTAAAGACGGTTGGCGGGCTTCAATTTCATTGGCTGAAATCTGTGTTATTTTCTTAGACTGATTCTGATTGGTCGAAGTATTGACGCATCAAGACGTTATGGTCTGTTTCACTTAAATGGCCTCCTTCCGTCTGTTATTGTTGGCTCACTGGGGGAAATGGTCCACTTCATTTGTAGGATAAACTATTAAATTTAGTTTAGACCATGTAATTCGATTTCAAATATTTACATGGCGATAAAATCTAAAATCTGAAGTCAGAAATATTTATGTTCATTATCCAAATTTTTTTGAAAGTAGGTTAGGAATATCAAAATAAAATCAAAACTGCTAACGGCTGCTACAAATATGCATCTCAGAAGTTGAATGACATTTATTGTTTCTGTTTAAATGCCACTGGGTGTTTGGCTCTGATTAAAAGTAATTTATTTATATCTGGACAGGGTCTCGGGTCTAGTTGGATGAGTTAAAGAAACGGTGAAACACTAGGTTACTCTGCAAAGGATTCAATTTCAAGCTTGAATTTGAATTTTGAAAAAAAGTCAAGGGTTACTTTTAGTTTTAGAAATACCCTCAGCTTCAAGAGTTTAAATTCTGTTCAAGGGATGGTACTCCCCAAAGATATCCAAAGGGAGATAAATCCATTTATCAGATTGAAAATAAGACTACAAAGAAATAGATTATGTCTATGCTTTTAACTCTTTGTAATATTTGCATTAAAAAACAGATAAATGCACAAGAATGTTTCTGTCTTATCAAATTTGAGCTCATCAAGCATTTGTATTGGAATGTTGCAGTAGAAATTGTGCTCAATTGGGAGCATGAGACTTATAGATGTTGTACCATATCACAGAATTTCGGGATATTGGAATCGCAAGGAGACAAAAACATCCCCATCATGTAAATAATCCATAAGTCCATGTTCATAAGTCAAAAACAAAAATGGCACCTTTTCAAATAATCAATAAGTCACAGTCCACAAATAATTTAAACCATGAGGCAGACATAAATTGATAACAATAGATGTAGTATCAGATATCTGTACCATATTTCATCATAAAGTCAAAATCTTTATAGCTTATTCTTTTATCACCATCTCGATCCAGCTCCCTGAAAATAAATAACAATTCTTTAACCCTTGACCTTAGATTGGGGAAAAGCATTAAGAGGAGTCCACTTTTTCAACAACAGACCTACATTTAGTTGTCCACTTTTTCAAAGCAGTTTTCAAAAGACACTTTGTCACAATCTAGTCACCAATATCATAACTATGCCAAGACCCATCCAGACAGAATTGAACTCAGTAAATATTTCATTGGAGACTAATGGGAGACAACTCTCACATTTTGGAGACTAAAGGGAGATAATTTGATCTTTGAACTAACCTAAAAGCAGTCTCTACAACGTTTGGCTTTAAATGTGGTGCTACTTGTTTCACTACTTTATGTAAATCTTCAAATGTCAGGAATCCTTTACCTGTAATTATTCATAAAACTAACAGTTGGTTTGAACAATGTGCTTTTAAGACAGTGCAGTGCTTCAGTCGGTAGAGATGAATTGTCATCTCCTAGGTACTGTGGGTTTGAATTCCCTTCAAGAATTATAGTTATCAAATCATACCATTCATCTGGTGTGTGAATTTTTATGCGAAAGTGAATGGCATTGGATGAGAACAATAGGTTTATAGTTAGTCTTAATAGACATAACAGACTAAAAACCCTTGATAAGAAGGACTTATCCAATATAATATGTTATTAATTACTTACATTGAGTATCAAATGCTAAAAATGTGTGTCTGATATCTTCATCTTCATCATGTTTAATAATATAGCTAGTCATGGCTTCCACAAACTTATTCTCTATTAAAACTACAAACAATATTGTAATCAATATTACAAATTAAAGTACAGATACATAAATAGAATCATCACTCTTCAATCTGATTCCTTTTTTGTTTTTCTGTTAGTTTCTACACTCATCACGTATCTTCTGATTCAAAAATACCAGAATTTGTCATAACTTAAGGAAACTATTCATAGCAAAGATCAATATTTGATAATAAATATCCCAGAATTCCTCAAATGTCTTCTGTAAGTCTTTTCTTGAACAATGCATTTAATTGATTTAATATTTCTATAAATCGCTAGTGAAAATTCTGCTAAAAATTCTTTTACCTTTTTCATCTGTATCTGTTACATCACCATATTTCTCTAGAATATCTCTTGTCTCATACTGAAATAGTCAAACAATGATAGAGAATGACAATGGGTCAGACAGCATTGCAAGCAAGTAAGGAGATAATCAAAATTCATCTTGCCATGACCAGATGTGCGAGTTCTAATCTTTCATGCCAATCTAACACTTGAAATAGAGTTTACCATTCACTGCAATCAGTTACCTAATGTTTCAAGGTATACTTCTCAAAAGGAATTTATACCTAATAGAAAGGAGTTTGGGGCCACCTGAAAGTCTGATGTCCTTGAATCAGTTTCCACCTAAAAAAATTCTCATATTCTCATAAGAACAGCTTCACATATTTTACTCTGGTCCTAAAGGGTTAAACATTTTCTTTGACCTTATTAACAGAAATGGATAACATTCCCAGCAGGATATAGAGTTATGATAATTAGTTTATTAGCTAATTGATACCTATACCTAACGAGATATACCAACAGCTAGGTGATAATTATAATAATGAGATGCTTAATTACTTGATGATCAATTATATACAGCCTTAAAATCCCTATATCTAATGATTTATCAAGCTAGTTTCCCAATTAATTTCACAATAAAAATTGTCTACAAGTGTGGAATTTGTTAGATTGAAAAGTACCAACCATATGACAAAACTTTGTAGTAAGATTCTGAAAAGTCATATGAATAGCTCAAATAATCTGACTATCATCTGGTTAATTTCAACACTCCCCTAGAATTAACAGTTATACCTTTGATGGTTTGTAACCAAATAAGGACACAATAGCAACCTTTAAATCTTCTCTCGTTAAACAGTTTTTACCTCCTTCATCACAATCATGGAAGATCTGAAATTATTCCAACATGAAAAGGATATTCTAAACTGAACTTGTGAACTGCATGCATTTAATTATGGAGCCTATTTTATAAGGCTGAAAGACAGTAGATTCCAAGATTTCTACCTCATAATGCTTACAGAGATATTTATATCGTCCTATCAACTTGTTATAATTGACATTTTGATACATGTAATAGATACATCTCTCTACCAAGTTTCACCTCTGTAGCACAACAAGAAAGTGGAAGGGCGAAACAGCAACAGTGCATCTGAGCAGGAATCTAAAGAAACAGGTGGGAGGGTGAATATCTGGCTTCAAGAAATATTTCATGTTTTGGGACCTACATAGTAGATCTACCAGTGTTTCTACCCTTGCAGGGGTTGTGTTAGGGTTGTGTCATTCTTCAGATTAACCATAGAATAGAGTTAAAAAGATAAACCAAGAAATAATTGTGGTCCGAGTCCAGGTATTATTAAGGTCATAGGTCAAGCTGAACATTTTCTTTTTTTTTTGTCCAACGTCTAGAAATTTTCAAACCTTTTTCACTAATTTTTCTTCACTTGGGGTTAGACTCCTCGTGATATTTTTGTACCCGTGAGTATGGAGGTTGAAGCCCAGCCGTGTAGACATATTAATGCAATTTCTTCTTGGCGAAAAATCAATCAATTTTCACGGCTACATGATTAATGTGCATAACTATGTTTTGGTGGCCATGTTGGAAATTCCAGGGCAATCCCTAAATTCTATTTTTTGATTGGTCTAGACAGTCACGTGATTAGAAAATCTATTCTTTTCGTTCGTCTACGCGGTGATAAAGTAGTGCATTCAAGATGGCTTCTCGTTGAATCTTTTTATGCATCCTGTGATTTTTCAAGAAATTTAGCCCAAATAAACGGCAGATATGTCCAGTCCGTCTGCTCGTTCTACAAGGTTAAATGCCAGGAATCTCCGGAAAAGATCTAGGACGAAATCTGAGCAACGGAAGAGACAGAGTGCAGGTAAGAAGTGGCTGTGCAATGAGGGGAAATGGAGAAGGGAAGGGGTCATTGTGCGATCACGAAAGGTGCAGACAAGTTGTTTTACGGACGAAGGAATGTCCCAATATGTTTGTGATATCTGCATTAATAGTCTTGAAAAATATAATTTTAGCTTTGCAGCCACTATGTAAATGAAATAAAACAAATCAAGATATATATCAAAATCTTTTTTTTTTATTTTTCTCATTCATTTCATTAGCCTAGGCCTAGTCTTGTCTTTTTGCATTACATTTGCAACTAGGGCCATAGAACTGTAATCTATTACAGTTCTATGCTAGGACTAGATTAGACTCAACAAAAACAGTCAATTATTATCATTTTTCATGCTACTATGATTACACTGTGGCTCAGATCGAATCAGGATTCTGTTTCACTTTGGTCTACTCAGTCTTAGGATCAATTTTTTATGGGTCTGGTAGATTCTCAATGTAAAATTCCACACTTACGACATATGCTTATCTGTTATTCTTGTTGTAAATTTTTTTGAGGAATTTAGTATGGTACCCATTAACTAGTTTGGTTTGGCTCTGCCATAAAATTATAATGGCTGAATTGGGTTGGAGGTCACCTACCTATATTAATTTTAAACAAGCCATTAATTAAAGTCATACTGTCCTCACACAATTGTTTGAAAACAAGTGATAGAAGTGAAGTGATAGTTTTCTGATATCCTTTGAATTCTCAGTTGATAAAAGTATTATTTTTTTAGCAGAAAATTGTCTTAGAGTCTGTAGTACAAATTTCAAAGTGAAGTGTGTGCTCAAATTTATGTTTTTATCAATGTATGGTCATTAAATGAATGACAACAATACTATAAGCTTTTTGCAGTTGATAGTCCAATTCTCATGAAAATTATAAATAAAATTCAGTGTGCGAAGACAGTAGTTATCACTTATTAGGTCAGGACTTCTTCAAAAACTAAAATGAACTTAATATGCTTATACCAGTAAGATCAATAGTCTAGACAAGGACAACTGACCAATCTTTAAGCTTATGTATTTTAAAGGAGCACTAACCGCTCGACCCATCAAACCTTATTTTCAGAAACAGGAATTTTGTTCGCTTACATAATCAGTAATTAGTATTCACAGCTCTTCATCAAAATATATGCCTTCAAACCCATGTGTATCCATAATTATTCACATTTGAATGTTAAAAATTCCACTTGAATTTTAGTGAGACTATGCCATATATAGAAAACACGTATATATAGGAATAGACAGTGAAATTTCTAGTTTGAGGTATATTTGAAAAGATTATTTGTTTTTTTTTGCATTTTAGTACTTCTGAAGACTATTAAAGCACAATGAAGACCGAAATCAATCCCCGAAAATGACAACTGTTCTCCTTTAAAGCATATATGTCAAAATTTGATTCCATATTTTTTTTCAGATTCAGTCATAGCCGCAGAAGCCGTGGACGCTCAGTCCAGTACAAGTTCAAGTTCCACAAATGGCAAATATAATCTACGTCGCCGTCAAACTATTGACATTCTTACCAAAGACTCCTTTTCTTCCAGTCCAAATATTCCTGTCAAAAAACGACGAAAATCATCCAGTGTAAATCCAGCACTGATACCTACAGGTGAGAAAATCCATTTCATTATGCATTGTAGAGGGTAGGCTGAGTAGTGTTCAAATCCCTACTGAATTTTCATTTAAGATTACAAATTTAAAGATGGCATATTATTCTCATAGTGAATCTATTCACTCAATGCGTATTTGGCGAAAAATGAACTTTTTTTTTTAAATTTCTTGTGAATTATTTTATTAAGTATATATTTATACTGAAATGGTAGCTGTGAGACTGGCTATTAGTTTATTTAAGTTTATTAAGAATTTTACCAAAACTTATTTTGGGCCGTATTTTATTGAAAATATTTACCTTATATGAGTAAGCTCTGATATTGGTATCAGCCCAAAAAGACACTTTATCATGAATAATTAGATATCCGCTAATGGTTGCTAGTTTTATTAAGTAAGCTTATTTTTCTTGTTTACTTTTCAGGAAATATCGGGGCGAAATATTTGCAAGAAGATTTACCTGATGAAGTTATGTTAAAAATATTCTCCTATTTATTAGAATGTGATTTATGTCGAGTCTCTGAAGTTTGTCATAGATTTCACTCCATAGTCAATGATGAGGAACTATGGTAGGTTTTATTAAAACAATATATATGAGAAAATGCAAAAGAAACTAAAAGCACAACACAAATACTTAGTCCACTTTTTGAGTAGTTTAAGTAGTACAAAATGTTTCTTCTATAGTTCCTATTATTATTTATCCTACAGTACATTCTATAGTGTTTATAGTTGAAACTGTCCACAAATATCTTGACATGTCCATCTTATCCATGTAATGTACCCTTACCATTTGCAGGAAACCACTGTACAGAGATGTATTTGAATATGATTTACCCTTGATATTACGTGATACAGAACCTAAATGTTATGATTTTATACCTCTCTCTGATCTGGGAAAATATGACAATCCATGGAAAGAAAGCTTCCGACAGCTGGTAAGTGATGCTTACACTAACATATGAAGTTGTCAAACTAAAGAACATATGTATATGATATCTCCAAAGAGAATGTCTAATTTATGAGTTTGGGTACTCTATTGAGTTGATGCTGACTGATAATCTGAGTCATAGTAATATGAGTTGATATAGCTCAAATATTCTTGCAATATGATCAGTGTTATATATGTATTTTTTAGTATCGTAATGTAAACGTCCATGTCCGACATGGTTATAATATGGGAAACAACCAAATAACAAAAAAACGACACAAAGGCAGAAATGTTGTGGTAAGTGGTGAATTTGATGTTACTATGAGTTAAGAAAATGCTTTTATCAGTGAAAGTGATGCAAGGGTAAAATGTCTTGACTTGACTCCATGCTGAAGTTTCACATTAAAGATCCCTTGACAGTTCTTAATCCAAAATATAAGTCAAATTAATGTGGGAAGTAGGCCATTCAATTATGTTACAATGTGTATACATCCATGCATCCCTAGCTCCCATTCATTCATTCATCAACCATTCATCAATCACCCATCTATCCATTCCTCCAGCTAATATTTTTCTATTATAATTCCAGTATTTTGATACAATAGAAGATGCACTACAGTATGTTGATAGTCTAATGGCGTATGATCCAGTGATATTTGTCCACAGTGGAGTATATCAGGGCGAGGTTCTGTCTATTGACACTTCTGTTACTATCATTGGAGCTGGTGAGTATAGTTCTTAATCTATTCACCTGTGCTCTTTTCAATCTGAAAACTGCCATTGTGCCAAGCACAGTTCTCTTTGCTTAGTTTATCAATTTTGATTTGGTTACTTGGTTTAGAGCTAATACAAAATGCATTTATAGTAGTAAAAGAAGACCGGCATTTCCATGTTTTGGAACTACTTGTAACATTGATGTAACTGCTTTTTGTGATGATCTTCAATGTCATGACATGAGATTTTAATTTCATAATATGTAAGAAATAAATAAATATTGTATATAATTAATTAATTAATTAATTACAGCCCCTGGTAATGTTCGAGATCATGTTATTATTGAGCGAGACAGCAAATCTACTGTAGTCTTTATATCAGGCTCCAATTCAGCTTACCTAGGTTATGTTACTTTAAAGGTAAGTACTCTTGGTATGTCTGGGCCACAAAAATTGGATGTTGCATAGTTCTTGTTGAAAGGAGCTCTTTTCTTAAAAACCATTCTACTGTCTGCATTAGATCAAGTAGATGCAGGAAAGTAGAACGTATAACTTATTTCATTTATTCAAAGACCAATCCAATCAGATGACAGTAGTAATAAAATATTTGATAAACTGGCCTAATGGACAGGACAATTCTTCACTCTCTTATTGTTAATTTAAATTGCTTTCATTCTTCATATATATATTATGAGATAGTGATTCCCTCTTGTTGTTTATTACCACAATAATTTCAGATGTACATTTTTATTCTTTTTATAGTTTTCACCAGACATCACGTCGTGTGTGCCCCATCACCATCATTATGCACTCGAGATTACTGACCATTCTTCACCAGTCATTCAACATTGTCGTATTAAAAGTACATCAGTTGGTAGGTCTTAGTTAGTTTATCTCATTAAGATTTCAATGGTATAATTTCAAAAGATTTGCCAAGTATTTAGTTGTCCTTTCCTAAAACATCAAATTGCAACATGTACCTATTTTAACCTTGTTTTGTGTATTTTCAGTGGGAGCTGCAGTATGTGTGTCAGGATCTGGGGCTGACCCTACCATTAAAAATTGTTTAATAAAAGATTGTGAGAATGTAGGATTATACGTGACAGACTACGCAACTGTAAGTTTCATCCCTTTTGTCTTTTTTTTTTACCTCTATGTATGGGATATTTGATTGGTGGCAATAGATGCTATAGGAGCCCAGATTGACCTATAATCCCTTTTGTTTTTTATTAATAGAAAGTGTGTGAGAGCCACACAACTTTGTTTAACAGCCTAAATTCCAGATATACCTATATAACATTTGTCTTCTCCAGCCTGAACACTTCACTTATATAATCAGCCTTTTCAGACATTGTTTTGAAAATTGAAATAGTTTGATAGAAGCTGTACAAAGTTTTGAATTTGTCCAAGTTTTGAATATTGTAATATCAACTAATGATCTGAAAATGTATTACAGGGAGTATATGAAGACAATGAAATCAGTGGTAATGCTCTAGCTGGTATCTGGGTTAAAAATCATGCCACACCCATCATGAGACGCAATCATATTCACCATGGCAGAGATGTTGGTGTTTTTACTTTTGAAAATGGCATGGTAAGTAGCATACAAATTTGAATCTGTGATTGATGGAATAGTTTTGTGATCTTGTATAGGAATTTAAGTGTACATATTGTCATTAATTTAAGAGGTTTTCTTATAAATTTATTTGTATCGGGGACTCTTATCATTAATTTGCACAATTCCAATTTTCAATCAGGCTTCTGTGCTTCCTGCAATTCCATTAAAAGTAAGTGTTTGATTTTTTCACTAATCGCATAGTATCCTTATATGACATAAACCCCTTCCTTGATACACATAATTTTTTTTTAGAAGACCTCATTACAATCCATTTAAGTCTAGAAGAAATTTCATGTACTTTGATTTATTGGATTTTATTTTTTAGGGTTATTTTGATTCATGTGATATCCACAATAATAGAATAGCTGGTTTTGAAGTAAAGGCTGGAGCCAATCCAACAGTTGTTTGTTGTGAAATACATCATGGTCAGACTGGTGGTATTTACGTACATGAAAATGGCCGTGGACAATTTATTGGAAATAAAATACACTCTAATAATTTTGCTGGAGTGTGGATTACGTCCAATAGTGATCCCACAATAAGGTACGTTCAGTTGTCTAAGTTACTTTTCTCAAAAGATTATAACAGGGTTTTTTGAATGGAGTGGAATGCTCCAAAAAAAGAGATTTCTGTTAATTTTTATCCATTGGTGATAGACAAAACTTTAAACACTGGATTGTCAATCCATGCACTAAATTTTCAGCATATATTTGTATTTGATAAATGCCAAATCAGCAGCCTGGTTTCAAAGAGTTTTATGTAATAATTACAGGAAAAATGAGATTTATAATGGCCACCAAGGAGGAGTGTATATATTTGGTGATGGTAGAGGTTTGATAGAACACAATAACATTCATGGTAAGTTGTCAACCTTCTCTCTAAATCAATGTATTTGTCACCTACTGTCAATTGATATTAGAATAAACATTAATATTACAGCAATGACTTTAATAGCAACTTATGTTTTATGTAGAGAGATATATGTGTTGTTAATGTCCAGTATTTATTATTATAGGTAATGCACTAGCTGGTATACAGATACGAACTAACAGTAATCCTATAGTCAGACACAATAAAATACATCATGGTGAACATGGGGGCATTTATCTTGTAAGTTTTATTTAATTTATTCATAATGGATGATAAAGATTAGATAATCTGCATTGTTTTTAGAAGATTGATATATCTTTTACCATTTGTGAGTAAATCATTAGAAAATTTATTTTGTTTGATAATTTAAATGGTTGACTCATAATTGTATGAAATTGTGATCAATTTTCATTGATCTTTCTACCATTTTTTGACGCAATAATTGAATCATTTGAATGTCTGAATGTTTTTGTATTTCAGCATGAGAAGGGTCAAGGGTTAATAGAAGAAAATGAAATTTATGCGAACACCCTGGCAGGGGTTTGGATTACAACTGGTAGTACACCTGTTTTACGTCGTAATAGAATACACAGTGGAAAACAGGTTTGTTATTATTGTATTCTTGTGTATTTGACAAGAGCTCATCTCATGATACAGATTTGTGCTTGAGATACACAAACCTCATCAGTAGAGCTAGAATCTGAAATGTGGGGTCACATCATAAGTGAAACTATCATAAAGTATAATATTTAATCCATGTTCTAGGTTGGTGTATATTTTTATGATAATGGACATGGTGTTTTAGAAGATAATGATATTTTTAATCATCTTTATTCTGGAGTTCAAATCAGGTCAGTTCCCTCTCTCAACTATTGACTGACACTCAGTATAATGTAATGTAGTGTTCCTTCAACTCCAGAAAAACCTTGAAATATTACATCATTACAATTTTCTATCCCTCTCTTTGAATTCAAGGAATAGTTAACCACTTGTCTTAAATAGTGCAAATGGCATTCTTGATGCACACTAGAAAGCCTCTTTTGATTAGATTTTATTAAAATGACTCTAAGAACAGTTTATGTTTTCAACTTTAATTTATTATTTAATGTTAGTAAGATTGTGTTTTTGGAAAGAGAGTTATCCAGAAATTAACTTTATATTATGTTTTTGAAATTTTCAGGACTGAAAGTAACCCATTGATTAGAAGGAATAAGATATGGGGTGGACAGAATGGAGGTATATTGATCTATAACAGTGGACTGGGCATGATTGAAAATAACGAGATATTTGACAACGCTATGGCAGGAATCTGGATTAAAATGCATAGTAACCCTGTTTTACGTCATAATAAGATACACGATGGGCGCGATGGTGGAATCTGCATATTTAATGAAGGCAAAGGTAAGTAACTCTTTTTCATCTTTGCAGAAAATTCAAATTTGACATTGTGACAGTGAGTACTTGTAAATACAAGAGTTCAATCATGCCATAGGCAAATTATCCCTCATTGCACACTACATGGTGTTGCCTGTCTTCATAAGGTGCAGAAAAGGAGGACTTTAAACTCTTCATTTCATTTTTCATTCCATCTTAAAAGCATCATTAGTTAAGTTAAATTTATGGCATTAGATTAGAAATTTCTATTTACAGGTATATTAGAAGAAAATGAAATATTCCGTAATGCCCAGGCAGGTGTGTTGATAAGTACAGAAAGTCATCCAATATTACGACGGAATAGAATCTACGATGGTCTAGCTGCGGGGGTAGAAATCACAAACAATGCTACAGCAACACTTGAGGCCAATAAAATATTTAATAATAGATTTGGAGGTTTATGTCTGGCCAGTGGAGTTAAACCTACTTTTGAAGGAAGGGGTGAGTTTTTAAAATTCTTACTCATAATCTGTAGAATTTTATGTTATAAATGAAACTTTAAGACCTTATAAATGACTGTAAGATTTCTTGAGAAATTGGAGTTTCTATTTTACAGTGCTTTTCTAAAATGACTTAAAAATTTGTGCTGTTAAATTCTTAAGTCTTATTTGAATTTTCTCAAATTTGAATTTAAATCTTGCTTGTACAATTGATTTAGATTTCCTGGACTTTGTGGACTTTCTCCAAATGGCATGCTGTCGAGTCGTGTGGCATCATTTGTTCTGTAAGGGATACCTATGCCTTATTGTCAATACTAATAAGTGCCACTTACAACTGTCATATTCAATAAACTTTTTAGACTTTAATATTGTTGGTCTGTATAGTATTAACTGGTTATAAATTATAAGCGAAAATATCTTATTTTTAATTGGTGTTTTTTTATTTAGAAAATGTGATAACTGGAAATCATAATATGGTAGAGAAAGCTGTTTCTACAGGTCAATGTTTATATAGAATATCTAGCTATACCAGTTTCCCCATGCATGATTTCTATAGGTAAGATTTACTCCTTGTATGTTGGATCTTATACAAATCTAATCAAGAAAATCTCGTCTATGACAAGCCTTTTTGACAAAATAATGTTGATTTGGAAACTTGATTTAGTTGTTTTCCAGACAAATTTACATTCAAAAGATTTGGGATTTTAAAAATAATTCCACTCCATTATTTGTCTGTAAAAAGTACCAGATATCTGGTCTATTGTCATAGTTTGAAATGGAATGTGAAAAAATTCTTATTTTCATCTAATTTTTATGTAAATTTCAGATGTAAAACGTGTCACACGACAGAAAGAAACGCCATTTGTTATAACTGTATTAAACGTTGCCATGGTGGCCACGAAGTTGAATTCATACGCCACGACCGGTTCTTTTGTGATTGCGGTGCTGGAACGCTAAATAACAATTGCCAATTACAAGGAGAACCTACACAGGATACTGACACTTTATATGATTCAGCTGCACCTATGGAGTCCCATACCTTACAAGTCAATTGACCTTATCACCCATATTTGTGTTGGAATATCTACCTTATCTTAGTGTTGTGTGTTCATCTCATGGTAGGCGTGGATGTTAATGTGTCAATCCAAGATGATTGGCAGGTGTTGGTCAGTGTTGTGATTTTGTTTTACACTAATCAGATGTTTGTGGGAGAAGTTATAAGAACTGGAGCAGAAATTTTTTTTGCGGTAGTTCATTGATGTGAATGTGAATTTGGAACAAGAAATTTTGTTCTAGAATGAAAGAATTCTTGAACTAATTTTAAGTCAAAGCAAACACTTTTTATCCCATTTTGTATTGTTTTAGTCAATAAGTCATTCTACTATGTCAATGCCCTGAATGACTGAAAGCATGGTTATTGTGAATGTGTATGATGATATAATAATTGTATAACCAAAGACAATGGAACTGTTTTATGACGTGGCATTATGGTAGAGTTTGTCCAACTGTAAAATCTCACTTGTGGAATATTCAAAATTTTCACAAATTTGGGCGTAACTTTTAGACTAAAACTGAACCCTATAATGTATTGTTAACATATATTTTTTACAAGACTAGAAATTCAGTTTTTTAATCAATTTACAAAGATATTAAAGTAGTGAAGTAATACACAAAAGCACTTATGTTGCATGTTTATGACTCAAAATGATTTGCCTTTTATTTTTGTCGCCAAAATTTTTTGTGAATTCATTTTTATTAGCCTTTAAAAGGTTTACTTATCTTCCTTAATGCACCTAATTTTATGTATTTTTTATGTAATTTGTATTTTGTCTACTATTCCAAAGACTTGAATCTTGGGCGTGATGCCTGAAAATTCTCAACTTGCGATTCTTGTATCTACATGTAGTTAACTTTTGCTGCCAACACATGTTCCTGATAAAAATCCTCATCAGGAAAACTCCTTTTAGAAATGGAGCTCAACATTCCAATATATTATTTTAGGTATATTAAGCTATTGAGCTAAACTGCCTTGGTAATTGCAGTTTTCCATTTTGATAATTGCAAGAAACCTGATTGGTTGAAATTATTGCTGAAAAAGATCAGCCAATAAGAACTCTTGAATTTATATTGTTAGAATTATTGTAAGTTGAGATGTTTCTGCCAAGACCCTAGTTTAAGAACAGAATTATCTGAATATTACAGAATATACTACACAATTAAACAACTCTGGTATCAGTCCAAACTCTCAGTCTTAGATATAAATCTAAAGCTCAAAGCTGATATGGAATATGTAAAATGCAGAGTCTTTGGTAAAGGTCCTGATGAGACCACACATGGAATTTCTGGCATTCCAAATGATGGGAATATAATCAAAGATAAGTTTTGGTTGACACTAGTTGTAAGTTTAGATTATTGTAGTATATTCTAGTAAGAGTTCAGTTATGTTTCGTGCCTTGGTTAAACAAAGTAATATCTATCTATCTCTATATATCTTTGTTTTAGTTAGAAATTCTCTATATTATATTTATTTTATTTAATTTTGTTGTTGTACATTTTCTTCATATCTTTACTCAAACTATTTGACATGTATGAGTTTTAGATTGTTTCAAATGTCAAAATAATTCATATACATTAAGGGGTTCACTTTTATACTTCTTAAACATATGTTTATGGAGGCACATTAAATTTGATTAAAATATGTAACTTTACAAAGCATAACATAAATGCCAAAGTTCAAACAAATCATATTTTAATCTTAATTTTGTCCTACAGACTTAAATCAAAGACAGACACTGTGAAACTCTATTCAAACATGACTGATAAATCAAACACAGTGAAATATACTCCAATATTCATAGATAAAATAATTATTCAGTTGACAGTTTGTTATTTCTACCATGTTTTAAACAAAATAATTTATATTTCAGTTTTAACTTTTCTACCTTGCTGGTCAAACTTGTATCTATCAATTTTTTACCACAGTGATTTTTGCATGCTTTTTGATTTAAAAGTTACTATTTGTGTGTCTAAAATGTAGATACAGAAAGGTCAAAGGTTAAACACATTTAGACTACAAGCAAGCTTTTCTAGATCTGGGTCATGTTCATCGAAAAAAAAAATTGCAGATGTAATTTCTAAAAGTAGAATCAATTTTCATCAAATGAATTTCATGAAAGATGCCTGATACATTTCTGGCAATTTGCTTGTCAAATTATCCTCAAAATTTTATCACAGAAATTTTTGAGAACCAGTCCAAGGTCTGACAATATTCCCAGACACCCTGCCAAATAATTTGATACTGTTTTTATCATCACTGATTGTTTTTGTTGACATTTTTAAACTACCACATTTCTTCACAAATATAGATAAAAATCAAAAAATACTAATCAGCTATTGTGAAAATTTATAATTTTTTTGAAATTTTTTGATTAACTATTTTCTAATGGCAGACAACCTGTTGTAGATATTGATGCACTTTGATATTTTATGGATTTTTTTTGTTATCAATCAATTGTTTAAGTTAAAGGGATATAGTCATCTAATTATTATTTTTTACAACCAGTTTATTTTAGCTTATCACTTTTCAGAAACATAATCCAACATTTGGTTGTTCCACAATGAGGCAAAACTGTTTTTTTTCTAAATCTGAAAAGCGATAAAGTTAGCTAAAATCATGCTTAAGGTAGCCAAGCAAATATTTAGATGACTAGACCCCTCTTAGCTCAAGTAAATTAAGAGAAATGTGCGCACATGTTAATAAGTATCATTAATGCTGTTATCTTTGACCTACTATAAATTAAAGCCTGTGCATACTAGTGCATAAAGGGATTCAAAACATGAGCAGTTCACTTTGTTTAGAGGTAATTTAAGTAATGAACGCACTGGCTTGGTTTGCTATGTTTTAATCATTATTTATCTTACTTGGGAAGAAAATGGACTGCTCTACCAAATTACACAAAAATACCTTTCCTCGACCATACTATTATAATTCTCCTGTTCAAATGTTACGTGATGTTTTTTTATGGGAAGTATGGTAATTTGTTGATTGTTGACAGTTTGTTGTTTGTTGATTGGTCAGTTTTAATTCTCTGGGTGTTTGTTTTTATATCAGACTCGATTCTATACCTTCATTATTAACAGTTGGTTAAACTTTTTTCTAGATTTTCAAAAAGTATTTGCAGTCTTGTCAAAATGTACACTGTATGGCATATACATTATCCCATTGAAGGTGCCAAAAGTAAGACTCAATACTCCATTTATTTCATTTCATTCAAAAATTGAATCTAAAAATTGGTCTTCAAGAAAAGAAATTGTATGACAGAACAGTGACAGTTTACATGTCTCCATAAATATACTTTTTGAAAAGCTGATTAACAAGATTGACAAGCTATGCAACCATATTGTAAAGTTTTGTCTTAAAGGGTTTCTAAAAGTTATGCTGTTTTTTTGTGTGTATCAGAAACACTAAAGCTTCTTTTTGCACCTTTCTGTTTTCTGTCCAGCTGTTACTCTAATTCCATGAATACTTGATCCAATTAGGACCTCACAATGGCACATTTCATTCTTGTAGAAAGTCAGAATCGTGCTATAGAAGCTACAATTGATCATGATACACATACAAAGGTTAGAAAACCTTGATTCCCTTTAATGATATCATTGTTTTATACTGAATTTCTGGTAGTGATATCTTGTGATACCTAGTGACAGGTACTTACATGAAATTATACTGTTTGTAACTGGGTATTCAGATAGTGATTTTAATATTGTGTTACAAAATGTTTGAGTGATTTCATATATAAAACTTCTACAATTACATCTTCTTTGTTTCTTTTGATATAGTGTTTGTATGTTTCAACAGCTCAAAGTGTAAAGTGATACATGGAGATATGATTTTACATTGTTTTCTTACTCATATTGTTTGTAATTACCACAATTAAATGATATCTTAAGTGAATATGAAGTCAACATGCTTAAGGAAATCTTGGATTTGTTGTTATATTATTATCAATAGATTCTGACAAAATAATCAATATAATTCATATATTTTCTGAAATATGAATAGTATAATGTGCATGTACCTCACAGTAACTGTTTCCTATCTTTCGTCGTCTGCCATTTTGTACAGTAATCTCACTCTTCTACACAAAATAATGGGAATGTTTGAGTTATTTGTTAAAGTTAAATCAAGGTATTTTTTATACATGTAATGACTTTACACTGATATAGCAAACTGCTTATTTTGGAAGCAGTAACCTAGAGCAGTTGAACTTATATCACCCTTCACCCTTATATTCGTTAAGTTTTTAAAAAGTGGCATTAGCTGTTATGTCAGTAAGAAGTTAAGTAATTATGTAATATCTCATCAGTTCAGATATTGTAGTTATAGATGGTTGAATTTTGGTTTAAATGAAAAAAAAACTATTTGTATAATTGTTAAATATGAGTGCTACCATTCTAAAAATAAAATTTGTTTTAAGTCTGAGCTATTGTTGTGGAAGCCAAGAATTGGATTATTTTGAAGAGTTTTTATAAAGTAGCTGGTGCTACTCATATCTTTCATTTTGATCTCACTTGTTTGAAATTTCCAATTAATCATTCATTCATTTTGACACTCCAAAGGTATTTTCAATGAGCCCATTTCTCACTTTTACCGTATCAAAAATATTGATATGTTAACATCATGCCTTAAATTTGGACAATTCTTTTTTTATGGATCCTTAATAAAGATCTTGGTTTTTATGAAATGACAGCTGAATTTCAGATATATTCATTTCCCTTTACAGAATTAAAATCTGACACAACATGTCCCATACTACACCCTTAATATGACATTTTTCTCCAGTCAGAATGTTTTGAGATTTCAAAACCTTTTACTGGGATAGAGAAATTTAGTATTGTCTCCACTTTTTAAAATTCTCTTATCCCTTAAAGGTAGTTTTCAGCTAGTTGACATCTGTCATTAACCAAGTACTAGTTGAAGCACACTTCAACTCATTAGTGATAAGCTTAATGGCCTGTATGTCCTTAATAAATGTATATTGATATTGTTATCTTGTAAAAAGTATCCTGATAAAATTAACTAGTGATAACTGAATTATTCTATCTTAATTTCTAGAACATATCGTAATCTTATCAGTTGGTTTGGAGGTGCTTTTTATTTGTTGTAGATAGACTTTACATGCCAAGTTGTTTTGATAGCACGCCTGCTATTTAGGTTCACAGGTAAGGCAACTTCCATGTTCAATCTCAAAATTAGATAAATTTGGTGGATTTTGAAGGAAGTTAATTTTTCTCCTATGCACTGATGCATTGTCCTACTCACCTTTTCCTCATGGCACCTGGCATGGCACTGTGTTGCTTTTATGGTGGAAAAAAGGTGATATTGACATAAAATGTCATCTATACCATTTACTATCACCTTTGCCCTCCAATTTATGAAATAATTTTTGGATTCTTTAATCTATATCTCTCACCGAAATTCATCATAGTATCAACTATTAGAACATTAGGTTTTAGGCAAGGGTTGAGTCCTACTTGAACTTGTGCTTTTAGTCTAGTCAGAAATGCAACAATTAGTAATTTACTTGAGTGAAAAACACACATAGGCATACATATTTCTTTCATTCCATTTGATATTTCTGAGCAATATTTATTGCTAAAAGGTATAGTCTTGGGCCATAACACCCTACACTTGGTGAACATGAAATTTCCATCTTATGACCATATTAAATTAAATTGGTCTCATTTTGGAGTTATCTCCCTTTATCATTTTATGGACAGTGTAAAGTAAAAGTAGAATTATACAACAACGTCTGTTAAACAAGCGTTATGTAAAAAGATTTCACTAATATAGGCATAGTACTTAGCACTAGTGGGAGAGCAAACTGTGAGTGTCAGAGATTATTGACCAAATGTTTTTATTTGTTATTCGTCAAAAGAGATTCCAGTTGCCCACCAAAAACAACACCTCTGACTCAGACGTGCTGTTAGTGTTTATTATTGCATTAGTCTTTTGTCAGTTTTTTGAGAAACTTGACAATGTGTTTATGGTATCTCAGAAGCATTTTCAACCAGCCTCATTTCATCATTTTGCCCTGACAAAATAGTTCAAGTTTTAATATTTGTTTACACAATAAAAAAAAAATAAATGAGTGGAGAGCGTTGTGATGAGAATGTAAATTTACATACAGTTTAGATCTCCTTATAATTTTCCTTTTTTCAGATCTTTAGGTATCAAAAAAGATGCTAGAAAAGTTTACAGAGGCCGAAAATGAGGTGGGAGATAGTGGAGAAGAAATTAAACCCTCCAAAAATTTTGATATGGACAAATTTGACAGGGGAAGGAAGTTCATGCAGATTCATATTCCAACAATTTCCCTCGGAATGTTCACTTCTTTGGTTTGTGGACTTAGTGTTCGAAATCTACTAGAACCTTTGATATATACTGGCAACTCAGACACACCCCAGAAAGCTTTTAGACGATATGAAAGTACTTTTGTTCAAGTTTGTCGATGGTGTTTTGGAAATATTTGGGATCCTGATGACCTTGGGTATAAGTCAATAAAACTCGTTCGAAATATGCACAACAGTGTTAGAAAATCAATGATGGAACATGAAGCGAAAAATGAAAATTTGAGTTATATTCAAACAGAAACTAAATCGAAAGTAACAATGCGTATATCACAATATGAGATGTCTTTAGTTCAAGCTGGTTTTTTTGGGCCAGTCATTCTGAATCCACTCAAATTTGGCATTAAATGTTCCGAGACAGAGATGGATGATTTTGTGTATTTTTGGTATGGAGTTGGATATGCTCTGGGTATAAAGGACCAGAATAATATCTGTTTAAATGGATATAAGGAAGCTCGACAAATCTGTCTTGAAATCTCTGATGAAATTGTAATACCTGCTTTAAAAAATCGGCCGAAAGATTTTGAGAAAATGGCTAAAGTATTAACAGAGGGTTCGAACATACCTTTTGGTTTTCCTTTTAATAATTTTTTCAGTGTTGAGTCTATTGTGGCTATTGGATTTTATGGAATTGGTGAGAAGTTGCCATGGTTATCTATTGGAGATTACGTGAGATTTTATATTCTACGCTTTGTAATCTGGATGATTTTTTTGTTTCCTATATATGAGCGTTTCCTAAGTAAAATGATAAGAAAAATATACTGGGAAAGTCCAACAATAAATAGAAAATATAAATTATGATATTAAGGTGGACAGTTTCAGCCTGAATTTAGAAATTTCTGAGAAAGAAGTGTGACTCTAAAAAATGGAAATGTAAAATAATTTATATTTTTATCAATGCAAGTGCATTCTAAGACTTTCAGTTCTGTTTAAACTTGTGAAAATTGAAGAGTTGTCTAGCCTTAAAATCAGTTTTAGTTATCCACAATTTTTTTCAGAATAACAATCTGATGTCGGACACATGGAAGAGCATATCCAACATCCATACTGAGTATGTTTACTCTATATTTGAACATAGTTTAATTTATTCTTATTCTACTCTAATACAAAGTGATATGTTCATGTTCAAAAATTTAAACAAACATCCCTTAATGTGCAGTATATTTTGTGACCTGATGTTATTTATTTATTGCGTTCAAGTGTTCATTATTTTAGAAATAAATTTATTTGTTGTTGTGTCTGTTGTTTTAACAAAAATTTCATTCATATTTTGCCAGATGATTGTGAAATTTTTTTCATCAATTAGTGCTCAGATGGCATTTCCAACAAAATAAAATGCATAACCAAAGTTTTTTACCATTGTAATTTCTGGACTGCTGTCCTTTAAGCATGAAAGACTAATTCATAACAACTATAAGCCAAGCAAAAGGTCTGTCATGAAGTACAATTGACCATGAGCAAGTATCTATTTTCCTACTCACTGAGCCACAACCTGTTCACAAAAAAAAAATGTACTCAAACATTTAATAATTTTATTAAAACTATAAATTAAAAGATGATAATATATACAATAAATAAATTGATAACATATAATATCACTTGTTATAAGGACGGAACAAGGAGCACTTAAAAAGAAAAATGGCTGAAATAATTTTTTGTGCCATTTTTTTTTTTTTCTCATTTTAATTTTTAGACTTGTTACATTTTAAATGTGAATTGATAGAATAATGAAGTCACTGATAGCCAAGAGGAAACAGATATAATAACATGAAAACAGCATTTACACATTAACAGCTGTTAATTTAAAAAATTCTTGAAGGGGGGGAGGGGCCCTTGTGCCCTTCTCCGGGATACTAGATTCAGATGAATCGATTATTTGCTATCATACCAACAATAATATGTATTTACCACAAATATATACCAGTACGTAAACATATATTGTCACATTTTATCATGTTCCAAGTTAAAAGCTCGCTCTTCCTTGGCACTAATAAGGAATTCCTATGTAATTTCTACCTCATTCAAAATATGTACTACAGGATCGCAAGAGTATTAAAGATTATTTCAAATAATATTCTAAAATTTCTTATCATTTCAACTCTCTACTGGAATTGGTCTGAAAAAAAGAAAAAGATAGAAACAATCACAAGGATTACAAGAATCTTGTCTGCCAGCTGGTCCTTGGCCAAACCTGTTACCATTGATTACCTTAAGTTATCAGTACCAATTTACAGCTGGTTGGGCTGCAATGAGGACAGCTGAAACCCACCATGTGTTTGACCTAACTAAGCAAATTACATCATGTGCATATATAATTTAATGCTTTAAACAGCTGTAACTTCTTCTAATCCTACTTACATGAATTTATCAGCAAGGCTATAAGGATTGATAATATTAAATGTAACTTCTGACATATCAAATGGTGTGTAAACAATATCTGATGCTAGTAAAGCTGCTAGAGCACTCTTTCTTTCTCTCTTAATCTGGCTGAATTTCTCAATAACATTCTTACGTTTCTGGAATAACAAAATGGAAACTTTAATGGAATATTAGACCTTCCTTTTTACCAAAAACTGTTGAACAATTAACGAGACACAGTTAAATTTTTAAAATGAGAGATATTATAATTGTTGATTTTAGTGACACCTATATTCATATCACACTGGTGTACCCAACTACTAAATATAATTAGATACTAACCATTTCAATTTCAGTATTACCAGTTTTATATGGTACAAAATTACCAGTGGTAATAACAGGGTAGACCGATTCTTTGAAGACTTTATCTAATAAACCTTTCATAGCTTCTACATCTCTCTATAAATATACAATATTAACATACAATTATAATTTATTACCAATTATATACAGTATTATACAATGATTACTTTCATGTATAAATTTATAAATATTATATACAATTATTACTTTAAGATTACCAATTTTACAAAATTCTATACTTAAATATGACTGTAAAGTATTGTAGTTTATTTTCATGTATAACCTTATGAATATTATTTACAATAGATTTACAATTATACAAAGTTATATACAGAAATATACTGTAATATACAATTGCATTCTTAGGTATTTTACTATTTCTTTTAATTTTTTCTAATTTAATTTAGCATGGCACTCTAATACTGGCAAAGTATCGGTGTATATATAAATCAGGGTTAGCATCTGCTTTCATTCTCTAAACTAGAGAGAATTGCACTTTTACATTTCTCAATATATGAATAAGCTTGAAGAATGCTTAAAATTTGATACCTGTAAATACACAAAATTCAAATTCTAAATTATAATAACATCTAAAGAAAACTTTCATGCATTACACAATGTACAATATAAAAAATCTCAAGGCATGCTTCTTATGCTACCTTTGTGCACACTTAGTGTGATCATTCACTTGTTTTACAACTTTTCAGTGCAGGAGCTAATTAAAATCTCTGGACTAGATCCCTGAAGGGTCATTAAGCTTATATATTCAAAACATGACTGTGTTGACATCATTATGGTTTTTGCTGGTTCATACAATACCCTTTATTTTTCTTACTTCAACATAATTATGGACAAAAGCTTGTTACTTTTTTTACATTGTACAAAACCTTCAAAATTTGCCAGATTGCAAATCAATTGTTGTATATTATGTGATTATTATTAGGCCTAACGTATTATTGCAAATATAATATGCAAGCTTGCATAAGCTCCCCTTATTAGAATTAAATCTGTAAACATTCATAGGCCTATAAGGGAAGCACATCTTATTCAGAAAATACAGCCTATAACTTTGCAGAGCACAGACACCATCATATTGAATTTATTCATGGTACCAAGAGATAAATTATCTTTTCCATTTTCCGGAAAAAAACAGTAAACCAGTAATATATTCTAATCTTGCATATATAGTTAAGCTCGTAAAGCATGTTCAAGCATGGCTATATTTAAATAATAAAATTGGAAAAATAACTCTTAAATTTTTTTTATATTCAAATTCAGCTCTTGAAGAAGCTACAAATATGTCCATGCATACAAATGTGGCTGGCTTTAAATTGCTCATGAAAAAGTAAATACAATAGTCTGTATTGGAACTTTACTGCAGGGACCTGATCAATGGGAATATTTAAAAAATAATAAAAACAAAATTTAAGAAAGCTATTAAAATCTTACCATGTGCCTATATAAACCACCCTGGGTCAGCTATTAAAAATGTGATACATTAGTTGAATAGTTTATGAATTATCCTGCATGTTTTAGGATTGTTCAAACTTGACCATAAAATATGACAGTTTCTTATGAAAGAGAAAATGATTGATCCAGGGTGATAATATTGGCACATAATGATATACTATATATGATACACTACACTAGACTGTATTATTAAAATATCTATATAATTACACAGAAATAAAATTACCAGTTTACTAGAAAAAAAGAAGCCGGGCTGGAAAAAATGTAAACAGGAAATAATTTAATACTAGAATATTCTATTTAACTGTATTATGTATGATGTCTTCTTTCCAATGAAGTATATCATTTGATATTTTGATCTAAATAACGACCTTTGAAAGGCTAAATTCAAACAGACAAATGAACGGTGTTGATACAAGTAGTTCAAGTCAAGTCGTTTATCCAAATCTTTTAGTAATTTTAATTCTATAATTACTATATTATGAGATGATCTTTTATATGGTACTATATTTTATAATCATGAAGTCTGATCAAGCTTTTATACCTTTCACCAAATATTACCTAAGAATTTGATACAAAGATATACACTGAGCCAGAGGAAATTGTCAGGCACTATGTTAAAAAAACACAGCCTGATGTGTTGATTAGCGCGAGAATTTTTAAAACCGAAAGAAGAAATATAATGAAAGTAAGACTTCATTGGCTGATATCAATAGATATCTTCTCTTGTCCAATCAGATAAGTTATTACTTCCGATGTCTCTTTTTTATGATCCTAGAACTTTTCAACAAGATATGATATAATTTAATGACAAATGGGGTAGGCCTATAACATGTTAACAACTTTTAGGGAGACACTTGTTTTCCAAATTTACATTTTGACATTGACCTTAGATGATCTGAACTCAAAGACTCATTTTGGCAAAGTTAGAGAATTCAAATTTTATGTGCATTTTAAGAGGAAGTATCCCTTTAATCTAGCTGCTCCTGTTGCTCAAGTTTTGAGGGAGACACAGGTTTTCCAAATTTGACATTTGACATTTTCATTTTGACATCGACCTCAGATGATCTTAACCCAAAGGTTGTTATGTAATACCATAATTTTTTTTTCAGAATGTAGTTACAAGTATTCAAATGAAACATGTATCAAACCGCGTGCCTATTTTAAGAAAGATGTATCTAGACAGGTGGAATGCGATGACATGTGTAAGTCTAATGCTGGGTGTACCGCTTCATCTCTTACCCCGAGTAATACGTGTCAGCTTTACACAGTGCCGCTCATCTTCATGTCAAGTGATACAGATCTGAATCAATGCATTGAAAAGTGTAAGGAGAGGAGTGACTGTGTAACAGTTTGACAAATGATCAACAATGCTATTTATTGAACGTTACCCTCGCTGAGATACATCATTATTGGATAATTGTGGATGCCAATTACAAATGTACCGTAGTAGAAAAAATATGTTAATTAAAACATGTTTATCATGATAAATCATTTTTTTACTTTACTTTTCGTAACAGAACTAACCTGAAGTTTGGGGAAGTGGGTTGACAGCACTAGTGAAATGTAGGGAAGCTAATAAGGTTCCTTACCTAAAAGAAATCATCCCTTAAAAGAATACTACCTCTAAGAATGAGCAAAAATTTTTTATCTTTTTAAACTTGTCCATCAAAATAAGTCTTTATTCATCAGTGGCCTCACCTGGTGTTAAATCAGAATTCTCCCATATGACCCGATAAATCATTAAGTAAGTATATTAATCCATAAAACTACAAAAGTAATTATTGAAAATTAAGGTAAATATTGCAGAACGCTTCATATTTTAAAGTGTTTTTCAATGATTACGTAGTTTAATTGATATATTGTCATATATAGGGTGCATGTTGTTTTGTTATGGCACCACGTAAGTCCACTATGAATTTAGACTCATTTTGGCCAAGTTAGAGAATTTTTATTTTATGTGCATTGTAAGAGGTAGTTTTCCTTTAATCCAGTTATTCCTTGTATACAGAGGGGATATTACCATTTTAAAAATACTTGTAGCTAAACAAAAGTCTTGGGGGTTGGCTTATGAATTTTTTCAAGGAGGGCTTAAGTTTTTAACTATTTGACACAACATACTTAGGCTTAGAAATAGCTTAAGATTGCCAGTCAAGGTAACATATGCCCACTATCAGCTGTCAGAAATAATAACCAAAGTCTGTAGTGGTTTAATATGTGCAACCAATCATCTGATTGTTACTTATTTCACGCTTTACTAAGGTCTCATACCAAGTTTCATCAAGATCGGATAAAAAATGTAGTCTCTATCAGGCCTACAAGCCAAATTAGACGCACTGAATTCATTCAAGGGCAATCACTCAAAAACCATTCATCCAATTATTATCATTTTTGAACTTGAGATCTCATCAATTTATACATGCATACCAAGTTTCATCGAGATCAGATAAAAACTGCACCCTGTAAAACTGCACCCTGTATCATGACTACAAGCCAAATTCTAAGGGTTTTTACTAAGTCAAGGGTAATAACTCCAAAACCATTCATCCGATTATGACCAAATTCAAACTTGATAGAGATCTCATCAATATATACATGCATACCAAGTTTAATCAAGATTGGAAAAAAACTGTAGGTTATATTCTGCCTACAAGCCAAATTTAACGTGTTTTTACCAAGTCAAGGGCAATAACCCTGAAATCATTCATCAGATTATTACCAATTTCGAACTTGACTGAGGTCTTATCAATATCTGCAAGCATACAAGCCAAATTTTATGCGTTTTACTAAGTCAAGGGCAATAACTTTGAAACCGTTCTTTCGATTATTACCAATTTCGAACTTGCATCAAGTTCATCATCTCCAAGTTGCATCAAGATCAGATTAAAGCTGTAGCCTCTATCTTGCAGACAAGAAATGCGGACGGGGCAACAGCAATATACCTCTACATTTCCATGTGGGCGTATAAAAAGTAGAACTGATTGCTTAGAAACCATAAATACAGCTGATTGCTTAGCAACCAAAAAAAAAAACTGATTGCTTAGCAACCAGAAATTCATTTGATAGATTGTTTAGCAACCAAAAATATTTAAAAACTGAATGAATAGAACAGAACTAAAACGTTTTTTTACCATGACTGCCAATGCACTCAATGCACAGCCTTTCATCTAAAATAATTCCAACCAAATATTATCCATAACTGTCTACTACTATAGGCATCAAAATTATGTGAAAGAATTTGTTAGTCCGTGAAATTATCTAACCACTTTTTAAGGTGTGATAATGTTGAGAAATTACTATGTTGGTGAAGAAATTTACAAAGTTTTATATAAATCAACATACCTTTTCGGCTCTTTTTACTGCCTTTAATTTATTGACCCATGTTTCCTACAAAGGCAAAGAATAAAGTAACAAATCAAGTTCAATTGCACATCAACAAGCTCCTGTATATATCTGTAACTTTGTGTTCTGATACAACATAAAGGCAAAAATATATTTAAGCAATGAACGAAGGACCCACTGCAGTTACGGTGATATGAATACATTGGGCAAGGTGCCAAATTGAATGAGCTGCCGAAGGCACCTTGACCAATGTATTCATATCACCGTAACTGCAGTGGGTCCATCGATCATTGCTTGTATTTCCACTGTCTAATGTATTCTTTTCATGAATTTTCTGATTGATAAATTATATTTCAAAAAGATTGCCGTTACAAAAATAAGGCCTCAACAGCAGCCATATTGCTCAAGAATGTGACCACGTGACCCACTGCAGTTTACGCGAATTTGAATGCATTTCTTGTCAAAGGGTTCACTGTGACAAATACAGTGAGAGTGGAAATATTTCTGAATGAATGTTTAAAGGAAATCTTGTGTAAATAGATACTTACTCTGAATAAACTCATCAAATCAGGATTGTCAGCTACCTTAGGAAATTGACGTAAAAATGGACTGTGGATAACCTCTATAATATCAACGAAATGTATATTGTTAATTGTTTTTTTAATAAAAACCTACACATAAAATAAAAATTCTATTTGATTAAAATCTCAGTATGATATACTCCAAATTTAAATATTCACAAATCAAGATATACTTGACATTCGCAAAGCAATCAGCTCATCTTTTGCCAAAAGTGTTCCAATCTCTTTTTCTCCATCAGCACACATCTAACAAATGGCTTTTTCTTTAATGAATGAATCACATTATTTCTACTTCATAACAAATTTAAAGACTATGAAGTGAAATTTGTCTTATTTGGTGCATGAGAACTTCTGCAATTCCCAATAAACAATTATCAATGTCAAATCAGTACCTGTTGAATCTAAATCAAGACGTTTAATAATTAATGCGTCTGCTAATATTTGTCTATAATAGGTGTAGAACGGTAATAAACACATATCCCCTACTAATATTTCTGGCAGTAAACTGAAAACAGAATAGGCAAAATTTCACATTCATAGATTTTCAAAACTAACTTGCCCTTGATGCAGTATTTTGAAACAGTGTGCCCAACATAAGTATTGCAAACAGATTCTGCCATTTCAGTAGCTTCATAGCTGAGTGACATTTGCATGCTTTAATGCAGAAGTCACTTTCATAATTTTGAATCTTGTTGTACAATAGCCTACCCAAATGTTTAGCCTAATTTGTTAATTACCAACTTTATGAAGCCCAATGGTGCAGAAAGATAGACTCTATTTCAATTATAAAAGTAAAGGAAATTGGGTTTTCTTGTACTACATAAACTTTGACAAGACTCAAATGTTTTCAATTCGTGTAAAACCCACAAACTAAGTATATAAATTTACTTACTCCAATTGAGTTTTCTGTTCTTTATTTGGTACACTAACTTTGACTAACAATCTTGGTTGCTTGTTTCCAGATATCAGTGATACCAGAGCATTACTACTAGCTAAAAATATAGTTATCAGATGTACTAGACTTGATTTCTGACACATTAGAGGTAGACATAGAGTGTCTCACGCATTCCTTTTTGGATAGGCTGCACTTTAGGTCAGAAATTTCTCTCATTGCACACTGCATGGTGTTGTCTGTCTTTATTAGCCTAATCAAAAGTGGGAAAAGCATTTCATTTCATAAGGTAAATTTGTATATAAAAAAATATCAGTTACATAGTCAAGTTCAAGCATTACATTTGCCGCAACATGCTCTTTTTGAGCACTGAAATTTGTCCTATCTATGGAGGATTCAAGACATAAACATATTAAGCAGGCCATATTATATCTACACGAGCCAGAATATATTTAATGGCTCAAAATGAAGTAGATAGTTTATGAGAATTATTTTTAATGAAAAGCTAAAAGGTTTGTTATGTTAGTCTGTACATCAAAAAGGAAATGCTGTTATAAATCTCTGAAAATTGAAAAATTCAGCTTCTTAGCCTTTGTTTTGATCTAAAATAAATAATCCCTTATCTCTTTCTAAATTTCTTATTGGTAGATTAATTAATTTAAAAAAAAACATTAACACAATCACACATTTTCTCAAAAAAAACATTGATTGCAAATACATCATACAGTAACTGTGTTAACCGTTGACTTAAAATGTAATCAAATTAAATTCTTATCCCTTTATAAGTTCTTTGAGTATGTAAAACAAATCCAATTAAACTACTATATCCCTTCAAGCAAGGATTTTTAAGACACAAGATTCAATTTAGATTTGAACAAATGATGTTTGGTTCAGGGATGAAATTTCAAAGCTAATAATAACTAGAGGTAACACACAGTGAGGATAACACACACACAACAAACACTTCAAGTGATATGTGAGGGCCCAATCCTCAACATGAGGGTAGGAATGTGTTTACACTTACAATATCTTCTAGAACCTTTATTTAATAAATTAAATTTTATAAATTCTAGAATATTAGGGATAGTTGAAAAGCATATAATGTCAGCATGTATTCAAAGACAGTTAACCAAGACAAGATAAGGCCACTTCTGCAGAATAATTCCTACAAAGTTTGTAATTTTTAATACAGTTCCTTAAAGCTATCATGCTCAAATTACACTACACAAATTTTTGAAAAATGAGCCTGTCTATTTGACTTTGGTCTGCCATATTTACTACTATCAGTTGCTATACTCCAGGTGTTTTACAGGGGTTATATAGGCATAAGCCTGTTCCCCAATCCCTTAAATGTATTAATAAAATATTGTTTATAAAAAAAAGAGTTATAATTTACTTTCGAGAGCATGATAGCTTTAATATAATGTGTAAATGTAAAACAAACCTCTTCTGCTAACACTAGGGTCAACCTCAACATCTCTCTCATAAGGAGTTCCACCATGTACATACAGATCATAGTTCCTACAACCAGATATTAATAGTTAGGATAGACAATCAAGGACATTTCTTAATCAAGTATTTGCATGAAGTTCTATTTCATTCTTTATGTCCTCCTGAAAACTTATTTCTAAATGTTCAGTGATAGGAATCTCAAATATTTTCAAATATTTATTATTTATTTTAGAAATAGAAGTACATAGCAACAATACATACTGTGTTCTCACTGTCAGACTGTTATGTAAATTCTAAAGACAGTTGTGACAGTTGTGGTGATACAGGAATTACTATATTGACAACTTACTTGTTTGCTATAGGAACACCAGTTTTATCAGTGAGTGGTAAATGAACCCAGCCACAACTAAATTCACCTCTTTCTTCACTTTTCTATAGATAAATATTTACAACATAAATTATTCATTATGTCTGGATTTGGGTGGTTGCTCTTTTGATGTGAAAAATATACCCCATAAAATCCAATTGTGCATCCAGACATACAAACGGGTCAATGCCACAGGGGAAAAATATCATCTGATTAAAACATAAATCCAATTCAATTAATATCTAATCAATGTACTAATTAAAAGGTTTATTGGTTATTTCCTATAAAAGTAGAAATCAAATAATTAAGGGTGTAATATTTCTGTCACATGCGAGGAAAAAAACCATATTATTTAGAAACGTGCATATAAATATATTTGTAAGTAAATGAGTAGTAAACATGCTAAAACAGTGCAATTAGTGTGATCCAGTCAACTTACAATATAATATACAACAATAAAAACATTCAGCATGTCTTTTTCTGCATAAACTCTATTTTTTGTCTTAAACAACTTTTCTTAAAGAATTGGGGAACATTCTCTCTTTTTATAGAATATTTTGTTTTTTTTTTTAAAATCAACTGATATGTTATAATATCTAACTTTTGATCAGGGGTAAAAAATTTGACAATAGATTTTAGAAAATACAATAATGTATTGTGAAATGTGTCCTCAGATTTATTAAAGTACCTAGAAATATCATCTTAAATCAAGTATTCATGACCAATTGAATGTGCAAATTAAATAAAAGAGTTGAAGAATCAAATTACACACACAAAACACATCTGAGCAAATTGAAAAAAAAATATTCTGAAGAATTTTTCTAATGGGGGAATCTTGTCTACAAAGTTGAGATGATTTCTTTAATACTTCAGAGATACTGAGAGTAGACAACAATGCACAGTTTCTTGAAAATCATTGTATCACAACACTGTATTAAAGGGATTGTAGAGGATTCTTAAAATTATCTATATATTGGACACACTGGGGGTTTTAGTAGAATTGCAGGAACCACAGACATCTGATTGACAATTGGAATGGTGCAAATTGATGCTTTCAGTGTTCCCGATATCTATAAAACATTTTAGAAAACATCTCTTTAAGAATGAAGTAATTGATAAAAATAGGTCCTGTTGCATTTTAAAGTTGAAGCTAAGTTTGTTTTGGAATGGCATAGTCTAGTATGGCTTTAAGAAGTCTTCCAAAGATTTGTGTAATGGGTTTGTCAATTTGCTCAGTCCTGACATCAAGCTAAGCATGCTTTAAGCTTACCTCATTCACCTTAAAAAGTTTAATTAGATTAAATTAGATAACATGAAATAAAGTATTATGAAACTAAATTAATCATACTTTTGGAAAGTAGATGCCAGATGCAGAAGAGCTAGAGACAGAAAAACATGTCATTTTTATGGAGATCATAGAATAGTTATTCACCCAACTTTAAGATCACAATCTGACCTATGATGGAAAAATTCCAAATAAATAATTTATAAACCAAAATAGTGTTTCTGACTCTATACATTTGATACCTCTGTCAAAAATAATATATCAAGTGAAATGTAAGAATCAGCACAAAAGAAACAATGCTAACAATATTTGTCATGCAAAAAGAGATTAACAATGAAATCACTTAAGCCCATCATAACATCAGCATTAAGTGTTAATATTCAGAAAATTAGAGTCAACAAAACAAAAAGTTTTGAAATATGTTAATGTACTTACACTTTTCACACAAGAAATACATAATTCAAATAAAACTCCTAAAAGAATATAGTAATATGTAATAATTACATACGCATTTACGAACAAAGGACTCAGACCACGAAAATTTCACAAAATCAAAGCTATAGGCCTAATTGTGTTCACAGGCCTACTTAGACAATAAGGCCAAGTCAAGGGAGATAACTCCAATCACATGCAGAGGAATAACAAACTTGTCTGAGATCTCACCATACCAAGCTTTGGCTAAATCTATTAAAAACTGTAGATTCATTAGCCAATTTTGAACTAAATTTTAATTTTATTAATTTTATTACTTGAACTGAAAAGTAAGTAAAAATCAGACAGGGACATGACTATACATAGGTCCACATTTAGATTTGAAGTTCTGAAGTCAAATCGAAGAATAATAAGATGAATCTTACTTACCGATATTACTATTAGTACTGTTACTTCTGATAAAAAACTCATTATGTAACTGTACATCCATAAGATCTGAAATCTATAAAACAGAAATTGAGAATCATGAGTATATTTTGTTAAGTCAATGCTGTCATTCTATTGCTACTAAGCTTAACTGATAGAGGTTGAAAGCCATTACCAGGTCAACTCTCGAAAGTACTGGCCATGTCATTAGAATTTCAGAGGAGGATTCCTACCCGCATCTAATTGTCTAGCAGACGACAATCAAACTGCTACTTAATGTTAAAGAACAGTGGTGGAGCTAGCTTTACGTCCAAAGGAGGGCGAAATATCTGAGATTGCCCCAATTTCTAACCTAGATTTTTACCCGAAAAACTTCCTTTCGGAGCTGCGAAGCTGGCCGCACTGCCCTCCTTTGGCTCCGCCATTGTTATAAACAGTCACAAAAATACCTTTGAATTAAAAGACCAATTTCTTTCTGTTTTGTCTTCTGCTGCAACTCTGATAGTATGGATATTACTCAATACCTAGAATAAAAACAAATTAATTCATAAAATTGGATATTAAACAATACAAAATAGCAAATGTGATTAAATTTTGTTTTGGTAAAAAAGGAATAGGTACTTACATTTTGACCATCAAATAAACACATTCTTACATATCTTCTCTGTACTATGATGCCTAAAATAAATAACAAAATAACAATATATAGTACATTTGTAATAAAAAAATTGTTAATAGCCAAAACAAAAGTATTTCCACCAAAGATATATGTTCACCAGAGTACAAAGACTTAAAAAGTCAAGGCACTTCGGTAACAATTTTTTTTATTTTCCAATTCTGCCCCTCTGACAGGTGAAACCAGGTTGAACAACCTGAAGGTATTATCTCAACGCATACCTGGATACAACACTAGGTTTAAGCATTTAACTGACTTAGCCACCAAGACTTCCAATTAAAATAAGAGTTTAAAATAAATAGTATGCCTCGTTACCTGTGGCTGGAGGTGGTATTTGCTGACATGATGTTATTGTTATTACTCTTTCTAACCTCACTTCTACTGCTCTCATCTATAAATAACAAATATAGTGTATAAATTTATTGTCACCATCTATAATGGGCCACCCCAGATTAGCAACCCCTTTTTAGGCTAAAAAATATGCACTATACACGCAAATATACAGTATATAAACTGCAGAGTTCTATATTAGAACAATGGAAATAAACAATACTTGTTATCTGTAGTTTTTACTTTTTTACCATTTCAAGAATAAGAGCAAAACATTACCTCTCCAGTCGCAGGATTAAAAAGTAGATCTCTATAACCCAAATTTGATTCACTTAGTTTAGGTGATAAGAAATTCTTCATTCGAAATTTTTCACCTAAAAATGGAAGCAATTTGTATGATATCAACTCTATAATACAGTCAGGACTAAATGTATATGGTAAGGACTCAATCTGTACTGTATGATATGATTAGGACCTTAACTGAACTGTATGATCCGATAAGGATCTAAACTGAACTGTATAAGGACCTAAACTGAACAGTATTTATGATATGAACCTAAACTGAACTGTATGTATGATATGAACGTAAACTGAAATGTATGTATGATATGAACTGAACCTAAACTGAAATGTATGATATGAACCTAAACTTAAATGTATGATGTGATAAAGACCTAAACTGAACTGTATAAGAACCTAAACTGAACTGATGTATGATATGAACCTAAACTGAACTGTATGTATGATATGAACCTAAACTGAAATGTATGTATGATATGAACCTAAACTGAAATGTATGATATGAACCTAAACTGAAATGTATGATGTGATAAGGACCTAAACTGAACTGTATGTGTGATAAGAACCTAAACTGAACTGTATAAGAACCTAATCTGAACTTTATGATGTGATAAGAACCTAAACTGAACCCTACAATATTGAAAAGCTACATGAATTCAATGATAACGACCTGCTGAACTGTATAAAACCCAAAAATCAAATTGCTACTTACTCTCATTAAAGTACTTTGATAATGTTGGTAATCTAAAACCTGGTGGACCAGCTCCCATAGCATGTAATACATCAGTTACTAATGTCTACAAATAGACCATCATAATGTCAATGTAGAAACCTTAGCTTACACTTAATAACAATTCAAATTTATGATGTACATTTTATGGTCCTCTGATTGTGCTTGTGTGACATGGATAACATTTTCTGACTACATCCTGTTGATAGATGTTACTAGCCAAAACAGTTTGAATAATACAGAATATTTCAAGATAAAATATTTAATGAAATTCTCCAACATACCTCATTTACTGTTTTCTTAAGACTTCCCCACAACTCTCTACCACTGAAATAAAAATAAATATAGCACAATAGTTCAATTTATAAAACTTCACAAAGTTGTCTCTATAAACATGTTAATTAACATTGGTAGGCAATGTGTTGTAAATGGAATTTATCTGACCTTAAATGGACAACTGTGTGATTTTGGGGTTGGATGGTTGATTTGAGTCTTGAATATATGTAAATAAATATTCTTCAGAAGTACTAGAAATGCACCAAAATTGCATAATTCCTTCAAAAATATCTCAAACTAAGAGTTTCTTTTCTATATATGGCAGTGTCTCAAGAAAAGATGATTCTCACTTTCAAACTCAGATAACTCTGGAAACACAATGATTTGAAGGCTCAAATTTTAGTGAACACTATTACTGATTAGTTAAGCCAAAACAATTCCTGTTTCTGAGACTAAAGTACGATTGGTCAAAAATATGACGTATCTGTCCCTTTAAATACATTTGATTATAAAGACAATATAATCATTCAAGCATACCTTCTACGTTTACTGTGAGGTGTTTTTTCTCCATCTTGTTTCTCTTCTCCCTCCTCTTCAGAATGTTCTTTCTTTTCTTCTACAAATTTAAAACACAACCTTTATTTCAAATAAATGATGGACAAACTTTTTAATCAAATTCTATTGAGTGCCAAGGACAATTAAAAAATACGCAAATACAAAAATCAACTAAGTGTACAATCAATCAAGACATCCACCTTAAAATAGGTTAACAATCAAATAAATAATAATAATAATAATAATAATTACCTTCATCATGTTGTTGAAGAGATGAATACTGATTATATACCTGTAACATAAAAAATATAAATTACTTTATCTATTACAACATTTCCATATAAGTTTCATCTGAAAACCTGAGCCCTAAAGGGTCATCAGTAAGTTAGGACATTCAACCTTGGCATTTAAACAGCGACACTATTATAACATTACATGGTTCTATATGTATATCTATAGGTAAGCTTTTGCATATTATCACATTTAAGATTTTAAAATTTAAGTTACTTTCACCAATAAAGCAGTAGATTAAATCATTGGCATTGGAATTAAAGAAAATAAATTACCTTTAAATATGTTTTAGGTACCAATCCTTGTTTTCCTGCATCATTTTCAGCAATCCACCATCCATCTTCCCTATAATACACATCAAAATATAGTGAAAATAAATATATTAAACCAGAACACTTATAAATAAATAGATGGGACCGTGAATAATTTTATCAAAATAGTCTTGTGTGGTAGCTTGAAGAATGGTCAAATGAAGAATTTGGCAGTTTCATCAAACTTTTCTGCTCCTCTAATATTTCTTATAGAAAAGAAATTAGATTGAAATTATCAACAAGAATTCATAACATTATTTTTGATGATCAAAATCATTCTATTATTAAGTGTTGACTTAAGTGAAAAGAACTGGATTTTGTTATTAAATGAAGGTGAATGAAATGAAATGGATGTTGAAGTGAAATGAATGTAAGAGTGCAATGAAGTTGAATGAAATGACATGGATGTTGAAGGGAAATGAATGTAAGAGTGCAATGAAGTTGAATGAAATGACATGGATGTTGAAGGGAAATGAAATGGATGTTGAAGCAAAATGAAAGTGAAATGAAATGAAATTTGAAGTGAAATGAATGTGAAATGAAATGGATGTTGAAGTGAAATGAATGTGAAAGGAAAGGAAATGAATGTGAAATGAAATGGATGTTGAAGTGAAATGAATGTGAAAGGAAAGGAAATGGATGTTGAAGTGAAATGAATGTGAAATGAAATGAAATTTGAAGTGAAATGAATGTGAAATGATATGGATGTTGAAGTGAAATGAATGTGAAAGGAAATGATATGGATGTTGACATGAAAGGAGAGTAATGAAATGGATTTACACATTCACACACGTATTGCAATTTACGTGACTGTGAGCTTATTTGGTATATACAGGTAACACTTACCCCCTGCTGTGAGACATATAACAAACAACAATAGAAAACTTTCTAAGGCCATTTAAAAGTAACATTCTGTCATCTCCCAGATTTACTCAATTAAAATAATTGATTTTCTTTGAAGTACAGAACAAATTCTGTTTGTATGTGTGATTTTTTACCTTGTATTGTGATAAACAGCAAAGCAATTTAGAATGGCCTATTATACAAAATACAGAGAGTTACAAAATCCAGAAAAACAACATTCAAGATATGAAATGATATTTAGAATTAAAGAGAGTTGATAGGTCAAAAATAAATTGGAAAATATATTAAATTAGTAGCTACAGATCATTTTTCATATACAAAATACTAACCTCACTTCAATAATTCGTATAACTTCATCTTTTTTAACAGACAAATCTCCTTTTTCTACAGCTTCAAAATCATCAATAGCAACAAACCTCTCAATCTGAAAAGTTTTAAGTAAAACTTAAAATACGATTGTGACACAACAAAACACAGAATATTACCAGCATGCTTGCCCTTCAGAACCTAGATTCCACAACCCAGCTGCTCTAGAAATGATATCTTTTATTTTCTATTTATTATAATATAAGAATTCCTTATATACTAAATATTCATATTGAGAATACAATCAAAGTTATCATGAAATGTTCTAAATCTAACACAAATTTGAATAATAAGACTTACTCCTTGGGTGACCTCCAAAGTATCTTCAGCTTTTGTAGTGTCTTCTTCATCAGATTCTTCTTCTTCTTCATCTTCATCATCTTCTTCTTCAGATTCTTCCTCTACTTCACCTTCTTCTTCTTCCTCCTCTTCTTCTTCAGATTCATCTTCATCTTCTTCGTCATCCTCATGATCAGCTTCATCCTTCTTGGACTCTATCTTAGAAACTTCTTTAGAGGAAGATGATGATGCCTTTGATGTGGATGAACGACTAGCAGGCTGTGGTGTCTTAGATTGTGACGCACTGCTGACTATGTTCGAGGATTCTGTTTTATTCTCAGAAGAACTACTTGGAAGTACTGTGGTACTGCTGGCAGTCTTAGAAGATTCAGACTTGGGAGTCAATGTTCGACTGGCTGGTTTGGGAGTGCTGGCTATAACCTTAGCCTTTTCTGGTTGTATCATATCTTCAACATCATCATCATCTGAATCTTCTTCCTCTTCAGATTCTTCATCTACATATTCCATTGTTTCCACGTAATCAGTTTCATCTTTGGGGCTATAAAGGTTAGAAAAGACAATTAAACGTATGTCTATTTTGCTAATTGATGTTATCAGTGTTTCTGATGCAACTTAGAAAACCTCTTTACAGAAAAATATATAATATACTACATTTTCAGGAATTGGGATTCAATGGAATTTTAATACCAGTCTTTATTGATACATATTCTAAAGTAGAATTGTAGGATTCCAATTGACAAAGGATATTTTAAATCATTATTCATATACTTTTTTATACATTTTCATTCAGACCTACCTTGTTTTGGCTTGCACTTGTTTTGCATCCTGTTTTCTAACACTTTTAACAACAGCATGATCTTCTTCTTCATCTTCTGTTTCTTCAAAGTCTTCTTCATCATCTCCCTCAATGGCCTCCTCAATATCCTCATCTTCTTCTTCTTCATCTTCTTCTTCTTCATCTGATTCTTCTTCCAAATCTTTCACTTCTTGTCTGGGTGCCTCAACTTTCTCTTTCTTATTTTTCTTTTCAACCTTGTCCTTTTCTTTCTTATCTTTATCTTTTTTCTTATCCTTGCTCTTCTTTTTATCTTCTTCATCATCTTCTTCCTCTTCATCAACTTCATTTTTCTTCTTCTTATCCTTTTTGTCTTTTTCTTTTTTGTCCTTGCTTTTTCCATCTTTCTTATCCTTATTTTTCTTATCCTTTGCCTTGGCATCTTTATCATCTGCTTCCTCATCATCTTCATCTTCATCTTCCTCTTTGTCATCCTTATCTTTTTTCTTCTTATCTTTGTCTTTTCCTTTCTTATCTTTATCCTTCTTATGCTTATCTTTGCCTTTCTTTTCCTTATCTTTCCCCTTTTTCTCGTCCTTAGGACTATCCTTGATTTCTCCTTGATTTTCTGAAATGCAAATGAAAATGAAATACTTTTACTAACTACATGCTTGTGAGGTATGAAAAATGAAAGAACTTAATTGTATAAAACAGTGCTGATCTTTTAATGAAGATTTTAGGATACCGGTATTTACAGATTAATTTTGTGTAACAAGAAAGGTTATGTTGTATGTCTATGAAGCCTGAAATGCCGAATAAACAATTCCTGAAATCTATGTCATATCATCTTCTGCAACACAATCTAAAAACTGTTTGATTTTTGAAAATTTATTTCTATAGGCAATACTATAGATATACCGAAAACATCTGTCACTATTCCAGCCTCTGATGGGTATTTTGACAGTTGTCAGCTGGAATAGAGGCAGATGTTTCGGACTATACTATAGACTGATTGGTTAAATTTAAAATGAATTTTGTGATTAACCAATCAGATGAAGAGTTAAAGCTTGTTTGAAAAGAGTCCCTAGATGTAAAAAGAACATTTATAAGGCTAATTTGCTAAGTAATAGGAGTTCAATAAAGCTAAACATGCATTTTAAACAGTGAAATCAATCTGTTTAAGCTGCTGAACAATTCAAAAACAATTCTACATTAGATAAGCTAGGGGTTACTTTAAAGATTTAAAATAACAAAAATCCTAATCTAAAGCTAGCTTCTCTTTTAATCAATATTCTGCCACTCTCTTCAGCAAGAGCTCGAAGAGACAAAATAATATAAATTAAGATGCTAAAAGACAGCAAGATACTGAAATATGAGAGATTCAAAGTGGGAGAATGTTTCAATTTACTTGGTATATTTTGAGCTATTCATATATAATAAGGAAAAACTAGAGTTAAAACTTAACATTAGGATGTAAAAATTTTGTAAATTTTTAGAAAGTTATAAGCAAGTCAATGTTAACTCTATCCATAAATGGAAAAAACTAAGAATGATTTTACAATGTTAGCAACTATTGATATTTCTGAGTAGCAAAGCGAGATATGATTTTTCTGATATGTTCATTTAAATCTTGTACAGATTGACCATCTAAGCTATCAGGAAACTGCATTGTTTGCAGTAATTTGTGAATGTCCAGAATGTCTTAGTACACATAAAAATGTCTCAAGACCCTTCTTGAATCCCTATAAATAAATTTGTTGCCACAGTAAATAAGCAATAATAATGGCTCAAGAGGTAAAACAGCTATCCGTAAAGTATCTTTAGCAGAAGAAATAAAAGCCCGTAAAAAAATCTAGTGAATCAAAATGAAAAACAGTTTCATTTCTACCAGAAGAATAATTTTCATCTTCTTCTGTAATGGCCTCTAAACCTAATAACATAGATTCCAATTTAACACTTGATTTAATGTTTTAAGTCTTTATAACTAAAAACTTATATTGTTAAAATTGAGAGTTTTATTTTTTACATGATAAGGAACTTTTTTCTATGGGTTGGACATAATATATTAATAAGCTATTGTCAAAGATAACTTTGTATTTCTATTTTTGTAACTTTGTATGGACCAATCATTACAGATTTGGTCCATGAAGTATATCATTTCTACAATGCATCTTTATATCTTCGACGTCAAGCCCTTGTTCTATTTGGCAGATATTCCTGACACTGAATCTGGTCAAAAACAACTATCTAAATTAAATAACGTTATCATCAGTAACTTTACCTTGCGTCACAGCATTATCTGCTTCATCTTCCTCCTCACTTTCTTCTTCTTCCTCTTCTTCTTCATTAACTGGTGTATCAGAAATTTCACCTGCTTCTTTCAATTCTCTATAATATTCCAGGGAATAAAATCAATCACTTAATTAGTCATTATTTAGTCATATGTCATAAAAAGTAAGCTTGAGTAAATGAATTTATGGTGTCATAGAAGTAACTATATTTCAAATTATTGACATCATAAACTGTTTCTAATGATAATCTACTCACTTGGTAAATGCTTCTTCATCTTCTTCAGGAGCCAATTTAGGCATAATCATTGTCAACTGATTCTAAAAATAGACAAAAACTAGTATCAGAAACTTAAGATTTAAAAAAATAAACAAAGAATCATTTCAAAAAGCTACTTGCACTGTCATCTTTCTTTCTTTATAAATATGAAAATAACTTCCAACTATGTGATTCTAATTTATCATTGTATTGCCAAATTTTCGTATTTGCTTCTCTGTGCGTATTTACAATATTTATAGTAATATGTACACAAAATGTTAATTGCTTTAGTTACCTGTAAATTGGCCAATCTTTTAACTTCAAAATCTTTTTTGTTGTCATAATTTTTGACTTTCTTCGGTTCATCTTCCTACAAAAATTACATTTTCAGACAAATTACATGCTAGTCTGGGAATATATTTCATGTGTGATCAAAAGTATCTACAACTCATATTGAAAGAAAACACAAGATGGACACAAAATCATTGGCCATGGCTTCAGAAACTGTCTGAAAAAGGAGCACCTTACTGCTGTCATGGATCACTTTTGCTTGTGTATCAACAGGAACCGTTGACCTCTCTGAAATCTAAACCTTGAACCTTTTCAAATTGAGCACTAAATATTACTTTACCTTTGTTAATTTTTCTGCTCTATCATGTACACTTAAAACATCTTTCTTCAGTTGAAAACATCTTCAAAAATAAGTATTACAAAAAATTTAAAAAATGAACAGGCTTTATTGATTTTTGGAATTTTAATTGAGTGTAATATAAGTAGGACCTATGCTTGATGGAACAAATGCTAGCATTTACAGGCATTTTATATGCTCTTCCTGTCATATCCAAAAAATAGAGCAAATATAAGCTTAACATAAATATCACCCATAGGCACAAATGTCTCTATAAGATAAAACAATAATCAAATAATTTTTTTCAAATTAGACTTACTGTTGATTCTACCATAAATATCTACTCCTACCCCTTATCTTTATGAATGCTAGAACTTGTTTAGACTTTCTGAACTTTTTTCTCAGACAAGAATCATGTGCAATTCTCTTTCTATCATCTCTATAAGAGATTAGATCAATCTCAATCCATACTTACTCTTTAAAGAGCTGTTTCTGTTTGACATCTTTATCTTTTAATTTCTTATCTTTTATAACTTTATTACATTCTTTTACTAACTTTTCTACCTAGAGTAATTGAAACATATAATCATTTTTTTAGCATTGTTTGTAAACAAATAAATTGAACACAAACATCAAGTGCCATACAAGATCTTTTATGATTTCTCACCTTTGAAAAAAAGATATATTTTCAATAATGACAGACAATATCTGCCAACTTAAAAACCTCAAACCTATTGAAAAATATAGATTTCTGGCTGACAAATATTCCAAAACAGCTTTTTGGTAGAAATTTAAATTTTTTCAGGATATTTATTTATGATCATTTCACCTGTTGGCCCACTCAATTTTGGTAATATCAAGCAACTATACATGCAATACAGTTAACATCTTTGACAAACCCCATCAAATGATTTAATAATATGAGAGCACAGCTCACTCGACGGCTTTGCCGTTGCCAAAGCTCTCTATAATGGTAACACATACATATACATCAATTCGTTTCAGAAAATTTATGTTATTTTATATTTTATCAATAACCTGCGCTCTCATTCAAGGCCATGCCTTCATTCATATTAAGATTAGGCTAGGCCTAGACTGAGTTCCAAAGAAGAAGATCAAGTGGAGACTTGTCGGTGTGAAGTTGGTGTTGATATAAATGATTTCCAAACTAGTCATACATTCATATACAATACTCACTGCTTTTTTAGTGACTTCAGCTTGTTTTTGAACAATTGAAAGCGGACTTGCATCTGTTTTAGGCATTTTGCTATTATAAAAATTGAAAAAAGAAATTTGATACTAAAGTTGAGAAATGTCGGCCATTGATAAACAAAACTTGCTCCACTTCCGGAAATCGATGGTGCGTCTTAGGTAGCAATTGTACTCATGTATTCAAAAGAGTTTAAAACGAAAGTAAAATGACAATGAAATTAGTTTTAGAGATTTGAAACTGAGCGTCCAAACTGAATTGTTTTGGATGAAAATTGTGTCATTACAGCTTCTTCCGCCTCGGGATAAACAACGTCGATTTAACATAGCAGTTTATGGACAAGGATTTTGTACAACGGGTTTACCGCATTTGCCAACGTCAGACACGTGATATAGGCTTTGAACTGACAAAACTCTCTTCAGTCCTTTTACTAAACTGGGCAAACGATATTAGACGAGTTTACTATTTTGAAGCTTATTAAGGAAAAGAAGGGGTCAACGCAGATTAAATGCAGTGGCGACCGGGTTCCGGGGAGAGTTAATTATGGTTTTCCGCCTGTTTTCTCAAGCTTCCGTTTATATGTCGGACCCCTTCATTCTTCAATGGTAATAACCTCGAACGCATATCCGACTGACCAACCCGTGATAAAATGCACGAGTTTCTTTGACGATAATATTCACACAGGATTATCAAAGTTTACCTTTTGAATATATTTGATTTGTTTAAAAGTTACACATTGTTTTACCCAATCAGCTTGCTGGCGCAAATGCAATACTGGATCTTGACCTGTCGAACCCAGCCTGGAATATATCTCGATTACCCAGACCATAAGCAAACACAATCTGGGCCCAACCTATAAATGTCATATTTCGGTCTATTAATATGTAAATGCATGTATAATGTGACTAAAATAAACTTTGACAGCTCAAACACACTGTATAAGACTAAACACGTTTTCACATTTTACAGGCTACGTTATTATTTATGATAAAATTGGCCTTCAAACATTATTTCAGAGTAGGCTAGACCTATCCCTGGCTATGGTTAATGGTTGAGTCATTGAGAAGTTTTAATGGTAGTATCTGCTGTCAGCTGGTCAAGTGATTTGATAGTTATTCTTTACCGCAGCAAGGTATAACTTTAGGCCTATGTATATCTATCAGTTGGGTTGGTCAAGATCAAGATAAGTTTATGCGTAAGTCATTAATGTCATTGAACTTAAATTAGGTAGGCCTATGCCTATACCATTTTATTGACAGTTTCACACAGGTAATAGATAGGTCAAAACAAAACTATATTACCTGATCTTTGTATTTTTAGGGTTAGGTTTATGGGGTGATACCTGTGTAATTTGCATAAACGATAAATGAATAATTGAAAAAATTGATTATGAAATTTATCAATGTAGATTATATGCTTCTAGTTCTAGGTAGCTTGGTGAGTTAGACGCTTGCGCTCTAACCTGAGGGTCCAGGTTTCAATCCTGGCATAGTTCGAGACAATACCTTCGGATTTTTCAGCCCGGTTTACCCCTGTCAGTGATGCAGGTAAGAGGGGCTGACATGGAAAAATCATCTAGTCGTTCGGATGGGACAATAACTGAGGCCCCGTGTGCTACAGGCTGTGCACGTTGGAAATCGAAAAAAAGCAGACTGTCCTGGCGAAAATTTCCCTCATTGCACCCTGCGTGGTGTTGTCTGTCTTGATAAGCCCACATGGTGCAGAAGAGTAAGACGGAAAACTCCATTCATTTGATTTCATTTTTTCTAGTTCTAGGTGCCTACTAGTCTTGAGGAGTTCTCCAAAACATCTAATTTTTGTCTTGAAAAAGTATAATTAACTCTCTGACCACAGAGAATTCTAAATTAGAATATCTGTCACTTCAGCAATATACAATTAAACAATTCATATGAAAATTGTCCAAGATTGTCTTTGGATTATATTTGGATTTGTAAGTTAGAATGAAATGCTCAAAATTTATCTCATGCCATCTGAAATCTGTTGGGCTTCTAGGGGCCTCAGGTTTCTAGATAAGTCCCTGTTTCCTGGCTTTTTTTTTCATGTTATAAACTGGCTTACACCTTGACCTAATACTTTTCAGAATATTGTATTGAATACAATATAACCAAGTGAACAGCCATGCAAGATGTCAATGATTTAGAATGTGGTAGAGACCGATCTAATGATGCTGATGTAGATGGAAATATTGATTTCACAACAAATCAAGAAGTTGTGTACAAATTTAGAGATAGAAATAAGAGATTAGTTACAGAATGGCAAGTTTTCTTTGAAAATGACATAAAATCAGAAAAGGTGCAGGTAGGGAAAATACTTTGAAACTATTGTCAGGGTAGAATGAATGGTGTAATTACTGGACTGCAAAACGAAACCCAAATCTTGTCTGATTTCATCATTTCTCTGTGCTTGTGTCTTTAGAACTGATCAGTTAAAAGTATGTAATGTTTGAAAAGTCAAGCCAAAATGGATTTTGAAAACATGAAATATATTTTATTTCACTCAATATTCTAGCCTTCAATATGTTGTATAGTCAAATTATCAACCCTTTTACATGTCATTGTGTAAAATTTTAGGTTTCTCATGGTGATATTTTTAAGGGAGCGCCTTCAGCAGATGCTATTGTAAGTATTACAAATCAAATAATAATGTATTTAAAAAAAAAAAGACATGAGAAATCAAATCATAGACAATGGATATCACATTCAAGACATCTGTTACCCAAGGAATTTAAATGTGTCATCTATGTAGAAATTTGTTCCTTCAGGTATCACCAGCAAACAGTTTTGGTTTTATGGATGGAGGTATTGATATGGCTTATAGCTTGCATTTTGGATGGCAACTGTAAGTTGATCACTCTGAATATCTTTAAGCAAAAAATGATTTCTTATGGGTTAGTTACTCAGAAAATTAACTTTTAAATTAGTTTATTTTTTGATAGAACTATTTTTTTTTAACCAGTGCCACATTAAGCTGCCATTAGAATTTACTGACATTATTTGTCATCACTATTCTCTAAACATTATATTTTTTGGTTATTTAATTGTTTGATTATTTTTGATTGATTTTAGGCAGAAACGTCTACAAAAAGTGATTAGAAAAGAACACCATGGAGAAATCTTAGTGGTAGGAGACTGTTTTTTTAAGAAATATGTCAAGTTTTTATCTGTCTCATTCATTCCTCAATAGGATCAAACAAATTTGATTTTGTAGCCATTAATGGCTCCGATACACACAAAAAAAGCAAGGAAATGTTTTACAATCCCCATAATTCCAACTATCTGCAGTATCTTCAAAACAGAAATCTGATTTCAACTTCTTAACGACTTGCATGCCTTTAGAATAATGTCATATTAATGATATTATATTTATAGGGTGCTGCTGTTATTATACCAATATTTGAAGGTGGTGCTAAACAAGAATCTATGAACTGGAAAGGTGCTAATGAGAATAAACCTATTAAGTATTTAATCTCGGCACCAACTATGAGAGTACCTCAATTTGTAGATGATACTGTGAACTCGTATCTTGCCTTTAGAGCTGTTGTTCTTGCAGGTTTGTCTTTCTCAAGATATTAGAATATTAGTCTATACACTTCTACTATTATAGCCTAGAATATTATCCAAACAACACAAGAGAGCCTACACTTTCCATAAAATTTTAGTGAAATTCAGTGTTATCATTTTTAATAATGAAATCTTGGTCAAGTTTGAATTTGACGATTTTTGGGTGAATGGTTTTTGAGTTATTGCCCTTGACTTAGTTAAAACACGTCAAAATTGAATTGTGAACTCAATAGAAACTGCAGTTTTCATTTGATTTTAATGAAATTTAGTGTGATAATTTATAGTGATGAGATCTTGGTCATATTCGAATTTGACAATGAATGGATTTTTAATTATTGCCCTTGACTTTGGAAATACAAAAAATAAAATTTGGTTGTGGACACAATAGAGACGAGAGTTTCTATCTGAATTGAATGATACGCTTAAATGGTTTGTGAATCTGATGTAGTTTGAAATTTGAAATTTTGTTAAAAATCAACAATATCTTGAACAAATTAGATTTTTGGTATGATTTGACACAGATAGGTGACTGCCCTTGATATACTGAAAATGTATTGGGGAAGTGGGCATATCTTGCTAGGCAAACACTTGTTATTTATTTTGTTTTAGTTGAAAATTTTAATAGACATCATGATGAGAAGATAAAAAGTGTGCTATGTCCTGGATTAGGAACAGCTGTAGGTAGAATGCCATTTGATAGATGTGCCTTCCAGGTAATTAGATTATTTCAATATTCAGTGTATGAAGTCAGTTGCACCTTACAACCACCCTTACCACCCAGTTATTTCTTAATTTTGAAAGAGTCTAAATCAGGGTGCATTTTTAATAATATTAACCCTATTTCTAGTAGTGGCACTGACAAGAAAAAGTTCTCTGTTATTTTAGGGGCAATAAACAACAGCCCCTTTTACCACAGATTGTACGGGCAAATGCAAAAATTTCTCTGACTGCAAACAGTATCATCTCATCATTTATCTGACTTATCTGCGACGAGCAAAATAAGTAGCCTGAAATACATTTCCAGTTGTGAATCATGTGGTGGTAATAAATGGTTAAACAGACCATACTTGCCCTTTACAAGTCACCTCATATGACTGAGTGGGTGATAATTACTTAGTATATCCTAATCTCACAAATTATACAATATTTCTATATACATATTTGGTAGATGAAAGAAGCTTATAATACTTTTGTCTTGGGAAAAAGTCAAGAACGTGTTTACCCAACAAAATTAGAAAGAATGGAGTTGGATATGAATAATATGCAAAGGGTGATTATCTTATTTATCATTATGTTTTAGAAGAGACAGACAATTCATTATTATGAAAATCCCCAAAAATGTGTATGAGTAATTGACAATTTTGAAGCATGTATCTAATGTTTCAGAAGCTAATCTAATCGAAAGTATGGCTTTTATGCAAAGCGACTAAGTGAAAATGAAACTTTGTACACAAGTCCAGTAAGGATCACCTGATATCACATTCTATATTGCAGTACAAAAGACCTCATGATAGTGATGAAGATGATGATGTCAATGAACATAGTTTAAATAGAAGATTAAATTTTAGACCATCCAGAAGGAAATAAAGAACATAATTAATGCTTCAGTTACTACTCAACTGTTTTATATCTTTAAATAGGATAGATTTACTCATACAGAATGTAGTATGTTTATAAATATGATTTTATTGTATACATACTTGCTCTTGAAGGTATGTCATGTGTAAAGGGTCACTAGTTATGCAATAATGCTTAATTTTGATACTGCTCAAGATATACTTAGTTATTGTTAAGTTGATTTTTTTACATAAATAATTCTCAGGTAGATATTAATTTTACTGGATTATAAAGAATAATAATGGTTATTAAAATGATGTCAGAGTTCATACAGATATAATTTATGAGAAGTTTAGGCCTCATCAATAGTTTAGTATTAGAAAGCTGTTGCTTCTTCACATTGTATTATAAAACGTAAATAAATGATTTTGCTTTCAAGATCAAGGTATTAGTGAATACAGCTTTTGATTAATTCTGAAGTATGGATGGACATGTGATCTATGGTCTGGTGTTTTCACTATTACAGCTGTTTAATGACATCATACTAATGTAATCAAATCTGAACTCAATTTCTTGAAAATTACATTTGATTTATGATACATTTTATGATATATATAGCTCTATTCTAGTTTTGTTCTGAAAGTTTGCGATATCAGCATCTGCTGGAAGTGAATGTTAACATGTCATCTACCAACCATTTGTTCTGTTCTCAAAATTATTTTGTAGGATATTTATATTACTATTAATAATTTTATCAAATGGGTAGTACTGTTATTGCATTTTTACATAGTGATAATTCAGATAGATATATGTTTATTTTGTGATAGGCTTTAATCAAAATTCTTTGTTAGAATTATAGGCTTATGCAGAAGTGTGTTGAAAATGAAATACCAATCTCAAGTCTAGGGCTCTTTTTCAGTACATGGACTGTTTATTTTCACTGTTTTAAGTGAACTTGAAATTTAGATGATGGACCAATATTTACCAAAACTTATTTACAATGTGATCGTTTGTTCACTTTGTACTCTGAATTTTGGTTAAAATTGGAAACATGCCTTCTCAGTTGTAGAGTCATACAAGTAGGTTTGGTGTTATTCGGTTTGATATACAGATATTGATGTATGTGACATGTAATGTTGCTGTGGGTAACTCTATATTCCATTCATGATCTTAGGATGTTGTGTTCTATGTTCTATATGTCATACAATATTCAACCAAGCATATTCTCTGTTTTATAATCTGTTTATCTAAACATTGACAGCAGAAATAGCATTTCATAATCATGATGAATTGATATGAAGCTATCAATTTACCTGAACATAATTTACAGAAAAGTTTCTTTAGATCATGGATAGTAAACTTCTTGACTATAATTTGAATATTTGTTTTAGGGTTTTCTGTGTACTTAAGGAATCTCAATTGTTTATATTACTTGCCTATATTATGTTATATCTTTGCCATAAATGTAATCTGTGTATTTTTAAAAGAATTTTTAAAGAGTTTTAGAATCAGGTATATAGAATCTGTGATACTATTGGGTACAAAACATACTATGTTATGTTATTTAATGTGTTAAATCACAAAATATCTCAAGATTATTTGCCATGAATGCTCATTTGGTGTATATTTCAAAGTGGAATTTTGTTTCTTCCTTGAACATCATTTTATATGAAATCCTTACATGATGAACTTTTTTTTCTTTACGTAGATTTAATGAAATACTCAATTATTATATCCTGATTAAACATGTGGTCTATTGGTCTATACTCTTTTCATATAGAATTATTAAATTCACATGGAAGGTTACAATTATTGATTCTAAATAACAGATGGGTGCTATTTGGCAAAATCTCAGCAGCGCTTATGGAATTTACATGGTAGACCTTTTCGATGGGTGCTTCATTATTACAAAATGTTTAATTTTGAACCCTTGCATAAGATTTGAAAATGCCTTCAAAATTGTTTCTGGATTTTATTATTTATACAATTTTTGCCCAAATTATGCCATAGATGATGCAGCTTCTATTTTTAATGTTAATACTATATACATAATATTATTATGTAGAGTGCTATGTATATAAATTGCCCACTTTTTATGGTAATCTTCAGGAAAAAGTTAAAAATTTTTGTCCATGAAAAATGTTATTTTGGATTTTTGTTTTTGCATTTATGCTAACCTTGATGCTAGACAATATTCAATGTAATTGATAATTCACCAATTCAAGTTTCTTATTTTATAATATATATTTTCTATTAGTTAGTTGATTCCAGAATATTGTCTTCCTATAGACTAGTATTTTATTTCACAATAAACTATAGTCAATTTTTAGAGTCATTTTTTGGTCTCCTAAATATGTGCATAACCATAGAAGTCAGTTGGCTTCAAGAATAACTAACTTGATGAAATAATATTTTGGTCCTTATGATTGCAGGCAGTTTCGCATTATGAGATTTGTCTCAAGTGCTCCAATCAAAATGCATTTATATTGTTGGGCTTGCCTTTTCACCAATGAAAAAGTAACTTTGTAACTTTTCAAACAAGAGTCTACAGTATTTAAATTGAGCTATCATTTTGTTGATTTTAGATTCTTGATTAAGGGTGAAATTAAGTCAGGGGTTTAGTTTATGTTGAATTTTGTAAAAATAGATTCCTAGATTTTATATACATGAGAACTTGTTGACATTTTGTGATTCCCTTTACCCGAAATTGGTGATTATAATTTTTACATTTAAATAATGTTGATACCTTCAGATATTTCTACCCGGTTTCCCCTGTCAGTGATGTAGGTAAGAGGGATGACATGGTGTGCTACAGACTGTGCAGTTAATGATCCATTGACAGTAGAAAATCGAAAAAAGAGCGGACTAATGCTGCGGCCTGGCAAAATTTCCCTCATTGCACTCTGCATTGTGTTGCCTGTCTTCATTAGCCTACATGGTGCAGAAAAGTAGGACCTAAAACTCCATTCATTTCATTTCATTTGCTATAGAATGGTGTAATAAAACGCTTATCTATTTTGAAACCTTGGCATGTACTGACCACCCCCCGGTGTAAACCAATATGATAGTCAAGGGCACAGAAAACTCAGCATGGCATATCAATTTTCTGTCCAGGCTTATAATGTATAGGCCTATAAGGAAGGGACAGACATTAGTAAAGTAGACGCTATTACTAATGATTGAGGCGCTTCATGTTTAAGTGGGAAGCCTAAGTAATCACAGGATTCTATCAATTGGGAGATAAAAATGCCAACTGTCTATATTATTATATCGATGTCCCTTCTGCGAAGTGTTGTGCATTGGTAAACCTAATGGCATAATTGGCACAATAAAGTGCAATTCTGGAAGGAAAATTATAGAATACCACAAAAAACATCTTATTTACAATTGTTTAATTAATATTAATTAATATTGTTTATAAAGGATCACATCGATATGTTATCATCTTCATAATCATATTGACACACATAATATAAATAAATAAATGCATAAGGAGTTGTAGTCCTGGACAGAGTTATCTTTCCTTTCGGTAGTTTATTTTTCATTAGAAACCACTGATCTATATAAAAATATAAATAATTTATTTATATAGATCAGTGTTAGAAACACGAATGATATGCAGAAAATGTCACGTGATCTAATTTCCGTAATATTCAAGGTACGAAAAGACGATCCAGCTGATACGATCCGGTGGTGAAGTTCCAAAGAGTACAACCCCAGTGATACGATCCAGTGGTTAAGTTCCAAAGCGTACAATCAAACTGATACGATCCAGTGGTGAAGTTCCCAAGTGTACAATCTGCTTTCTGCGTTCTACAAAGTCTACGGTCTAAATTATGTTCTAGAAGACTTACATAGGGGTAGAGATCACATTAAATAATGGAACACAATTTAGAGAGGGAAATTCCGTATTTGGTAGTAGGTCAAATTTTATTTTGCTCAAATTTGTGAAAACTATTCAAAATCTAGACAAATGTGTCCCTATAAAAAAATAGAATGTTTTTCGGGAAATGGTGACAAATTACATACACTACAATTAGATGGTTTGGGTTTCCCTCCCGGTCTACTAGCACCTCTTACTAAGTGATCCTGTAAAATATATTGTCTAAAATCTAGTGAACCATGTCGACTTAACATCATCAGTTCAACCAGATCCACATTTTCAGTGTATAATATTTCAACATGTAAATAGTGTGCAAGGGGAACATAAAATACACCACGTTCCTTGTAGAAAAATGGATTATCATCAAAATCAAGTTGAACTAATCTATAGCGACAATATCTATCCTCTTTACTATTAACTTTAGTTAAAACTAGAGTGATGTAGTGAGATTTTCCAGTTAAACAAGTGAAATCAGCAAAGTAAAGATTACAACCCTGGACAAGATAGTCAGGTGGGATCATTATTCTATAGTTGCCGAAAAAACTCTCATCTGGTATTTGTCCCGATGTTGTTTTTGGTGTTGCCATAAAGAATAGTCCATCTATTTTGTTATTGATGCTTGAACCGGGATCACCATTGTTGTCTTTAAGATATTTCTCCATGATTCCTGTTTCTTCGGCTTTGCTAATTGTTGGATGGTGAGTAGGTTTATTACGATACAGATGACGAACTGTTGCTTTACTTGAACCTTTTCTACTCAAGTGGTTTTCAGCCAAAGTCATTAGATCTCTTACATCTGCTTTTGTATTATCTGTAATAATAATAACTAACATCAATGAACTATTTTCATATATTTTCGCTTCTCTGAGGCAGGATTAACTGTTGATTCGGTTGCCTTTACAATCCATGCTTGCTTTTTCATACATCAATACGTCAAAACCAGGCAAACGAAACATTGTCTGTCAAAGCTCGCTATCAATGACTCACGATAGATCTTAAATGAGAATCACGAATATACACTGTACAGAACAGCAACATTTTAATGTTCGAGCAAGAGATGAGATGATTGACTACTTGTACTTTCGTTTGCTGGACTTATCCGGAAACGACCACGTCAGCAGTATACAGGCCAAGAACGACTGGTTGCTTCTTGGGTTAATGTTGCTGGGCAACCAACCGCCATGATTCAAAGTTTACATCAAAGAATATACCAAATACTTGACTATTTTTAATTCTGATTTCAGATAAGTACTAGTAGTGTTTAAACAGCTAAATACGTTCAGTGTGGATGCCTGAAGCTACAGAGAACTGTTCTGGACATATGAAGTAGTTTCATCATTTTGACCTTTCTGGAAACTACCATGACAGCTGATGCAATACGAGGCCAACAACGTTTAAACTTACTAGCACATTAGCCTACCGCCAAGTACAATATTATCATTGATATTTATATTTTTTAAGTAATTATTAATTTAACTTACGAGTTACTATTGTTATTAGTCTAGTTTCATGTGTGACAGTAAGTTGTTTATTTTGTTAGTGAACCTTGTACAGTTGATATTCATATTTTTGTCTTGATTTCAGGCTAATACTGGAACTTATAGTTCGACTGGTAGTTTCTATTAGTTCAAGATACTGAACACCAGTTACTCTCTCAGTTAATAATAATATATAGTAATTGGTATTGGAGAACAATGGAGAGTTTTTCTGTTCAAACTGAAGTGTTAATGTATTTGGTACTGGAACATGTTGGTTCACTTCTACATTCATATGTTCTGTATTTAGATACACGTACTGAAGAAGAGTTTTATAACTAAGATTTCAGAATGATAATCCCAAACTTTATGTCTACGAGGGTGTGATTGTGATTACACTTTTGACAGAAGTCAAGTACACGCCTATGGTTTGATATTGGCCTGATATTGATGACAAGCTAACAAGCTAGCAAAAATGAGTCAAAATTATATTGCATATACATGTATACTTTAGAAAATGTACCAAAAGACTTTGGATGATATTTTATTTATTGCCCATTGAATTTTTATGCTATTCAAAATAAATTCAATATTAGAATTTCTGAACATGACATTAAGTATGATATGATAGTACTTACTGTAGGTTGTATATTTTGTCCGAGGGATGTTATATTGAACTCAGTATTTTCATCTGTGATTATTTTCCATGATTCAGTAAACTTAATTTTATTATTCATCGGAGCCGCGGTGGCTCAGTGAGTTAGACGCTTGCTCGCTAACCTGAAGGTCCAGGGTTCAATCCCGGCATTGGTCGAGATAATACCTTCGGAATTTTCAACCCGGTTTCCCCCTGTCAGTGATGCAGGTAAGAGGGGCTGACATGGAAAAAGCGTCTAGTCGTTCGGATGGTACAATAAACCGAGGCCTCGTGTGCTACAGGCTGTGCACGTTAAAGATCCCTCGACAGTTGGAAATCGAAAAAGATCAGGCTAATTCCGCTGTCCTGGCAAAATTTCCCTCATGGCACCCTGCATGGCGTTGCCCGTCTTCATTAGCTCACAAGGTGCAGAAGAGTAGGACGTAAAACTCCATTCATTTCATTTCATTTCATTTTATTATTCATCTCCATTTGATACACAGTGATTATAAAAGAACAGTAAGAGTCCTCGTTTTCCATCCTCCAATCATCATTTTCATTAAAGAAATAGAAATTAAGTCTTGTAGATTCTAACAGCATACTTAGAAGGCTCTGGGGAGGTTAAGATGAAGGGCTGCTTCGGTACATATATACCTTCCTGTAAATGAATACAACATAGCAAGATGAGCATTGTACTGCGAGTGCGTTAAAACCAATGTGCATTGGTTATCAATTCTGCAGCAAGAAAATTAGAACTGGGTGTTTCCATGAAATTATCTTTTTGACTTGGTTATACCTAATATTTAAACTGAAATATTACTGAATATCAGGATAGTATTCTATTCTACTATCATCTAGTCAACAATGATATATGATTCTTGATTGACTGAGTTATACCTAATATTTAAACTGAAATATTACTGAATATCAGGATAGTATTCTATACAACTATCATCTAGTCTACAATGATATATGATCCTTGATTGATTGAGTTATACCTAATATTTAAACTGAAATATTACTGAATATCAGGATAGTATTCTATTCTACTATCATCTAGTCTACAATGATATGTGATCCTTGATTGATTGAGTTATACCTACTATTTAAACTGAAATATTACTGAATATCAGGATAGTATTCTATACAACTATCATCTAGTCTACAATGATATATGATCCTTGATTGATTGAGTTATACCTAATATTTAAACTGAAATATTACTGAATATCAGGATAGTATTCTATTCTACTATAATCTAGTCTACAATGATATATGATTCTTGATTGATTGAGTTATACCTAATATTTAAACTGAAATATTACTGAATATCAGGATAGTATTCTATACAACTATCATCTAGTCTACAATGATATATGATCCTTGATTGATTGAGTTATACCTAATATTTAAACTGAAATATTACTGAATATCAGGATAGTATTCTATTCTACTATCATCTAGTCTACAATGATATGTGATTCTTGATTGATTGAGTTATACCTAATATTTAAACTGAAATATTACTGAATATCAGGATAGTCTACAATGATATATGATCCTTGATTGATTGAGTTATACCTACTATTTAAACTGAAATATTACTGAATATCAGGATAGTATTCTATACAACTATCATCTAGTCTACAATGATATATGATCCTTGATTGATTGAGTTATACCTAATATTTAAACTGAAATATTACTGAATATCAGGATAGTATTCTATTCTACTATCATCTAGTCAACAATGATATATGATTGACTGAACTATCATATTTTCATAGTCGAACGTCCCTTTATCAATAAATAAAGTTTCAGACATATTGAAACGAGGTCGATTGCCTCAGATAACCTATGATGTTAAACCTTTATTGAAAATGTCCAAGAGGCTTACCTTATTCATATTTGTTGAATATTGTGATTTTAAGTATTGTGGACTGCTTTATTTGATATACTTTTGAATTCTGTTAAATAATAATAATTTCTATTTAGGCCTATTTTATAGCTTCATGATTATAAATAGCCTTCTGGAAACGTTTTTAATATGGAGTTAGATGTTACGTCATAACGTATATCGGTTTATAACAAACGCATAAAATAGACCTCAAAATTTCCCTTAGCATAAAGAATATCGTGTTTTCATCTTCAAAAAGAAAAACAGGATCATTGGTGATTCTGACCACAGAAAAATGTCATTTGATCAAATTGCTAGCTTGCAACGATAATGGTTTCCTTTAGGCAAATATTTTGCTAAACTACCATAGGGACCCACCCACAATGGGTCCAATTCCCAGAAATCTTCCATTAACAGGCATTAATGCCCAACCAACTCCCACTTATCTAGTTGTATTACTGTCCACTGTCAAGGGAATCGACTTAAGATATCAAAGTAAGACAAAGTTAGAAAATCAATAGATATCAACTTTAATAAACGTAAAACATAAAAAAGACAAAACTAGAATTTAACAATTGGAGGGAGTGTATTAAAATAATTTAATTTCGAATAATAATCGATATATATCACAAAGTATTTATAACATATCAAAATATAACAATAATCGCACATTTTGTTTTGCTCAAATTTGTGAAAACTATACTTCAAAATCTAAACAAATGTGTCCCTATAAAAAAATAGAATGTTTTTCGGGAAATGGTGACAAATTACATACACTACAATTAGATGGTTTGGGTTTCCCTCCCGGTCTACTAGCACCTCTTACTAAGTGATCCTGTAAAATATATTGTCTAAAATCTAGTGAACCATGTCGACTTAACATCATCAGTTCAACCAGATCCACATTTTCAGTGTATAATATTTCAACATGTAAATAGTGTGCAAGGGGAACATAAAATACACCACGTTCCTTGTAGAAAAATGGATTATCATCAAAATCAAGTTGAACTAATCTATAGCGACAATATCTATCCTCTTTACTATTAACTTTAGTTAAAACTAGAGTGATGTAGTGAGATTTTCCAGTTAAACAAGTGAAATCAGCAAAGTAAAGATTACAACCCTGGACAAGATAGTCAGGTGGGATCATTATTCTATAGTTGCCGAAAAAACTCTCATCTGGTATTTGTCCCGATGTTGTTTTTGGTGTTGCCATAAAGAATAATCCATCTATTTTGTTATTGATGCTTAAACCCGGATCACCATTGTTGTCTTTAAGATATTTCTCCATGATTCCTGTTTCTAAGGCTTTGCTAATTGTTGGATGGTGAGTAGGTTTATTACGATACAGATGACGAACTGTTGCTTTACTTGAACCTTTTCTACTCAAGTGGTTTTCAGCCAAAGTCATTAGATCTCTTACATCTGCTTTTGTATTATCTGTAAAATAATAACTAACATCAATAAACTATTTTCTTTTTTTTTCTTGTGCAGGATTGACCGTTTATTTGACTCCATTTATCAATCATGTCTGATTTCAGAAAAGTAGTGTTCCGACAGCCCAATAGGTTCACCTACAGAGAACTGTTCTGGATATCTAAAACAGTTTCACCATTTTGACTATTCTAAAAATTACGATGACAGCTTATGAGTCCAACAACCACTGGCAACTTCCAGGTTTAAACTTGCTGGACAAACTGCCGCCAAGTACAATTATCTTTGATATTTATATTTTTTAAGTAATTATTAATTTAACTTACGAGTTACTATTGTTATTAGTCTAGTTTCATGTGTGACAGTAAGTTGTTTATTTTGTTAGTGAACCTTGTACAGTTGATATTCATATTTTTGTCTTGATTTCAGGCTAATACTGGAACTTATAGTTCGACTGGTAGTTTCTATTAGTTCAAGATACTGAACACCAGTTACTCTCTCAGTTAATAATAATATATAGTAATTGGTATTGGAGAACAATGGAGAGTTTTTCTGTTCAAACTCAAGTGTTAATGTGTTTGGTACTGGAACATTTTGGCTCACTTCTACATCCATGTGTTCTGTATTTAGGAACATGTTCTAGAGAAGAGATATATAGCTAAAATTAAGCAATGGTAGTTCAAAAGTTCTGCCCTGTCAAAACATATAGCAGTAACTACAATTTTGTAAATTTCGATAAGATAATATGCTCTATCTATTGGTTCCTACTAAGTAACTGTGTCGCTATTGTTTGTTTCATTCGTAAAATTGGAATTTAGCTAATTTTGTATTCAAAACAAAACACAGTAGGCCTACGTGTTTCTGCATTTTGTTGTCATATCATTTTGAAATATCGCATCACTATTGGAGATTCTGAAGGTTTTCTCAAAATCATTTCGCAACTCAGTCATTGTAGTTTTTTGAAATTTATGAAATTCGTTGCCAGATTAAATATTTCCCTTGATCTGGCAACTCATTTCATAAATTACATAAATGAAATAAACACTCTTTTAAGATCCTCTGTATCTATCTGAAGTTATGATAGTACTTACAGTAGGTTGTTCATCTATCTGAAGTTATGATAGTACTTACAGTAGGTTGTTCATCTATCTAAAGTTATGATAGTACTTACAGTAGGTTGTTCATCTATCTGAAGTTATGATAGTACTTACAGTAGGTTGTTCATCTATCTGAAGTTACGATAGTACTTACAGTAGGTTGTTCATCTATCTAAAGTTATGATAGTACTTACAGTAGGTTGTTCATCTATCTAAAGTTATGATAGTACTTAAAGTAGGTTGTTCATCTATCTAAAGTTATGATAGTACTTACAGTAGGTTGTTCATCTATCTGAAGTTATGATAGTACTTACAGTAGGTTGTTCATCTATCTGAAGTTATGATAGTACTTTAAGTAGGTTGTTCATCTATCTAAAGTTATGATAGTACTTACAGTAGGTTGTTCATCTATCTGAAGTTATGATAGTACTTTAAGTAGGTTGTTCATCTATCTGAAGTTATGATAGTACTTACAGTAGGTTGTTCATTTATCTAAAGTTACGATAGTACTTACAGTAGGTTGTTCATCTATCTGAAGTTATGATAGTACTTACAGTAGGTTGTTCATCTGTCTAAAGTTATGATAGTACTTACAGTAGGTTGTTCATCTATCTGAAGTTATGATAGTACTTACAGTAGGTTGTTCATTTTTCCCTAAGAATGTTATTTCGGACTTTTCATTTACATCTTTGATTATTTTCCATGAACCAGTAAACCTCATTTTATTCTTTTTCTTCAGTTTATAAAGGCTGATTATAAATGGACTGTAAGGATCCTCGTCTTCCATCTTCCAATTATCATTTACATTAAAGAAGTAGAAATTCAGTTTTCTTGTGTTTTCATTGTAGATAGTAACAGCATACTTAACATGTTTCCCGAATTTGGTGTAACGGAAGCTTTGGCTTCCTACATATAGTTCTTTCTGTAAATAAATATACATTTACAAGTCAGATGAGCTTTTTGTAATGCTTTTCCTCTATACCATATTTTTGGGTTTCAAATGATATGCGATTCTTGATTGATTGAGTTATGCCTAATATTTAAACTGAAATATTACTGAATATCAGGATAGTATTCTATTCTACTATCATCTAGTCTACAATGATATGCGATTCTTGATTGATTGAGTTATGCCTAATATTTAAACTGAAATATTACTGAATATCAGGATAGTATTCTATACAACTATCATCTAGTCTACAATGATATATGATCCTTGACTGATTGAGTTATACCTAATATTTAAACTGAAATATTACTGAATATCAGGATAGTATTCTATTCCACTATCATCTAGTCTACAGTGATATATGATTCTTGATTGATTGAGTTATACCTAATATTTAAACTGAAATATTACTGAATATTAGGATAGTATTCTATACAACTATCATCTAGTCTACAATGATATATGATCCTTGATTGATTGAGTTATACCTAATATTTAAACTGAAATATTACTGAATATCAGGATAGTATTCTATTCTACTATCATCTAGTCTACAATGATATATAATCCTTGATTGATTGAGTTATACCTAATATTTAAACTGAAATATTACTGAATATCAGGATAGTATTCTATAAAACTATCATCTAGTCTACAATGATATGCGATTCTTGATTGATTGAGTTATACCTAATATTTAAACTGAAATATTACTGAATATCAGGATAGTATTCTATTCTACTATCATCTAGTCTACAATGATATATGATCCTTGATTGATTGAGTTATATCTAATATTTAAACTGAAATATTACTGAATATCAGGATAGTATTCTATACAACTATCATTTAGTCTACAATGATATGTGATCCTTGATTGATTGAGTTATACCTAATATTTAAACTGAAATATTACTGAATATCAGGATAGTATTCTATACAACTATCATCTAGTCTACAATGATATGTGATCCTTGATTGATTGAGTTATACCTAATATTTAAACTGAAATATTACTGAATATCAGGATAGTATTCTATTCCACTATCATCTAGTCTACAATGATATATGATTCTTGATTGATTGTGTTATACCTAATATTTAAACTGAAATATTACTGAATATCAGGATAGTATTCTATTCTACTATCATCTAGACTACAATGATATATGATCCTTGATTGATTGTGTTATACCTAATATTTAAACTGAAATATTACTGAATATCAGGATAGTATTCTATTCCACTATCATCTAGTCTACAGTGATATATGATTCTTGATTGATTGAGTTATACCTAATATTTAAACTGAAATATTACTGAATATCAGGATAGTATTCTATACAACTATCATCTAGTCTACAATGATATATGATCCTTGATTGATTGAGTTATACCTAATATTTAAACTGAAATATTACTGAATATCAGGATAGTATTCTATTCCACTGTCATCTAGTCTACAGTGATATATGATTCTTGATTGTGTTATATCTAATATTTAAACTGAAATATTACTGAATATCAGGATAGTATTCTATTCTACTATCATCTAGTCTACAATGATATGTGATCCTTGATTGATTGAGTTATATCTAATATTTAAACTGAAATATTACTGAATATCAGGATAGTATTCTATTCTACTATCATCTAGACTACAATGATATATGATCCTTGATTGATTGTGTTATACCTAATATTTAAACTGAAATATTACTGAATATCAGGACAGTATTCTATACAACTATCATCTAGTCTACAATGATATGTGATCCTTGATTGATTGAGTTATACCTAATATTTAAATTGAAATATTACTGAATATCAGGATAGTATTCTATTCCACTCTCATCTAGTCTACAGTGATATATGATTCTTGATTGAGTTGTATCTAATATTTAAACTGAAATATTACTGATTATCAGGATAGTATCCTATTCTACTATCATCTAGTCTACAATGATATATGATTCTTGATTGATTGAGTTATACCTAATATTTAAACTGAAATATTACTGAATAACAGGATAGTATTCTATTCTACTATAATCTAGTCTACAATGATATATGATTTTTGATTGATTGAGTTATACCTAATATTTAAACTGAAATATTACTGAATATCAGGATAGTATTCTATACAACTATCATCTAGAATACAATGATATGTGATCCTTGATTGATTGAGTTATGCCTAATATTTAAACTGAAATATTACTGAATATCAGGAAAGTATTCTATTCCACTATCATCTAGTCTACAATGATATGTGATTCTTGATTGATTGAGTTATACCTAATATTTAAACTGAAATATTACTGAATATCAGAATAGTATTCTATTCTACTATCATCTAGTCTACAATGATATATGATCCTTGATTGATTGAGTTATACCTAATATTTAAACTGAAATATTGTTGAATATAAACAAACCAAGTACTTACGATTTAAACACTATCATATTGTCTACAACTGATTTAGTTATAACTAATATTTAAAAACCGAGTTATTGCTGAATATCAATTTTAAAATGATATTTGACCTTTGTCTGAATTGATTAAGATATTCCAGAGCCACCAGAAACCGCTTCAATAAACTGAATCCCGTCGATCTAGTAAGTCATATTTCAACTATCAATCTATCATATTTTCATCGTTGTACGTCCTTTTTAAAGTTTCAGAAGTATTGAACGACGATTTCCTAACCTCAGCTATGATGTTAAACCTTTATTGAAAATGTCCAAGAGGCTTACCTCATTCATATTTGTTGAATATTGTGATTTAAAGTTTTGTGGACTGCTTTATTTGATATACTTTTGAATTCAACTAAATGATAACAATTTCTAGGTAGGCTTATTTTATCGCTTCATGATAATAAATAGCTTTCTGTAAACTAATATGTAGTTAGATATTACGTCATAACGTATATCGGTGCATAACAAACGCATAAAATAGGCATCAAAATTTCCCTTAGCATAAAGAATATCCTGCTTTCATCTTCCAAGAGAACAAAATTAGCCTCGGTCATTCTGACCGCAGAAAATTGCCATTTGATCAAATTGCTAACTTGCAACGATAATTTTGTACCTAGCCTATGAAATACCCCAATGTTTATGTTTTATCTCATTGAATGAATAGACACAAAGCAATGAATGCTATAGGCAAATATTTTAGCGGTACTCAAAAATATGGATCATAATTTTTAGTTTTTAAACTCCAAGAAAGCTGAAATCCTTAACAGTATTTTGAAATTGAAAGTAGATTCGTTGAAAGTAGATTCGGTTTTCCTTTTAGAACCGTAAGCCAGAAATGCGTCTTTTACAATTCGAGGAATCGATCGTTAACATTAGGCGAAAGTGGAAGTAGGCTGATTCGTTGAAAACTAACTTCCATAGTATGGCCATGCTTATTTTTAGCACATATGAAATGTAACTTGTATGTGTTATCGCGGTAGGTCAGTTTGTTACAACATCTTTATCTTTTACAATATGTGTTGGTTTAATCTGCCATTCCTGTATCCATGTAGTGACTGGTTTAATCTGCCTTCCATTTTCTTTTACTTATCTTTAGGTCTATAATGATTTTACTTTATTTATATAGCGAAAATATCGTAAAATATTGATAAAAAAATATAAACAGCCATTATACAGTATAAAATATGGCACACTGGTACATGCCCATGCCCCGAAAATATTGATTGACTTCAATTTGCAGTCAAATCATATAATATATATATCTTTACAGATTTTACTATTGGTGGGATACAAATGAGCAATAACCTTCGAAGAACTCGAGATCGGAATGGCTCTCCATGGATCAAGATATGCAACGAATCAGTGACAGAATTTGCCAGCAATTGGTTTCCACTATTAGGATACCTTTTACAGGTTTCCCAGAGGATTAATGATCTCTGATATTCCCAGAATGTTTCATCATGAAATGAGTAAACTATATACAGTGTATAAATGATTTATTCAGTCTGTAAAATGAACAATTGTAACAGTACACGTTATTTTATAACCTTATATAAACCTTATCATGGATATATTAAAAAATATACGTGTAATTATAATATGTTATAGTATATGCATACAATGTCAAAATATCTCTGTTTATATCTTTAATATTTTTTGTATTTCAATACAATATCATTTTTTTTTATTATTTAAGCTTATATATATATGTATATATATTATGTAATATCAAAATATCTGAATACAATCTAATTAAAATTTTGTATCTTTTTTGTTTTCTTATATTTTTTATTCGACATTCTATCTCAATAGTTTTCTTCTAAAGGCCCGTGCCAATCATGTCGAGAATATTGCAGGATTAGCCAATCCTGTAGAGCCTGTCATATTGCTAAAACCTATTTCTCTCAGAAATGAAATGAAACGTCGTTTTACGTTCTACTATTGTGAACCTGAATGGGCAAATGAAATCGGAGACAAAACTTTTTCAAATATACAACAAACTGGACCAACATGAAAGTTTCTAGGTATGGATTCATTCGCTCAATAAAACGCGTGAAGACTATTTTATGCGCATTCATAATATACCGCATAGGCTATATCGAATTCTACTTTCATTTTGAACAAGTTTCCAGAAAGCTATTTTTAACGCTATTTTTAACCTCTATAAATTGTAATCATTTCTCTGAATTTGACAAACAGTCCACCGTGAACTCAATATTCGACAAATATGAATAAGGTAAGCCTCTTGGACATTTGTAAAATGTTTAACATCATAGCTTGGGTTAGAACATCGTCGCTTCAACACGCAGTAGCTCATTTTCCATAGGGTCTGGTTGAACCAACCTCTGATGGGACCCCATTCCCAGAAAAAAATGTACCAAGTAAGTATCTATAAGGATTACACACAATATAAAAGGTTTTAAACGTAGTTTATTGACAATGTCAAAGGATCGAGAACAAGGTTCCTTAACATAATACAACAAATATTAAAGGGTTCACAAATTATGCTGCGGTTCTACCAAGGGCAACTATTATGTCCTTATTTTAAGGGATTGTAAAAAAGGTTTCTAATCCCTTTAAAGAAAATGAGGTCCTATGTTTGCTATGACTGCCTATAAGCAACTGATATATATAAATGAGCGAAATAACATTAGCTATAGACTTTGAATCTTTAAATCTTCCATTAAACGGCATTAAATTAACTTGCAGAGGGGTCTCAGAAAGAAGAAGAGCACACTGCTGAAACAAAATTCAAGGGGCGGGGGGCCCTAACTCACTTCAAAATGAAATGAGTTTTACGTCCTATTTTTCTACACCTTGTGGGCTAATAAAGACAGGTATTGCAGGATGCAATGAGGGAAATTTTTTCCAGGACAGTGGCATTAGCCTGCTTCTCTTTTTCGATTTCCAACTTTCGATGGATCTTTAACGTGCACAACCTTTAGCACACGGACCTCGGTTTATTGTCCCGCACAACTAGACGCTTTTTCAATGTCCCCTTTTACCTGACTCATTGACAGGGGGAAACAGGGTGGCAAAATCCGAGGGTATTATCTCGAACTATGCCGATATAGAACCCCAGAACTTCAAGTTAGCGAGCAAACGTCTAATTCACTGAGCCATCACTTAAGTTCAAGGGTCCTCACTCATCTAATTCACTGTCAACACGCCCGAAACTATCTATTTATTGATAAAGGGGTGTGGTTTAAATGGCTATTAACAAAGATCGACAGAAATTATTTCAAACCGTTTATAATGGTTCTGGAATAACCTAAAATAACATAATCAATTCTCGCAATGGTCATTAATCACTATAGACTGCAATATTAACAGAATACTATCTTGATATTCAGTAATAATTCAGTTGAAAGGGACAAGTGCGCAGAAGAACTACAAATGTACGAAAATCGCATAATTCTGGACACACGTGGATTTGATGGATCAAATTTCGACGGAGAGCTGTGAACACTATTTTTAATTGACTTAGCTAAACAAAATTACCGATTCTGAGACTAAGATACGATTGGTCAAAAAAAAAAAAAAAATGGCGCATCTGTTCCTTAAAACACATAGGTATAACCATAGAACTATAATATAAATACTATCCTGATATTCAGTAATATTTCAGTTTAAATATTAGGTATAACTCAATCAATCAAGGATCATATATCATTGTAGACTAGATGATAGTTGTATAGAATACTATCCTGATATTCAGTAATATTTCAGTTTGAATATTAGGTATAACTCAACAATCAATCAAGGATCATATATCATTGTAGACTAGATGATAGTTGTATAGAATACTATCCTGATATTCAGTAATATTTCAGTTTAAATATTAGGTATAACTCAATCAATCAAGGATCATATATCATTGTAGACTAGATGATAGTAGAATAGAATACTATCCTGATATTCAGTAATATTTCAGTTTAAATATTAGGTATAACTCAATCAATCAAGGATCATATATCATTGTAGACTAGATGATAGTTGTATAGAATACTATCCTGATATTCAGTAATATTTCAGTTTAAATATTAGGTATAACTCAATCAATCAAGGATCATATATCATTGTAGACTAGATGATAGTTGTATAGAATACTATCCTGATATTCAGTAATATTTCAGTTTAAATATTAGGTATAACTCAATCAATCAAGGATCATATATCATTGTAGACTAGATGATAGTTGTATAGAATACTATCCTGTTATTCAGTAATATTTCAGTTTAAATATTAGGTATAACTCAATCAATCAAGGATCATATATCATTGTAGACTAGATGATAGTTGTATAGTATACTATCCTGATATTCAGTAATATTTCAGTTTAAATATTAGGTATAACTCAATCAATCAAGGATCATATATCATTGTAGACTAGATGATAGTTGTATAGAATACTATCCTGTTATTCAGTAATATTTCAGTTTAAATATTAGGTATAACTCAATCAATCAAGGATTATATATCATTGTAGACTAGATGATAGAATAGAATACTATCCTGATATTCAGTAATATTTCAGTTTAAATATTAGGTATAACTCAATCAATCAAGGATTATATATCATTGTAGACTAGATGATAGAATAGAATACTATCCTGATATTCAGTAATATTTCAGTTTAAATATTAGGCATAACTCAATCAATCAAGGATCATATATCATTGTAGACTAGATGATGGTAGAATAGAATACTATCCTGATATTCAGTAATATTTCAGTTTAAATATTAGATATAACTCAATCAATCAAGAATCATATATCATTGTAGACTAGATGATAGAATAGAATACTATCCTGATATTCAGTAATATTTCAGTTTAAATATTAGGCATAACTCAATCAATCAAGGATCATATATCATTGTAGACTAGATGATGGTAGAATAGAATACTATCCTGATATTCAGTAATATTTCAGTTTAAATATTAGATATAACTCAATCAATCAAGAATCATATATCATTGTAGACTAGATGATAGAATAGAATACTATCCTGATATTCAGTAATATTTCAGTTTAAATATTAGATATAACTCAATCAATCAAGAATCATATATCATTGTAGACTAGATGATAGAATAGAATACTATCGTGATATTCAGTAATATTTCAGTTTAAATATTAGGTATAACTCAATCAATCAAGGATCATATATCATTGTAGACTAGATGATAGTAGAATAGAATACTATCCTGATATTCAGTAATATTTCAGTTTAAATATTAGGTATAACTCAATCAATCAAGGACAATAAATAAGAACTGTAATGATACTCAGTGATGAACGTTTAAAGGGTTATTCCACTTTTTTTTTTTAAAGTTGTCATTATCAAAAACGTCGTAAATTATACCTGAAAATTTGTTCTAAAGTATGCTATTTAATTCTATGTATTAAAGGTTAATCAAAAACAGAGAGTACTAATTGTTAATTAAGCAGTTTGACCTAGCGGTTGTGTTAGATGGTGATGAGAACGTAGTCTCATAAAAGCACTGGTCTAATTTTGGTGTTTGGCTTTACAATGACTCAATAATATTGGTTGAAACCTTAAGAATACGGAGAAGACATAGTCGTTCATTTTATTCAAATAAGTACAGTAGTTTTCAAACAGCTTCCAAATTGCATAACAAACTTAAAAACCTTACGTAATGTTTTCAAATATTTTTGGGGTTTATAAGTTAACCCCTGGATTTTTTTTAGTTAAAACTTTCAGATATGTCAAAGGGCACATTTTTCTACCAAATTTGAAAAAAAAAAAAAAATTGCTGTTTAGCAATAGAAAATTGGATTCTCATAACAATAAATCACGTTATATATCACAATTAATATTAGCATATTTAAAGGTTGACGTGTATCTTTTTTTTTAAATGGATGAAGGTTGCCTTCCTTGAAGTCCACAAGCAGTAAACCGACTTAATATCTTCCAATACAATCCTTATGTCAAAATCAACAAGTCTTCTAATCTAATGGAGTCGAAGACAGAACTCATTCAAATATACAACAAACTAGATTCAACATGAAAGTTGCTAGATGGGTTCATTCGGTCATTCAAACTTTTTTATGCGCATTCAGAATATACCGATATGCTAAATCGATTTCTACTTTCATTTTGAACAAATTTCCAGAAACCTATTTTTAACAGCTAGAAATAGTAGTTGTTTCTCTGAATAAGAAAGAGTTTCAAATAAAACAATCTGTCAAACTTGTAATCAAAATATTCAACAAATATGAATAAGGTAAGCCTCTTGGACATTTTCAATAAACTGTTTAACATCATACCTAGGTTAGAACATCGTCGCTTAAACACGTCCAAATTCTTTAGTTATTGACGTGTTTTATACGACGATGAGTTAATAGAAATATGACACAACAAAGTATATATATATATATATATAGAGTTTTTGATGGTTCTGGGATGTTCTAGCCTATAGATATATTGCATTTTTTTCAATTTCTTAATATTTCAGTATCCTTATTAGTCAAGGGCTATAAATGTCCATCGATGATGTTCGAACTTCTAATATTCAGCAATATTTCAGTTTCTACATGGTTCTGTCTTTACACTCCCGCTGGTAAATCGAGTTCACCAATCATTTTTGTGTAAATCGGAATCGGCCTCGGCTTCAAAATAGTACTAAATAGTGACTGAATAATAGATTGCTCGGAATGTTGATAAAATGAAATAATATATAATATTTTAGAGACCAAATAGTATGATGATTTTTCACAAAACTTTGTTCTTCTGACACACAGTGCAGAGAAGGAATGAAGGATTTGTGTCAGTCTAATTAAGATTATACACAACTTCAGTTCTAATTAAAATTAGACTGGATTTGTGTAAGAGTTGTTCCACCATTATTCTACCATAATTCAAGTTGAAAAAACAGCACAAAACCCTGTTGGTTAAATTTGCCTGTAATTGAATAGAATAAAGGAAATATATTATGTATGATTTTTAAACACATTTGGACTAGATATATCAGTTTATGAATTTATGTATGAATTTTTAAAATAAACATTTTCTTAATACAATATGTTTTTAAGTTCTAATTTCACTATTTGAATTTATTTTGCAGAAAAATATTGATATCGGAAGTAAATGCTTCACCTATACCTCACCAAATTTCTGGAAAACATTTCAGTATGCTGTTAGTATCTACAATGAAGACACGGACAGACTTAATTTCTATTTCTTTGATGAAGATGATGATTGGAAGATGGAAAATGAGGATCCTTACAGTCCATTTATAATCACTGTGTATGAAATGGAGATGAATAATGAAATAAAGTATACTGGGTCATGGAAAATAATCATATGCGTAAATGGGGAGTTCAAAATAACATCCCTTGGACAAAACAAACTATCTTCAGTAAGTACTATCATAACCTTGTTCCTTTAGCAAAGATGAACGACGTTTGTAAATTTAGGCCAGTGGTTCCCAACCTTTTTTCAGCCTTCACATCCCTGGAGCAATCACCTGGACCTTTCACACCCCCAAATATTTGTTTCATCAACATTTCAGGAGTGATAATTTGATGTGCTCTCTCAATAAATTCTTCTACTACACCAGTCGGTCACATCCCTGACACCCTAATCCCACACCTCCAGGGGGTGAAAACTCCTCAGGTTGGGAACCGGGGATCTTAACGTTGCCTTCAGGACACGATATTTTCGTCATTGAAGCTCAAAGACAGCAAATTGTGGATAACTATGTCTTAATTCAAGATATATAACTTTTCTTCAGTATCTAAATACAGAACATATGAATGTAGAAGTTAACCAACATGTTCCAAAACCAAACTCATTAACACTTGAGTTTGAACAGAAAAACTCTCCATTGTTCTCCAATACCAATTACTATATATTATTATTAACTGAGAGAGTAACTGGTGTTCAGTATCTTGAACTAATAGAAACTACCAGTCGAACTATAAGTTCCAGTGTTAGCCTGAAATCAAGACAAAAATATGAATATCAACTGTACAAGGTTCACCAACAAAATAAACAACTTACTGTCACACATGAAACTAGACTAATAACAATAGTAACTCGTAAGTTGAATTAATAATTACTTAAAAAATATAAATATCAATGATAATTGTACTTGGCGGTAATGTGCCAGCAAGATTAAGCGTTGTTGGCCTCGTAATGCATCAGCTGTCATGGTAGTTTCCAGAAAGGTCAAAATGATGAAACTACTTCATATGTCCAGAACAGTTCTCTGTAGCTTCAGGCATCCATTCTGAACGTATACAGCTGTTGAAACACTACTAGTACTTATCTGAAATCAGAATTAAAAATAGTCAAGTATTTGATATATTCTTTGACGTAAACTTTGAATCATGGCGGTTATGTGCCCAGCAATATTAACCCAAGAAGCAACCAGTCGTTCTTGGCCTGTATACTGCTGACGTGGTCGTTTCCGGATAAGTCCAGCAAACGAAAGTACAAGTAGTCAATCATCTCATCTCTTGCTCGAACATTAAAATGTTGCTGTTCTGTACAATGTATATTCGCGATTCTCATTTCCCATTCTCATTTAAGATCGATCGTGAGTCATTGATAGCGAGCTTTAACAGAAAATGTTTCGTTTGCCTTTAGTTGATATTTAGTTATATAAAAAATCGAGCATGCTTGGTAAAGGCAACCAAATCTACAGTCAATCCTGCCTCAGAGAAGCGAAAATATATGAAAATAGTTTATTGATGTTAGTTATTATTTTACAGATAATACAAAAGCAGATGTAAGAGATCTAATGACTTTGGCTGAAAACCACTTGAGTAGAAAAGGTTCAAGTAAAGCAACAGTTCGTCATCTGTATCGTAATAAACCTACTCACCATCCAACAATTAGCAAAGCCTTAGAAACAGGAATCATGGAGAAATATCTTAAAGACAACAATGGTGATCCCGGTTCAAGCATCAATAACAAAATAGATGGACTATTCTTTATGGCAACACCAAAAACAACATCGGGACAAATACCAGATGAGAGTTTTTTCGGCAACTATAGAATAATGATCCCACCTGACTATCTTGTCCAGGGTTGTAATCTTTACTTTGCTGATTTCACTTGTTTAAATGGAAAATCTCACTACATCACTCTAGTTTTAACTAAAGTTAATAGTAAAGAGGATAGATATTGTCGCTATAGATTAGTTCAACTTGATTTTGATGATAATCCATTTTTCTACAAGGAACGTGGTTTATTTTATGTTCCCCTTGCACACTATTTACATGTTGAAATATTATACACGGAAAATGTGAATCAGGTTAAACTGATGATGTTAAGTCGACATGGTTCACTAGATTTTAGACAATGTATTTTAGACAATCACCTAGTTAGAGGTCGTGGTGAAAGTAGACCAGGCGGAATCCCAAAGCCTTCTCAATGTAAAGAATGTAACTTGCCACCAATCCTCCCCAAAACAACATCTTATTTATCATAAATCACTTGATTTTGGGAGGGGAAATGGTGTATAGTGTTAAGTTTCAGTAATGGATTTGGTCGGTTGTCATAATTTTTTCATGGGGGCAATCCATTCTTTCGGCATTGCCCCCACCCTCCTCTCTGTAACTACGGAACTGGTGGCTTTTGTTTAGCTACAGACATCCTCAACTTTGTCGTGCATACCCCATTATTCAACTTATACGCATGATTGAAGAACAATCTTTAAATATATTCTTATATTTAATGAACATTAGTTTATTGTTTTTTTCCATTGTTTGCCTTGATGTATTTTTATAATTTGTATTATAATTTGTATTATTAAAAATAAAAAGTATTTAATAATAGGATAACAGGGGTTATATTAAAATTTATCTTAATTTTTATTGGTTTTCCTTCAAAACGTTATTGCTTTTTTGTTGTGTTTGCTTAATTAATTTGATAACTAACTTGATATCTATTTATATGTTATATTCATTAAACTTTATAGAAATAGTTAGGCTTGAATATAGAACTTGTTGTCCATCTTTTATATCCATTACGATCCCCTTGTAAGAGATGAAAATAGCTGGTCGAACGAGCTGACTTGGATAAAGTGTCTAAGCGTTCAAATCTCCATTCTGTTTAGCTTTGACAACATTTTAATGCTGGTGTAAGTTTTACATCAATTGCTTGATTTCCCCAACTGTAACAAATTATTATCAATCAAAATATAATAAAATAATAGAAAATTGTATTTTTATAACAATAAATTATATTATATATCACAATTAAAATCAGCATACTTATCTTTTTTATACGCCCACATGAAATGGGGGTGTATATTGGCGCCACCCACGTCTGTCTGTCAGTGACGGTATTTGTAATCATCCAAATGTGAACCCCATTGAAAATCAGATAAAGTGAAGAATATTTAGTATGAGTTTGAAAAATGCGTTCAATTTATAGCTCTTGAACACTCAAGAAGGCACAATTCTCAACGGACTTTGACGAAACTTGGTGTGAGTGTGTGTAATCATTCAAGGATGAACAATATTTAATGAGTAATTGCTCTTGATTTTGGAAACGCATTCAATTTTTAGATTGTAAACCCTCTAGTAGACACAATTCTAGACAGATTTGGATAAAACTTTGTAATATTGTTCATACTGGTGATTGTTACTGTACTGCCAAATATTTTTATTTAAAATCAAAGCTGCCAGTGGGCGCATATTATCTTGCCTGGAAAGCTATCTTTTGAAATGGATCACCGCAATCCTTCTATCAAAATCAACAAGCCTCCAAAGTCAATGATTGAAACGAATGACAAGTGGAAATAGTATGCACTTCCTGCCTATAGCACTAAACCTGTTCAGCTTCACATCTGACTTGAGTTTAGAAATTGAAATGGCGTATACGTTCTACTATTGTGAACCTGAATGGAGGCGGGTACAACACTCATTCAAATATACAACAAACTAGATTCAACATGAAAGTTTCTAGGTATGGATTCATTCGCTCAATAAAACGGGTGAAGACTATTTTATAGCATAGGCTATATCGAATTCTACTTTCATTTTGAACAAATTAGAAAGTTGTTTTTAACACTATTGTTAATTTACTGCTATGTATTGTAATCATTTCTCTGAATTTGATCGCGTTTCCAATAATACACTCCTTACAACTTTGACACAAAATATTGAACAAATATGAATATGGTAAGTCTCTGGACTGTTTTATTGTTTAACATCATAGTTTAGGTTAGGGCATTGCTGCGGGGCTGTCCCCCTTTGGTTCCGACATTGTTTAGCTCATAAACACTAACTTGGGCTCGATTCTTGCCGGATTTTGACAAAGCTTGGTTATATATTGCTCAGTATCAACTAGTCGAAAACCCTTATGCCAATAGTCGTAACGATTTTGCAATTTAATTGAAATGGAAATTTTGTGTGTTAACTATAACATACATTCAAAATGTAACATCATAAGAATAACTATGCAATGTGCATGTAAATATATTTCAGCAATTTAGAGCTATGATCTTCGACCCGGGATCATAGACCAGTAGACCAGTCAAGTTGAATGCAGCCCTTATGATATTCTGTGCTTGCGCGTGAGCAACGTTTTATATATAGTTATGACTGTCATTAAGCAACTGCAACATATGAACTAGAACTGTGAACAGCTCCGAACGTGGCAACGAGATCTTATCTCATGGCTTTTGGACCTTTTGGAACCTCTAACCTTTTAGCTTTCAACCTGGGGCTTTATTTTTAAGTCTACAATTTGTGATATCTGGTAAATAAATGGAGTATATAATTACATTCTAGAAATATCACCTCTTTTTCTCAATTTGTATAATTGATCAATAAAGAATAACAGAGAAAGAAGTTACGCGTACGGGGGGTAAAAAATCGTCGTCGACAAGAGAAGACACACATGCAAATTTAAAATTCGTCACAATCGGGCGATAAAACATACTCGTCTGCCCCCATCATTAGAAATAATTCGGATGAAACGCTCAACGTGATTATGAGAAACCGGAACTTCCCATGCTCAAACCGGAAGTGATTAGAATAAATTTGATGACACAGTTTTTATTTGTATTGGTAGTCTTTCAATACCCTGTAAATTTCAGATCGATCTGAGTCGAAAAGTTTTTTATGCAGATTTTTTTCCTTTAGATCTTTTTATAGGGCACAATAGATACACCTAGTTACATAGAACATGATAAAGAAAATCCGAGGTAAATCGGTCCGGAAATAAGCTCTACAGAGTCCAAAGCATTTTTGCATATTATGCAATGCGTCACTTCTGGTTGCGTAAAAATGTAATTTTATAGTTTCACTTTGAAATTTTCCTCGAGTTAAGATAAGCGATCATAACAGAAATGCTATATCATTTTCAGTTTTCAGAAAGAAAAAAATCGATTTGCCACACAAAGAGTGAAATAGCATTAACTACAGACAGAATCTTTAAATCTTCCATACACATGCATTTCATTGACTTGTAGTGGAACAGTTGCATAATACAGGAGAGCCTAATGTTAAAACAAGATAGATTGCCAGGCAAGGTAATATACGACCACTGACAGTTTTGATTGTAAATAAAAATATTTTGGCAGTACAGTAACAATTACCAGTATGATTATTCAAACTTTAGACATACACTTCTTTTGAACTTTTTGAGGCGATAATGCATAATATTACCAAGTTTCATAAAATTCTGTCAAGAATTGTGCCTTCTGGAGTGCTTACGTGCTACAAATTGAACGCATTTTCAAGAACAAGGGAAATAACTCATACCAATTATTTTTCAAGTATTCTGATTTTCAATGGGTGATTACAAACACCCACATCAAGTTTCGTCAAAATCCGTCAAGAATTGTGCCTTCTAGATTGCTTACTTAAACTCGAGATCAAGGGCAATAACTCATACTAAATATTTTTTTAATTTTTCTGATTTTCAATAGGGTTTATCCTTGGGTGATTACAAACACTCACATCAAGTTTCGTCAAGAATTGTGCCTTCTAGAGTGTTTACAAGCTAAAATTGAACGTGTTTTCAAGAACAAGTGCAATAACCCATACTAATTATTTTTTTTTATCTTTCTGATTTTAAATAGTGTTTTGTGATAACAAACACTTACACCAAGTTTCATCAAAATCCGTCAAAAATTCTAGAGTGTTTACGAGCGTTTCAAGAACAAGGGCAATAACTCATACTAATATTTTTCGATTCTTCTCATTTTTAATAGGATTCAACCCTGGGTGGTTACAAACAACCATACCAAGTTTTTTCGGAATGAGCCAAGAATTATGCCTTGTAGAGTGTTTAGGAGCAATTGTGGACGGACGGACATGAGTGACGGCAATATCAGCGCCCCCTCCCCCATTTAATGTGGGCGTATAAAAATGGCAAGAGGAGGGGCACCACTGTCAACACGCCCGAAACTATCTATTTATTGATAAAGGGGCGTGGTTTAAACGGCTATTAACAAAGATCGACAGAAATTATTTCAAACCGTTTGTGATGGTTCTGGAATAACCTAAAATAACATAATCAATTCTCGCAATGGTCATTAATCACTATAGACTGCAATATTAACAGAATACTATCCTAATATTCAAGTTATTTTGTTTTAAGGTATAGAGCAAAACATTACAATGCTCATCTGACTTGTAAATGTATATTTATTTACAGAAAGAAGTATATGTAGGAAGCCAGGGCTTCCGTTACAACAAATTAGAGAAAAATGTTAAGTATGCTATTAGTATCTACAATGAAAACACAAGAAAACTTAATTTCTACTTCTTTGATGAAGATGATGATTGGAAGATGGAAAATGAAGATCCTTACAGTCCATTTATAATCACTGTGTATGAAATGGAGATTGATAATAAAATAATGTATACAGTTTCATTGAAAATGATCAAAGATGAAGATGTTCAATTCAAAATATCATCCCTTGGAGAAAATAAACCAACAGTAAGTACTATCAAAACAAATTTAATCAGAATTTCTAACAAAGATCAATAAATATATAGTATATGATCATCTGTTTGGTACATCATCAAATGTATACATGTTATGCAATAGAATTTGGTCACACTTTTAGCTTAGGAAAAATAACTGATCATCAAAATCAAATAATAGTCATCCCAGTCACAGTCAAAATTGGACAACATTGTAAACTTAGTACAGTTCTGACTCATTTAGCTCAAAGACAGCAATTTGTGGATTAATTTTATCTATATACCTTTCCTCCAGAATCTAAATACAGAACACATGAATGTAGAAGTGAACCAACATGTTCCAAAACCAAACTCATTAACACTTCAGTTTGAACAGAAAAACTCTCCATTGTTCTCCAATACCAATTACTATATATTATTATTAACTGAGAGAGTAACTGGTGTTCAGTATCTTGAACTAATAGAAACTACCAGTCGAACTATAAGTTCCAGTATTAGCCTGAAATCAAGACAAAAATATGAATATCAACTGTACAAGGTTCACCAACAAAATAAACAACTTACTGTCACACATGAAACTAGACTAATAACAATAGTAACTCGTAAGTTGAATTAATAATAATCATTTATCTTGCTCGAACATTAAAATGTTACTGTTTTCTATATTCGTGATTCTCATTTAAGATCGATCGTGAGTCATTGATAGCGAGCTTTGCAGTGGTGGCGCCAGTCTTCCGTGGTGATGTTATAGTACTTTTAGATTTGTTGAAAATAAAGGGGTGGGGGGATACCATTGGGGGGGGGGGGGGGGGGGGGAACTTTTTCAAAAAAAGTTTTCGGGGGCTGGGGGTGACTTTTTGGGGGATAAAAAAATAT